AAGGTTGTTGAGAGCAAGGTTGTTGAGACGAAGGTTGTTGAGACGAAGGTTGAAGGTAGCCAAACGATTGTCACCACACGTACTGTGACCAGCACTTTGGCGGAGGCTTCTGATGAGACCTATATCGAGAAAGATACTGTCGACAAGAAAAGTGACGTTGTTACTGGTTACACTGATGAGCATTACACTGTTGAGACATCTGTTGGTACAGGTGAAGCCATATCTACTCAGGCTGTGATCTCTACATTTGACGGTAGTGCCATGAGGGTGGTAGGATCTGCTTTAGCAGCAATTCTCGCGGGTATTCTCTTCTGTTGAACTATGGTACTGGTTTTAATCCATGCGCTTGTGGAGGCTTGAAATACCAATGTTATCTTTTTGTTGTGATGCTGTTTTTGTTTTGTAATTTACAGTTGATCACTTGAAGGAGAAGTAGCAATCCGTATCTTAATTTGAAGTAGGCAAGCTAAGCTTTACAAGTCAGTCAAATCGAATGTAAAAAAGTAATCATTTTAGTAGTCGTAGTACATATAAATTCTATTGAAAACACCTCATGCCCGGTTGTGTCGAGAAAACGTTAGAGTATCTTAAGCAGAAGCCAACTCATCGATGACGGCTTGAGTGAACTCCTTGGTAGATGCTGGACCACCAATGTCTCTTGTTGTCTTCTTACCGTCGGCAATAACCTTGTAGACGGCGTTTGAAATTCTGTCAGCGGAGGAGTCCAAGCCCAAATGTCTCAACATCAAGACAGATGACAAGATCATACCAGTTGGGTTAGCGACGCCCTTACCGGCGATCTCCAAACCAACGTGTCTTGAACCTGGCTCAAAGACGGCGTACTCACGCCCGTAGTTAGCACCTGGAACAAGACCTGGGCCACCAACAAGAGCAGTACCAATGTTGGACAGGATAGCACCGTACAAGTTTGGAGTGACAAGCACATCAAATTGTTGTGGGTTTGACACAGCTTGCATAGAGGCATTATCAACAATAATGTCTTTAACTTCAATGCCTGGGTATTGCTCTGCACCGACGTCCTTGACAGTCTTTCTGAAGAGACCATCGGCCAATTTCATAATGTTTGCCTTGTGAACAGCGGTAACGGTTTGTCTGTTGTTCTTCTTAGCGAAATCAAAGGCAAACTTGGCAATTCTCTCACTCTTGACTTGAGTGATGATCTTCAATGACTCAACAACACCTGGGACGGATTCGTGCTCCAAACCAGAATATTCACCTTCAGTGTTCTCTCTGATGAGGACGAGATCGATACCATCCATTCTAGTCTTCACACCTGGGATGTTCTTGATCAAAGTCAAGGAGGCGTAGATGTCCAACTCCTTTCTGAAGGCAACGTTCAAGGAACCGTGACCAGATTGAGACACATCGGTCTTCCAGATACCCTTCAAACCAACCTTGTTTCTCTTGAGGGACTCAACAGCCTCCTTGACACCTTCCTTGGACTTCTCAGAGTTTGTCACGTTGACCGTTTCCCAGTCAACTGGAATTCTCTCAGCTTTGAAGATCTCAACAACAGAATCAGTGATCTCCTTACCGATACCATCACCAGGCAAAAGAGTAACGGTGTAACGTCCGCCATACTTCTTTGGCAAAAGGGCCTCGGAAACTGTGGCCAATGATCTCTTAGATTGGGACTTAACTTGTGTTCTGAGCATGCTGATATGTCTCTATGTGAGAGCTGGGTGTGTGATTGTGTGTGAGCTTACAACCAAACGAAAGGGATATGAAACTAAAGGTAAAAAGTTATGAATTTGTACTTGTATATTAAATCCCTTTTTACCCTACAAAGCTGTCCAAAGCCGTAGGGGGGCACAGAGTGGGAGGGCCATAGCGAGAAAGATCGGAACCGAAAGTTGGTGTTTTTCCGAATTCGGTTTTCAGGAAAAATTCCTCACCAAAAGGGAGAAAAGCGGCGCACACGTTTTGCCCGTGCGAGGAGGGCTTTGGGGCTAGTGGTGTTTGGGTGTATAGTGGGGTTCGAGGTGTCTGGATGTATCGTGGGAATGGGGTGTCTGGGTGTTCGGCTGATTTGAAATTTGACAACCAAACGTGCGTGTTCCCTGCGTCAGTGATGCAGGTGGAGGATAATTTTAGTTCAACTTTGTTTACTCTGAGATTTGATGCGATGAAACAGTTCCCAGGGGTAACTACAGTAATTTCACAGTTATAACATTGTTGAGTCAAGAAGTATTCAACTGGAGAGCATCATCTCTCGAAAGCACTCTGGATTTCCATTAGATGGCGTCAGTAGTGGTGGAGCTCAAGAAGGTTGAGTAATTGATATCTGGGTCTCTTGTATAAGTCTCACTCAAGGTGGTGGTACAACGAAGAGTTCCAGTTGGTTCAGTTGCTGCAAGTTTAGGAAAATCTTTAGCACATTGAACAAGTGCCTCTGACAAATAAGGAGAGTAATACTTCCACAGTGTCCACCCACATTCCAAACACTCACTGTAGTGCTTTTGGAAAGGCGTTGGAGCATCCTCATTGCACACACAGCCAGGGGTGTAAGGACCAGAAAATGTGTCGGTCATATTCTCAGAACACTTTTGACCTTCAATGATCATCAATCCACAAACCTCGTGACATTCATAAGTAGCACAGAGATCTTCACGGCCACTGCTACCTTGAGCATTAGCCATGCCTGGAAGGACAGAGATGGTTGCAAGAATGGTTAGACCGATAGTTTGAATAGAGAATTGCATTGCGTAAAGTATTGCTTATTTGGAACTGAGCTTGTTGATATTCCTTGTTACAAGTGGTTAGTTGATTTTGAAAGGGATTCAGTCGTCCTTTTATAGTAAAAGTTTGCAAGCACTGACACGTAGGTAGTGGACTTCTGTTCGTATCCAAGTGCTAAACGAACAAGGGCGTTACATTTTGATTAGTCTTGGATGACAACGTGGTGTATTGCAAACTGCAAAGGCGAATAGTACTGCTAGAGGTGTGAGTTGTTGGAAAAAGGCCTTTCTGCATCATTTTGGATGATGTGCATATGCGCTTCCGTGCAAGTGCCTTTACTCAACACGGGGCTCGTCAATTACGTACAGCTTAGTATAAACTAATTACACCGAATTAATGGCTTCTCTTTAGAAAACCTTGGATGTGTTTTCCCACAAAACACGCATATAGTGCCCCAGTTTACATGTCAAAGGCAATAAATAGGGGTCCAAGACCTGTCTGAATATGTACACCCGTTCATGATGGACTCTTTTTTCTTGACAGGTGCAAAGAGCTCATGAGGAATTCCAAAGTTACGAAGTAAAAGTGGTGTATAATATTCCTACGTAGTTAGATATATGCTGTACAAGGCAGAAAACACCTGTCAGTTGGACCACCGTTGCGACAGAAACTCTTTCAATATCCGTCAGAAGTATTCCATATTAAAAAAAGGTGCATAGTCTCAAAATGAGCAAAACTGCTGCACTGTAGGCTTAGTTGGTGATCATGTGTACCGTATGGTATACCAACATGTGTTTTCTTTTCGAATAGAAGTTAATTTACTTTCTTTTTGCTTCATCTCTCACTACCAAACGACAAGGAACAGGTGTTAAAGTGGAGCCCCAAATCAACAACCTTTGCTGCTGTAAAGCTAAGAAAATTTGTATAATGTAGGTAATATACGATATAATTAATTAGTATCATTCTAATTGACACCTTTTACAATGAAATTTATAGCCTTGTGTGAAAGTTTGTTGAGATTCTCAATGGCTAAACAGCCATATATGGAACACATTAAGGAACTTGAATAAAACAAGTGTTTAAATCATGGTGACTATCACCGCATAACTTATGCTCCGCTTCTAATAACCTTTCACTGTGCTGTATGGTACTGCCTAGCGGTCATTGGTGTCTTGGAAAACACCCAAGATCAAGACATTTGGAGTCTACATTTGAAGCCTAGATGGGCATGCTCTTCACCTTGACCCCTATGTTCTTGTAATTGCTTCTGATATTTGCTCACCACGTGTGCCGGTGTTATCGTCGTTCTTGATATCAAAGTGGTTGTTCTTCCATGTATCTTTAACTGTGCGACAGTTCAACCTACAAGTCCAACTTACTGTGTTGTTGAATTCCACGAGTTCTACAGGCTCTGAGAATGTGAAACTGAAGTACACAGATCTGAATATGTTGTATAAACTGTGTAAAGGATCATACTCAAATTATCAACCAAGATGCCATTTGTATTGCGTGTCCTTTGTTGATCACAATTGAGTAATACATCAGGACTTAACTTGCACGTCAATTGTAGACAGCAAAGTTCTATTTAGAACCTTGTGAACTGAGCATTCACGTTCGTTTATGAGTACCTACAGATTATGTACTACAAAAGAAAGAAAGTATCCATTCTAACAAGGAACAGATATTGACAAACTTGAAGCAAGTAGAATCTAAAATTACGCTCTAAAATTCTCAAGGTTATCTTATTGTTTCGAACTTACCTTAGACAGTTACTTCTTAACGATAACAATGTGAACGAAGAGCTGAGATCTCATATCACTTCAGACTACCCAACCACTCTTATTCATGACAGGCAATTGGCTGTAAGAGAAGGGAAACACACTTAGTTTTGTTCAAACAACTCAAACTAAACAGCGTTTCTAGGAGGCTATGTCAGGTATGTCCGGGTTTTTTTCATTTGGCCTCATTTAGGTGAACAAAAATTTATTCTTGCGCGAGCGATGAGCTTCTTCCCACGCCAGGATACTTATTCATTATCTGAGACAAGCAGTGAGAAGGTTCCAATGACAGTTGCATCTCTCTTAGCATCTCATGACAATGGAGATAATTGGGCACTTGATTTCGTGCCTTTGAAAAACCATGGGCTTGTGACCTCGTTCAGTGACGGGACTCTGAAGCTGTACCCAGTTGGAGGTCCACTAGGAAGGTCATTCACCTCGATCCGCACGATCAAGGCCCATGATTGTTCCATCAAACGTGCTAGATCAATTGATGGCAACGATTTAGTTGGTACTGCTGGTGAAGACGGTATTAAGATTTTTGACTTGAGACAACAGGGAGACAAAGCTGTGATGTCATTCCACAACGAAAGAAATATACCGTTTCTATCTCTTGATGCTAAAGCGCATCTGTTAGCTGGAGGTACGGAATTGAAGCAGCAGGACTCAGAGTTGTACATCTGGGACCTCAGATCCACAGGAGTCGTACGGTCATTTGTCGACTCGCATCATGATGACATTACAGAGCTGAGATTCCATCCAACTGACGATACATTCCTCTTAAGTGGTTCAACAGACGGGTATGTTAACATCTATGATTTGACGATCCCTGAGGAGGATGATTCGTTGTACCAGGTGATCAATTTTGCATCTATCCACTCTGCTGGATGGTTAAGCGCCAACCGTATCTACACTCTTTCTCATATGGAAACCTTTGCGATTCATGAGTTGAACGACAGAAGCGACTCGAATGTTGAGCCTCAGCCGTTAGAGTTCGGCGACGTTAGAGACAAGTGGGAATGTGAATATGTGGTTGATGTGTATCCTGGGTTCATTGCCAAGGGTTCTAATTCTCGATTCATTGCTTCGCTATGTCCATTTAGGGACGAACAGATAGATCTGATCAACAAGGTTGATTTGAACAGCGCACATGGAGAGGAGGTTGTAAGAACAGTTTATTGTCCACCGAACAGTGATTTGATCTATACCGGTGGAGAGGATGGATGTGTCAAGGTGTGGAGATCGGACGTGCACCTCAATGCACCAGAGGCTTTCGTAGAGAATGTTTACGAAGGAGACGCCATGGACGTTGACGTTGATGTTGACGAGGAGGGCCAGGAGGAGAGCTCTGAGAAGGAGAAGAGTTCTAAAAAGGAGAAGAAGGAGAAGAAGGACAAGAAGGAGAAGAAAGAGAAGAAGGACAAGAAGGAGAAGAAGGAGAAGAAGGAGAAGAAGAAGGAGGAGGAGAAGAAAGACAAGAAGGAGAAGAAGGAGAAGAAAGACAAGAAAGACAAGAAGGACAAGAAGGACAAAACACACAGGTTCAAACCGTATTAGCCCACATAAATAAACAGACTAATCCAGAAATACCACAACGCCCACGCAATCGCCTCCACTGGCCAATAAATTGTTAAGCATTGTAAACATTGTAAACATTGTCAGCATCGAAAGCCCAAAACAAAAACAAAAACAATCACGAAATGCCATAGCGGAAGAGGAAAAAGACAAAAAACGCATTTTCCACAAAAAGCACAGCGGGCCACAGCAAAAAAGGGGATCAATTTTCCAACAACGAAAACATCAACACATTGAAAAAGTAAACAAACGGTTTCTTACTTCAGAGGAATCTCCGGCGCAAAAGGAAGAATTGTTCATATTCTCTGATATTTGGCTCCCATTCAGTCGACAGCACCAGCGGAACACGTGACGAGGAGCAGATTCGAGCGGTATTCGCAGCGCAAGCAGTTATATAGTGGACAAAGCAAAGTGATTCAGAAGGACGATGCAGAGGCCTCCGCCACCGAATGCGTTCTCACCAGGCACGGTGTTGACGGTTGGATCACACACGGCGGTTGTTGTGAAGTACATCTCGGAAGGTGGTTTTGCGCATGTTTATGAGGTTAAGATCTCTCCCGCTGAGAATGGCACTGCTATTGCCTGTCTCAAAAGAGTGGTTGTGCCGGACAAGCACAGTCTCAACACCCTCAGGGCGGAAGTGGATTCCATGAAGCGGGTGTCTGGGTTCAGGCACATTGTGTCGTATATTGACTCCCACGCAGCCAGGCTGGAGGGTGGCCAAGGTTATGAGGTGTTTGTCCTGATGGAATTGTGCTCCAAAAAGGGGTTGATCGATTTCATGAACACCCGTCTTCAGAATCGCCTTACAGAGCCGGAAGTGTTGAGAATTATGGGCGAGATTACAGAAGGCGTGGCAAACATGCACGCTTTGAAGCCACCTTTGCTTCATAGGGATATCAAGATTGAAAACGTTCTCATTGCTGACAATGGTGATTACAAGCTCTGTGATTTTGGATCTGCTTCGCCGGTACTGCGCCCACCAAGAAATTCCGAAGAGTTCAGCATTCTGCAAAATGACATATTGAAGAATACAACACCACAATACAGATCACCTGAGATGGTTGATCTATACCGCGGATTGCCAATAGATGAAAAATCTGATGTATGGGCATTAGGTGTGTTTCTCTACAAGGTTTGTTACTACACGACTCCATTCGAGTCAAAAGGTGAACTTGCATTGCTTCATGCAAAGTTTGACTTCCCTCAAAAACCGGTTTATTCAGATCGTTTGAAGAACTTGATCTCTGTGCTTTTGAGGGAGGATCCAAGACGACGCCCAAATGCTTTCCAAACTTTAGAAGAGGTTTGTCGTATGCGTGGTGTTCCGACGCCAATCGTCGACTTTACTAACGTTCCACTGTCACCTCCTTCTTCAAGTGTTGATTTGTTACAGCCGCCACCACCACAACAACAGAAACAGTTCAATGGACAAAGAATCACAAATTCTGTATCCCCTATCCCATCTATATCTATGCAGCCCACACCAATCACCACAGGAGTACAGAATAATGCTGCTGCGTTGTCTAAATCAACACCAAATTTGAGAAGAGATTACACTACTGGTACTCTTCAGGATCCAAGGTTTGCCGTACCAAAACAGAGTCAAATGGAAATAGGTCTTAACAAAAACAGTTTCTCTAAACCTCCGCCAAAACCTCCAAGACCACAGACATTTGCAAGTGCTACACCACTGGAGCAGTCAATTGGAAACCTTTCAATTTCATCAAAAACCACGAAACCACAGGTCCCAGCAAAGCCAAAATACGTTGATAGTGTTGTGCAGACTGATGATGGCGAAACTATTCCTCCAAAGACAAAAGCCAGAGTGTCACATCAACGTCCGAAGAGTATGTATGCATCAACACCTTCGTTTGAGAATAGACAGACGTTGGACCCATACCACTCTTCAAGTCATGAAACAAATGAACTCAAACGTATCATAACTGGCTTATCGACAACTACATCGGCAGATACGGTAGAGTTGTCTCCAGGTGAGAACAACCACATTGATAACAGTGTTGACTTTTTGAAAAGTTTACAACAACAAGACTCCGGAAAGTCGTGGGTGCAGCAGACCACAGGTGGTAGTTTGAGATCTCTGCGCCATATCAGCACTGGATCTAAGAAGAGATCAAGTTTGATTGGTCAAGTCACTGGTATGCTAAGCCGCACTCATAGCAGATCAAGCTCAAGAGCCTCATCAATTCATGAGTCTAGTGGAATATATCACAGCAATTCAAACAGCTTGAAATACAAGTCATCTTCTGAGAGTATAGAGGAAGAAATCGTTCAACCACAACAGATTAAAATAAAGACAGGATCATCCTCTATCCAGAGAAGAATCCAAGGGTTGTTGAATAGACAAGGTGATCCACCGGTTGTTAGAACAGCTAAGGGTTATGGTAATGATGCGACAAATGAATCAGGCACATCGAAAGCAAGAGCCTCGATTGACAATGAGGGATTCAAACAACCACCAATATTGAAAAAACCAATCGCTCTTCCAAAACGGAAGACAGTTCCCCAGACTCCACCACTATCTGCACAATCTACACCAAGTACTGTCACAAGAACACCAGCTTCAAAAGATTCTGATTCTAAGTCTTCAGATTCACCATCCACCTTGAAAAAGGCACCACCAAAGCCCAAGAAACCATCACATTTAAAGGCCAATGCAAGTACATTAAAAGCTGACAATTGGGACCCTGATGATACACTCACTAGAAGCATTAGTAGATTGAGTGATGTCAGTAGGGTAAGTGACATGAGTATTCCAGATATCGACGATTTGGAACAGAGTTTCCATGACAGATTCCCAAGTCATCCATGAAGAGGAATGATGGGGAGATGGAAGATGAAGCAGTACTACAATTCAAAAAAAAAGTTTGTGTTATATACAGTCCGATCATTATGCATATGAGAATCTTATCTCTCATACAATGTAGAATAATAATACACAATTTGTGGGAATCTTCCAAATTAATGAGTTGAACTGCTATCATAATCCTCAAAAGAGTCTAGAATGAAGTCAGTAGTCTCACTGAATCTTTCCTCCAAGATATTATCAACACCGTCAGTATCACTCTTTAACACTCTACCGAATTTCTTTCTTGGTTTTTTGCTTTCTGTACCATCAGGGCCCCAACATGAGTGATTGACACTGGTGAATATCAAAGAGTTCTTGAAGAACCAATCAGTCATTGCTTCATCAACCAATGGGACAATTGGTCTCAGTACATTTCTGTCAACCACAGCAATACTAGCTTTTACAATCTTACGTACCTCTCTATGGCCCAACAGATGAACAATGCCAGCATATGAATCACCAAGGCCAACAAAGGCAATCTTTGTTGCCTTGAAATATTGAATATAGTTGTCCCAAAGATAAAGTAAGACATCATGTGATGAACTGAAACTTTCATCAGACAAGCCCGGATCAGGGATGTTTATGTCAATAAATGCAAAGTTCTCCTGCTTTGACCATTCCATCAGTTTCAATGTGGAGTCAATAATGATAGATCCAGATGGATTGATTAGTCCACTGACAGGATCAACTTTAGCCCATACCTCAGCCGGATCGTGTACTGCAATTATTATAGTGTCCGCATCATAAATCCCTGGTGATGCCAGAATCTGGTTGGCTGTTTCAGAAGCTGGTCTATCGTTGAAGATAGGAAGGTTAATGAAATTATACTTGGTGAATAGGTCTGTTGCCTGTTGTGAACGTATAGCTTCTTGTAAATCAAAGTTCTTATTTCCATCTCCAGTTGGTACAGAGTGGTCAATTGCAGAATGTCCTGGACGTAATATCTTGAAGTACTTGGATTGAATCTCAATAACAGAACCAATTGTTTCCACTGCCTCAATCTTTGGTGTTATAGTCTTCAAACTATCTGGTGGCTCACCAACCAACACTTTTGCCACTGCCAATGCAGAGACAGCAATTGAGTCGAGATTATAACCACCTTCAAGGACAACAACTAGATTCCCCTTCGCTAGACTCTTGAGCATATGTGTCATATGGCCGTACGCACCTGGCGAGACGTGGCACTGACCAATCATGTCACCATCGGCAGCATCAAATCCTGATGAAATTATAACAAGATCTGGGTCAAACTCGTGACAAATTGGCATGACAACTTGATTGAATGCATATATGTAGTCTGCATCACCCATTCCGGCAACCGGCCAAGGGATATTCACGTTTGTTCCAACACCAGCCCCTTCTCCGACTTGATCTGCAGCTCCTGCAAGGGTACCTGGATAGTACTTACCAGCTTCATATCTGTGTAGGGAAATATACAAGACTCTTGGGTCATCATAGAATGCCTTTTGAGTACCGTTACCGTGATGGACGTCCCAATCTAGCACGACAATCTTTCTAACTGATTCAGGGTAGTTCTTCAGTATGTTCTTTGCAGCAACAGCAACGTTTGAGAATAGACAGAACCCACCAGGAGTATCTGGCTCAGCGTGATGACCTGGAGGACGTACAACAGCTAATGCGTTTTTAACTTTGCCTTCGACAACCGCTTTACAAGCCTCAATGGCACCACCACAACTTAGCTTAGCGCCCAAGTAGGAGTCGTGGTTGAAGTACACAGAGTCTCCCTTCTCGGTAAGTTCCATAAGCTGTTCCTTTGTCATTGATGTTGTACTTTCAATGAAATTCAAGTGTTCCCTAGTGTGCACTTGTAAAATCTCCTCAGCCTTGGCTTCTCTCACGGGTATCTTCAGCATCAAGTCACCAATGGAATCCACACCGGAGAGTGTTGGGTCGGTGATGAGGCCCGACTCGGCCAAGATCTTATAGATACGATAGATACGTCTGGGGTCCTCTGGATGAGGATCTATGTATTCAAAATACGACGTGAATATCTTTGCGTGGTATCTCATACGCACGTCGTAGCAGAGCCCAGTCTTCAGTGGAATGTAGTGGACCTCAGGTGGTACAGCGGGTACGATAATGGCCTTATCCTTGGCCAGCGTGCCGTTATGTCCATTTACAACTTCATCCTTCACAGCATTAGCCGCCGAACCTGAATCATCCCCATCCTCAAGGCTGTCAATCTTTCTCTTTTCTGGTTTAACGTGTGGTGAGCCACAACCATCTGTTTCCCTCTGGGTGCTTTCCGAGTGAGCCATCTCAGCGTCCTCTTGGACAGGCTCCAACTCCTCTCGTTTTACTTCCGCCATGGCCTTCAGATCTAGGCGTCGTTTGACTCTCTAACTGCTCTCTTTCGTAGTCCGCCAGGTATCGCGGTGGTCGTTGCTATCAGCAGTTGAGCACTTCCTCGAGCAACACGATCAGCACAATGTTCAACAGCGTACAGTAAGCAAGTCTTCTTCGTCTAAGTGGAATCGAGAACGTACGAAAGCCGCCGTGAGGACCCGTTTGCTTTGTTTTGTTTTGTTTTGCTTCGTGAGGTGAAAGAAAAACAAAGCAAACGGGAGGAAAACCAACGAAAAAAGAGGAAAAACCACAAAGACCCCAAAGACCACAAAGAGCCGCCGTGTGGCGCGTACCAAACAACTCTACACCACTAAAAAAGTTTCGATCACCAAGCTCATCGCTTCTACGCTTAGGGCCTCGAGCGCTGTGCTGGTTCTGACCATTTGAGGCACAAGGAGCAGCATGAACTTATACAAGGAGGCGTCATGGTTTCTCTCTTCGAATGGGAAGGAAGGGTCCTTGCAGACAAGGATCTTCAACGCGTCACAGGCGAAGAAGGTGAAGACCAACCCGAAGCACTTGTATGCGCTTGTGTCTTCCACGTTGAAGTACAAGCCCTATATAAAGAAGATCATCAAGAGCGCTAAGCTGCTGGAGCTTGAGAAGGCGCTGAAGGAGCCCATGGCGTTGCTGCTGGTGCATGATCTGCTGTTCACCAAGTCTGGTCGTATTCAGATGGGGAAGACTCCTCTGAAGGAGTCAGTGCTGAGGCACAAGACCAGGCTCAATGCCGAGCTGACAAAACTAAAGCTGAAGCATAAGGTCAAGTCCTTAGATGAGCTGATAGATGAAGACGACACCCCTGTGAGATGGTTTAGGGTAAACACTTTGCTAGCGGATGTCGATTCTGTGCTGTCATCGCTGGACTTGAAAGAGGTTGCCTCTGTTGGTAAACTGCAGCCTGGCTGTATCTACAGGGATGAGTACATACCCAATTTGTTTGGAGTTAGCCCGAAGGAGAGGGTCACACAATCTGCTCTTTACGAAAATGGCTCTATCATCATACAAGATAGAGCGTCGTGCTTCCCTGCCTTCATTCTGAACCCACAAGAGGGCGACTCTGTCATTGATGCCTGTGCTGCTCCTGGTAACAAAACTACTCACCTAGCAGCACATGTTGGTCCGAGGGGAGCCATCACAGCCTTTGAGAGAGATATTAGACGCTCAAACATCCTAAAGCAGATGGTTAAGAAAGCAGGAGCAGACTCCATTGTTACTGTCAATGTCGGTGACTTTACACATTCAAACCCTGATGATTTTACAGACGTCACAGGTCTTGTTGTGGACCCTTCTTGTTCAGGAAGTGGTACATTTGGAAGAGCATACGAGGAGGAGAATCCTCAAGACTCTTACAGCGAAGAAAGATTGCAGAAGCTATCATCGTTCCAGTTCTCAATAGTGAAGCATGCGTTGAGCTTCCCCTCTGCGAAGAAAGTTGTCTATTCAACGTGTTCCATCCATGCACAGGAAAATGAGCGTGTTGTTGTAGATCTTTTAAACGATTCAAACGTGAAGAGAGCAGGCTGGAGAGTAGCCAACAGATCCAGAATCATACCTATGTGGCATAGAAGAGGTTTAGTTGAAGAGTTTGAAGGGTTCCCAAACCCTGAACAATTGGCTGGAGGATGTGTCAGAGCTTTGCCCAAAGTTGATGGAGGCATTGGGTTCTTTGCAGTGCTTTTCGAAAGAGATTCCACTACTGAAGAGGGATCGGTTGACCACTCAGCTGGGAAACAAGCTGTTCAACCATCACAGGAACAAGTGAAGTCACAGGGACAGCCTGACTCAGAATCAGAACCGGAATCAGACTACGAAGAATGGAATGGCTTTGACTAATTTCTACAAAATACATAAGCTCATATAAATTGATCATTCGAAGTTATTTACACGTATGTATTCATCCGTATACCATAATCTAGAGACGTCTGATGATGTCAGCAACAACCTCCTGGGTAGAAGATTTACCACCAAGATCTGGGGTCTTGATGGCATCCTCCTTCAAGTTAGCATCAACAGCGGTGTAGATGTCAGCAGCAGGCTCCGCATGGCCCATGAACTCCAACATCAATGCAGTGGATCTAATGGTGGCAATTGGGTTGGCAATACCCTTACCTTCAATATCTGGAGCAGAACCGTGACATGGCTCACCAATGACGTAGTCATCACCAACGTTGGCAGATGGAACAACACCAAGGGAGCCCACGAGAGCAGCAGCACCATCTGAAAGGATATCACCGTACAAGTTTGGTGCAACGACAACGTCAAAGATCTCTGGCTCACGGAACATTCTGTAAACCATTGAATCAACAATCTGTTCCTGCAAACTGATTGAGGAGTACTTATCTTGGTTAGCGTTGTAGAAGTTTCTGATGGTCTCACGGAACAAGCCATCAGACACACTCAAGACGTTTGACTTGTGAGTAATGGTGACAATTGGAGACTTGTGAAGAGAGGCAGCACCAAGGTCTCTTTGGGCTTGACGCTGGAGAGCAATATCAAGGGCAATCTTACCAATTCTCTTGGATGCGTACTCTGAGATTCTCTTGATGGCCTCAGCAGTCTTGGTACCGTCTGGGTTCTCAATCAATTTCTCCTCCTTGACGTACAAGTCCTCAGTGTTCTCACGAACAATCACCATATCAACTGGACGTCCAACTCCTTCAACGGACTTGACAGGACGAACGTTGGCGTAAAGGCCGAGCTTCTTACGAAGAGCAACGATTGGTGAAGAGTAACCAGCAACCTTGGTGGTTGGAGAAGAAACAGCACCAAACAGCGCACCGTCGGTTTCCTTCTTCAAGATCTCAACGGTCTCATCTGGTAGCGCAGTACCAGTCTTCTTGAAGTGTTCGAAACCGGCTTGAAGCTCAACAAACTCAAACTTGAGGCCGTGCTTGGAAGAGACAGCCTCAAGGATTTGGCGACCAGTCGGGATCACTTCCCTTCCGATACCGTCACCTGGAATCAACCCTATTTTACCCCAACGTTAGTACTTCGTAGTCCGGAGAGGGGGGTCCACCAGGCTGCTGGCTTCAATTGAACAGCACATACCAATTCTAAGGGTCTTGGAGGCTGTGGAGTACAGACGTGCACTTCTGATTGTGTTTCTGGCGCTGAGCATTGTTATGTATAGTTGCTTGTTTCCAATTGAGAGTGTAATAGGAAAGAAGGGAAAGTGAAGGAATCCAGATTTTGTTCAGAATCTGTGGGTTTGGTGATGATGTACGCGTTCCGGAGTCGGCATTTAGAGCGGTATCGGTGCACATTGTGAAGCTGAGTGAGCATTTGACACAACTGTGATGCTAGAGGCGGCCATCATGTGTCGGATGCCTGTTAACAGAACAGAAGTGTGTGCTAGAGGACAGTTGATTGCTTAATGGTGCCATTGTTTTTTGTCAATTGGGCTTTGAACAAATTATACACAGTTTTGGAATATTCCAATTTACGGGAGTTTTCTTCCTCCGTGTGAAGCTCATCGCATAGCGCAAAAACTTCACTACAACCTACAAATGCGTATACATTGCCACCGTTTGGATCTTCGTTACCAGCGTATGGAAGATGGCTAAGAGGCTGAAAGCGAGAACTGGTGGTGGGAAACTGGCCAATGCTCTTCTGAGACATCAAGAGATGGAGAAGAAAGTGAAGAAGAGCAAGCCGACCCATAATGGCCATCAGATGGAACAGAAGAGAGAGAGCAAACAGATTCGCAAGAATAGAGAGATCCAGAAGAGTCAGCAGAAGTCGTTTGTTCCCTTTGAGAAAGACGACTACGTGCTGCTGGTTGGTGAAGGCGATATGTCGTTTGCCTTAAGCATCTTGAACCAAGGCTATGTGAAGCCAACGAGGTTGATCGTTACCAGTTATGATAACTCTCCGAGCGAGTTGAAATTGAAGTATCCACACACATTTGAACAAAACTATGAACAGCTCACTCAGGTGCACAAGGCAAAGGTTTTCTTCAAGGTAGATGCTACCAAGCTGTTATCCTCGTTGAAATTGACCCCGAAGACCCTGTTCAAGGTCTTTGGCATCCCAAAATTAGATGCTATAATGTTCAACTTCCCTCATACTGGCCGTGGCATTAAAGACCAGGATAGAAATATAAGAGATCACCAGATGCTGGTGTTGGGGTATATGAAATCCTCCACTGAATTGTTTGATCTGTTCAACCGTGTCTCACCAACGCTGAACACCACGGGGCTCAACGTTGTTTCATCATCCACTGAGTCACAAGTGCGTATAGTTTTAACTGTATTTGAAGGTGAGCCATACGATTCCTGGAATATCAAATCATTATCAAAGACCTTGGGCTTGAAAGTGGCAAGATCTGGTGAATTCCAGTGGGAAGACTTCCCAGAAAAAAAATCCCAGAATATCACCATAGAAGAACAAACTCTGAACAAGACACTACAAAGAAAGCACATGAGAGGAAAGCACGTATATACATCTTTGAGAAGTTCGTCAAAGGTGTAGACTCTGCAAAGAAGAAAAGACGTCACGACGAGTCCGAACCTGATAGTGATTGAGAACGAATGGCTCAATACACAATATCAAGTCGGGAACATTGTAATCATATCAGCTGTAGTGAAGCTTTCTAGCTTAATTGGATCAACAATTTCATCCCCTTGAGGGTTTGATCCTTTGCTAAATGCCAGTAGTTTGGCCTTGTCATAGATATTCCCATTAGGTAACATCACTGGAGTCTCGAACAAATGTGATTGAACAACATGCGAATAAGGCAACAAAGAGTTGAGTTGACGGAATTCTAAAGAACATATAGGACACGAGCTTTGTTCGAAATGATCATCAGTGGATAGCTTTTCAGCTAGTATGTGGTCAAACGACATCACATCTGTCTCATGACTGGTTAGGCATGATCTTGTCTTCAAAGAAGACACACCGACACTGAGATACACCAACAACGGGTCCTCCTCTGGAATGCCGTGCATTTTGTAGTAGATGCTCAGGAATAAATCTGACAGGTAAGTGTATCTATCTGCCGATAACAGTGCGTTGTATCTTTGAAAGTTCACATTGCCCACATTACACTGTGCCTTCTTGGCGAAGATCAGCAAGCCAGTTGCAAGCTGGATATCACGGAAGTAGGTTCTTGTGAATTGAATCAGATAATCGTTGAACAGTCTGATAGCACCAGAAAAGTCGGAGGATTTGACCAGCTCAACGTACTCCTGGAATCTAGTTTCAAACTCAAGCCGTGACTTGATCTTCTTCAAATAAGACTTGTTGTCGTTAATCCACTGGATAAGCACGCCCAAGTCCTTGTTCAGGATGTGAGAGGATATCTTATTGGACAGAAGGATGATGTCGGAGTCGATCATATCTTCAAAATGGAAGCTCTTCAACAGTAGTAAACCAGAGTTTGAATCAACATTGTGATCATTCTTCAGCAGATAGTCAGCAACAAGCAGATTCGTTTGATCACGGTACCATTTCAACAATCTAGTGTCGTTGAGGTCGTGGATGGCCGCTCCAGAGTCTTTCAACCTCTTCAGCTCCTCCAGTTTGTCCAGCCTCTTCCGTATTCTCGTCTGCAGATTCTTCTCTACTTCGATCTTGGACTTGACCTTCTTCTCGTGTGTCTTTAGAGACGCCACGATCTGCTTTAGCTTCTGACGCTGTGCCTCTTTGGTCTTGCACTTTGCCATCTCCTTCACGAGATCATCCGTCTTCTTGAAGACCTTCTCATCAATCTTCTGTAGCCCCTTAATGTTACGTTTCATCGACTCCACTGGGATCTTTAAGGACGATTCCTGTAGTCTGACATGGAAGTCAACAGAAGGCTCACATGGCTTGTCACTCATGCTGGTAATTGGTTGATTGCTCTTATCTTGAGGCAAGAAGATGTAGGCTCATCGTTGTAGAAACGGGGATGGCCTCCGCAATATAAATATCAACTGGTAAACACCACACACAGCAGGCCTGAGGACGTTATCTACGCGATATCTCATGATCATAGCTCATATATCGATGGTACGTACAGCATCAACTACTTTCAATATCACTAAGATTGACATCTCCCATGGCTCGCAGCCCACAGTAGTTCTGCGCAATCACGATGTTCAGCCCATCAGCATCGACAAAGTCCTTCCTTAAAGCATTCCAGTCCCCAGACTGCTGGATGGTTTGTAGATCATTGAGAACCTCTCTGGCAATCCTGCGGATCGCCTTTGATAGAACAGGTTTATCCATCTGATCAACGACTGCGAAGAACCCTTCAATGTCTGCGATGAATTCATCGATTGAATGGTAGGCCTTTTTATCGACTTTCAGCTTCATTTGAGACAGTGTAGTGCACTTAGCGTCAACACTTGTTACATCAACATCCAAGAGAAACCTTGAGGAGTCTATGTTGAGGATCTTCTTCATAATTGTTTCAATTGCAGAGTTATAGGGGAAATAGGTGAGATTAACGATATTGGTCTCTTCCCTTTGAGACTCCAATTGCAACTGGGCCTTCTTTGTGATTGAGCTGCTTATGTCCTCCAGCTTTACAATGTCCTGGAGCAGAGTCTCTGCAAATGTGAGCTTCTCAGTGATATCCTCTGGATTACCACCATTATAAGCAGTTGCACCGTCGGTTCTTCGTATCAACGGTGCACCTCTCTTCATCTCACGTTTCATGCACCAGTACTTTGTAAGTTTCTGAGATAGCGTCTCATTATCACCATTTATCTTTAGTTTTGTCAAGAATCTGGTGAGTATCTCTGCGAAATAGTTTGGTGGTATCGGTGTACCCTTTGATGTTTTCCATTTCTTCTTCTTCTGTATTGCATTTTTCTTATCCACACGGAACGAGTTCTTGTTATGTTGATGGTTTAACGATTCAATTGTGCTGAAATACAACCTGGTCTTTTCAATACCCTCAAGTACCTTATGTTCTTTGTTATACTCTGCAGATGAATGTTTATGACACCATGCAGCCATCGAGGTCTTATCCAGAACTGCACCTTGAATACCTTTATCCATGGTCATCAATAGCCCTGCACGTCTTGCACAGGTTGGATGGAACGCTGCAAAGCAACTCTTATTGGCACATTGAATAGGTGCGCCAACCTTCTGCTTACATAGATAGCATTGTAGTTTCCATCTGCCCTTTGGAATCGCTTCAATTCCTTCAATTGGTTCCATATGACCAGCACTTGCAAAGTATAACTCTGGAATCCACAGCCCACAAAGAACATGGGACCATAGTCCATTTTCTGTCTGCTTAAATGCACCCGTTGTTGAGGGGCAGAACTGGCACTTGATCTTACGCTTTTTCGAAACCATACACCTTCTACAGAGCCATTGACCCTCAGGGATAAACACCACACCATAACAGTCCTGATGCACTGCAATATCACATCCATCGCAGAATATGATTGCGTTCGAGTTATCACAATCAGTGCCATCACAGACGGCACAGTGCTGTTCCTCCATCACGTGCATACCAATGCCATCATCAGATCCGTATAGATCTGTGAAGGCTCGTGCTGCAGTGTCCTTTGCACTCAGCTCATCAGATTCTTTATAAGAATGTCGTAACTTTGGGGGTATCTTCCGCTCGAGATGGTACCATTCATTCTCCAGCAAAGTCATAGCGCACTCAAACAGCTCTCTTGAAATGACCGTTTTTTGGTCTTCAGATGTACTGTTCAGATAGGCCAGATAGTAGTTATCCTGTTCGTCCATGTCGTACGAAGACTTGAAGTTCAACTGGTTCTTCGAAATGTCCAGAAAGAACTGGTTGTTCTGCTCCCTCTCAACAAACTGGTCGTTCTCCCGAATGTACGTGCTTGAGACTTGAGACAGCGAGCTCACCTTATAACCAAGCCGTGCAATCGACCTTGGAATCTTGCTGTTGTCCCTTGGAAGCACCTCCTTCGGTATCTTGTTGAACACTGGCTTGTTGAGATGGTGTATTCTGCTCGACCGGCGGCTGCTATTACTACCACTACCACTTCCACTGTCGCTAGCACTGCTCGACTGATCTGTCTTAACACTCACATACAACAACGACTCTTCGTCCAAGTTAGGATAGTAATCCTTGTAGTGATGCTCTTCTCGAGGTTTGAAAGGATCGTAGTGCATTTCTATCGTCTACGGAGGCGCTCAATGCCAACAGTTCGATGGCTTCAAATGGCTTGTTTACAAGTTTTGTACTGCTCTCTGTAAACTGTGAGAAATTTCGTCTGTCGCGCGGGTTTCGGTTTCCCTCTGCCGAGCGCGCGCTCATAACCTCGGCGCTCCCATCACCTCAACAACGTTCTGGGTATTAACAGTGACAGTGCTGAAAAGCATCCAGGATTCAGGGAGTTTTGTAGTGCTACACGTAGTTTGATTTTATTGGAACTAACGTATCATTAACAGTAGGATACCTCTTCCAGACGGTTACGTGTTCAGTTGTTCAATTGGTACCAATCATCAGTTTTCAGCATAGCATCCACATCGAAATACATCGATGCTCCATTGGTATTATTATCTAGATTGGCACCAGTGTTATAGTCCTGTCGTTGCTGTTGCTGTTGTTGTTGTTGTGGTTGAGCTGATAGTTGTTGCTGATGTTGAAGTGGTTCCGAACTTGTACTATTGATATCTCCAGCTGATGATGTGGGTGTTGTATTCCTATCAGGGTACTTGGATAGTTCTTCAATTCTTGTAATCAGCTCCTCCTGCCTCGTCTTCTGAGCTTCTAGCACCTTGTGCAGATGCTCCACGTATTGAACAGTTTTGTTGATGATGACAGATTTACTAGCCTTAACCTCCTTACCATCGTCATCAACTAGTAATAACGACGGTGGGACAATCAAGCCTAGCTCTTTGATCTTTTGCTTGATCAGATCTCTTCTACGACGTTCCACTTGGTTATGGAATTCCCTTCTTCTTCTCAGTTTCTCGTCCTTTGACATTTGTTGCTTTGGAAGAGACCCACCGCCTGGAGAGGCAGCCATGCTTCTCGGAGACCTTAAAGCATCAACAGACGCATAGGGACTCAGCGCATCGTTGAAGGAGGTTCCAGGACTGTTGATGGAAGTACCAAGTGAGTGCTGAAAAGATGACGGCTGAAGGTATATGCTGTTCTTCCGTTGTGTTTGGAATGGAATGTGCTTGCTTGCTGGTGGTGAAAAATACTGAGCATTTATAGCGTCAGAAGTGGACTGTTGTCCAGGACTGGCAATACTCTCCAGCGTATCGTAAATGGAGCCCTGACGTTGTGCTTGGAATGAAGTTGACAAATGTGAATTTATAGGGTATGATGATTGAGCAGGTGACGCGTAACCCTTATGGAATGAGTCATGTACTGAACCTGGCACAGATGAGCGTGACAACAACGTTGTCGGGTCCAGCGTATCCGATCTGTCATTCAAATCGCTTATATTTGATGAACCTAGCTGGTTGTCGTTGATGGTTTCAATATTGATATCGATGTCATTCTCGTTGTTGCCGTTGCTGTTGATACCAAAATTGTAACCCCCAGCATTCTCTTGTTGCTGAAGCCCTGTATACGCAGTGGGATTGAAGTCCAGAAGTTCATGCTCTGGAATTGCCGATGAGACGTCAAACGGGAAGTCGTCAGACCCTGTTGGTATGTCACCGTCAAACTTGAGGAAGTCGTCCGTCATTCTTCTTAACAGGTGTGTGTAGAGTTTATCCGTTTGTTTTCTGTAGCGCTATAGCTAACAGCCTATAGAATGAAAAGATGAGCGGAAACACACGGAGAAAAAGGTAAAAATGAAAGTGGTGAGTAGATTAGAGTGGGTACCTCTTTGTATATGAGCTGTTGAGCGTTCAATGAGTTGTGTTCTCTTTAATTTAGCACTATGAGAGCCAATGTTGAAAAGTGAACTGTGGGGGGTTTTTTCAAAGGTTTACCGCACTTTTTTTTCGTTATTTTCGTTTTCGCTGTTTTGTCCCTTGTTGTCGCAAGTCTATGTAAATTGCGAAAACCGTAGGCCGTGTGGCCTTCTCGCAACATTTCGCAATTCATCACGCCTGGCTCAACCACTTCGCAAGCGCAACGTATCTTCAACACCTCTGTTTGGAGAAGTGACGCTTCTCACCTCTAGTGGACTCACAATATAATGACAGATACGGGCGAGTCCTCTCTGAGAGAACAGTGGAATCGGTGGAACTCGACACACACCACCAGCTCATCGGGTGTGAATGAAGGTGCAAAGACGTTCTTCAGTGGGTGGGCGGAGACTTTGAACAACACGGCCAACGATGTGTACAACAGGCTGCCATTGACACAACAAGATGCCGATTCCGTCGCACAACAGGAGCCAGAGTGGTTCACGCTCTCACGGTTCGAGCGTCTTATGGGGTTTATCGCGTGTCTTCTCGGCTCCGCGGTTTGTTTCACCATTTCCTTCTTGCTGTTCCCAGTATTGGCCCTCAAGCCACGGAAATTTGGACTGTTGTGGTCTTTAGGGTCTTTGCTCTTTGTAATATCGTTCGGGTTGCTACAAGGTCCCGTGGCTTACTTCAAGCACCTCACGTCATCCTCGAGACTTCCCTTCACGGTGCTATTCTTCTCCTCGGTGATATTGACTATATACTTTGCCGCCGTGGTCAAATCCACCATTTTAACCTTGATCTCCAGCGTATTCGAAGTCGTGGCAATCATATACTACACGGTCAGTTACTTCCCCTTCGGTGCTCAGGGTTTACGCATGGCGACCGCTGTTGGTGCAAGGCAAATAGGCTCATTCGCTGGTTTCTGATCCTATGAGTCCCCGCCTAAGCGCCTCTCTCGAACTACTAAGCACACAGTCTATGATCAACACACAGTCTGTGATCAACACACAGTCTATGATGAACACACAGTCTATGATCAACACACAGTCTATGATCAACACTCAGTTCATGTGATAAATACACGCTCATCGTATCCGCATACGCATCACCAGTTGAATCCACCGTTGTAATCCTACGTAGCTAGCGACAATCAGGCAGTGTGAGCCTCCGTTCTTCTCTATGTGCATACTGAATACTACACAGGCAGCTCTTCGCATGCTAAACACAGTAACTTTCCGTTTCCGGGTGTTCTGATGTTTTTTCTCTGTCTGCGTTGTTGTCGTTGTTTTTGTGTACGCGCGCTCCACTGTTTTGGGCGTTTTTCCAGGGGGGGGGGGCGAGAGCGAGAAAACCTCAATATTCGCCACCGATTGATCAAAGCTTCCAAAACACACACGTCAACACAGATCACAGGAAAGTATTTAAACACGGCGGTTAATCCTATTGGAACCTCAATTGTTTATTGATTTGCTTTTGATCATATTCGTATACGGGAGGAACTTGCCACTGATTCAACACAATGGCGGAAGATAAGAAGACACTGCTAGATGCCTCTGGCGCTGACAACGCTGCTGAAGATGCCACCGCAACGGCTATCTTGAGAAGAAAGAAGAAAGAGAACGGTGAGTGTAATTGGGAGACCCTGGTGTTGTCTGTCAACAAGTACGCGCAGATCGACTAACAACCACGTATAGCTCTCCTCGTTGACGATGCGGTGAATGACGATAACTCTGTCATTGCCATGACATCCAACACTATGGAACGCCTCCAGCTGTTTAGAGGAGACACTGTTCTCGTCAAGGGAAAGAAGCGTAAAGACACCGTGCTTATTGTCATGGTGGACGATGACATTGACGATGGTGCTGTTAGAATCAACAGAGTTGTACGTAACAACTTGCGTGTTAGATTGGGTGATATTGTTACGGTTCATCCATGTCCAGATATCAAGTATGCGTCAAGAATCTCCGTTCTCCCAATCGCCGATACCGTTGAGGGCTTAACAGGTTCTCTCTTTGAGGTGTACTTGAAGCCATACTTTGTTGAGGCCTACAGACCAGTCAGAAAGGGAGACCACTTTGTCGTGAGAGGAGGTATGAGACAAGTTGAATTCAAAGTTGTCGAGGTTGAACCAGCTGAGTACGCCATTGTCGCACAGGACACCATCATCCACTATGAAGGTGAGCCAATCAACAGAGAGGATGAAGAGAACAACATCAATGAGGTTGGTTATGACGACATTGGTGGCTGCCGTAAGCAGATGGCACAAATTAGAGAACTCGTTGAGTTGCCACTCAGACACCCACAGTTGTTCAAGTCCATCGGTATCAAACCACCAAAGGGTATCTTGATGTACGGTCCTCCAGGTACTGGTAAGACGCTTATGGCACGTGCTGTGGCCAACGAAACTGGTGCATTCTTTTTCCTTATCAACGGTCCAGAAGTTATGTCCAAGATGGCTGGTGAGTCAGAGTCGAACTTGAGAAAGGCATTTGAAGAGGCTGAAAAGAACGCTCCAGCAATTATCTTCATTGACGAGATTGACTCCATTGCACCAAAGAGAGACAAGACAAATGGGGAGGTTGAGAGAAGAGTTGTTTCGCAGTTGTTGACCTTGATGGATGGTATGAAGGCCAGATCCAACGTTGTTGTTATCGCTGCCACCAACAGACCAAACTCCATTGACCCTGCCTTGAGAAGATTTGGAAGATTTGACCGTGAGGTTGACATTGGTATTCCAGACGCCACTGGTCGTTTGGAAGTGTTAAGAATTCACACAAAAAACATGAAGTTGGCTGGTGACGTTGACTTGGAGGCAATCGCCACCGAAACACATGGTTACGTCGGTGCCGATATTGCATCGTTGTGTTCTGAGGCTGCCATGCAACAAATTCGTGAAAAGATGGATCTTATCGATTTGGATGAGGATGAAATCGATGCTGAAGTCTTGGACTCATTGGGTGTTACCATGGAGAACTTCAGATTTGCATTGGGTAACTCCAACCCATCAGCCTTGCGTGAAACTGTTGTTGAAAGCGTCAATGTCACTTGGGATGACATTGGTGGTTTGGATAACATCAAGAATGAGTTGAAGGAGACCGTTGAGTACCCTGTGCTTCATCCAGATCAATACCAAAAGTTCGGATTGGCTCCTTCGAAGGGTGTCTTATTCTTTGGTCCACCAGGTACCGGTAAGACCTTGCTTGCAAAGGCTGTTGCCACTGAGGTTTCTGCAAACTTCATCTCAGTCAAGGGTCCAGAATTATTGAGTATGTACTTTGGTGAATCAGAGTCTAACATTCGTGATATCTTTGACAAGGCTAGAGCTGCTGCACCAACTGTTGTCTTCCTTGATGAGTTGGATTCTATTGCTAAAGCAAGAGGTAACTCCCTTGGTGATGCCGGTGGTGCCTCTGATCGTGTTGTGAACCAATTGTTGACTGAGATGGATGGTATGAATGCTAAGAAGAATGTGTTTGTTGTTGGTGCAACTAACAGACCTGATCAAATCGATCCTGCTATCTTGCGTCCAGGTCGTTTGGATCAATTGATCTATGTCCCACTTCCAGATGAACCAGCACGTCTCTCTATCTTGCAGGCACAGTTGAGAAAGACACCTTTAGAGCCAGGCTTGGACTTGGGTGCGATTGCAAAGACGACACATGGTTTCTCTGGTGCTGATTTATCATACATTGTTCAAAGAGCTGCAAAGTTCGCTATCAAGGATTCCATTGAGGCTCAAATCCGTCAAGCAAAGGAGAAAGAGGCCAAGGTAAAACAAGAAGGCGATGATGTTGATATGAAGGAGGGTGAAGAGGAAGAGGAAGAGGATGCTGTTCCATATATCACAAAGGCTCACTTTGAAGAGGCTATGAAGACTGCTAAGCGCTCTGTCAGTGATGCTGAATTGCGTCGTTATGAAGCATACGCTCAACAGATCCAGGCTTCAAGAGGACAATACACAAACTTCAAGTTTGGATCCTCAAGTGGTGACCAAACTATTCCAGAGTCTAGTGCTGGTGGTTCGGGTAACTTCGGTGCTGGCGAAGAAGAGGATGACCTATACAGCTAATCATCGATTCTGTGAAGATGTTGTTTGCCCCCCAACGCCATACATAATGGAAGCGAGGTACGCAACGATAATTCAAATACAATTATATTGGAACTCGTTCTTTACATTACTACATGTAGCTTCATAGATATTAAGATTGTCATTGTATTCACTAAGTGTGATTTGGTTTGTTCGTTTGCTGTATTCGACCTGCTGTCCAACCCGTGGAGTTCACAGTGCGCTGAAATTTTACTATCATCTCTGATTAAAGTGGGACTCATTATGCGGTCAAACCTTTAGCGTACCAGCGTTGACCAGACTGTTGAACGAAGACGCTGGTTTCTTGATCTCCCTCTGTACAACGTTCATATTCTTCGTCTTCAAAGGTTGTACCTCTTCCAGTAGTACTGGCGGTTGTCTCAAGTGGTTATGTAATGAAGAGTTTGACTGTGCAGATGAAAGGCTCGAGAGTGTTGATCTTGAGCTGCTTGCAGACATCAGACTTGGCATTGAGCTTAGTGAAGAAGAAGCAGAAACGATAGAGTCTTGTGCCCTTGGAGTGGCAGATAGCAACGCCGAAAGGCGAGTTGTTGAAGTCGTATTTGCCGGTGTGTAGTACAGCTTTTGGCGTTGTGCGAGCTGTTCCTGTGCGCGTCTCTTCAAATCCATCTTTATAGGTTCTAAGAAGTATCCTAGTGAGGCGATCAAATCGTCATTTGTGATGGTCAGGTCCCAATTGAGGTACTCCAGCAACTCACGTTCGATTGTGTTCACCTCCTCAATTTGTAGTAAGCCATCGGTATAAGCAGTCCAATGCTTATTGATTGGTGACGAATCGTTTAGACTCTTTGCCGTTAGGATCAGACATCCGAGAAAGATTCTATGGCGAGTGGTTTCAATTCCATACACATTTGAAGGGAGAATAGCCTTTAGACGTGCCAAATAGACCAAAGTGGACATCAGCGTTGGTGTTTGGACATTTGAGTGTTTGATCAAGCGACGGATGAACTCGAAAAGCGGCACTGGCTGTGACGCACTCTGGGAATACGAACATGGTGAAGACGGTGGTGATGGATACGCGGAGGTCTTCACTTTGATCAGCGAGTTCGTCACGTCAACGAGGTACTGGACCATCTCAGAGCTGACTCTCTTGCGTTGGAAATGAAGAAGCGCTTCTTTGTCGGACATATTTGGTGACTGCAGTGACTGAGAATGTACAGGACGGTCTATATGGTGTAATGTGTCTCTCTTCGACGGCTCAGCTGAGGTTGCAGAGATGAACGGGTACCAGCAAGAGACAAGGGAAACAAGAAAAAGTGGTTCGTTGAAGGTTGTTTTATATGGCTATTGGCGAACCTCTCGAGTGTTTTTTTTTTGCTCTCAGTCTCTCCTCGCTTGTTTACACTCGTGTACCTTTGAGATGCGTAGTGTGTTGACAAAAGCACCGTGATGTTCTGCAGGTCGCGTGCAAAGGTTTCCCTCAGTGTTTACGCGTTTAAGTGTCAGAAGCAAATTTGAAGGGGTGCCGTTGCGTGCGTGCGGTTCTAGACGCTACTCTGCTTTCCTCTGTGTAGACGAGCGATATCAACGGTTAAAAGTATGGGAAACTGTGTTCTAATGAGAATGGAAGGATAATGTATTGGCTTTATAAAACGCTGAGGGTCCTCTGTGTTACGATGTATCTCAAGTATTTGGGCGAGAATGCATAGATCAATTTTCGTCTGAACCAGCCTCTTTCCTAAAGGAGTAATAATCAGGTTGATCTGGATCACTCGCCTGCATTTTTTCGGTCTCTGTCTCTCGAGCATTGTATCACCATTGGGCTGGAAACTATTCTCGGGTCCAGCGAGGCTTGGTTGCTCTTGTGATAATCGGGGGTTGACTACAAGAACCAGACTCCCATCTAGAGCGGAACATCTTATTTTTATCCAAAGGTTCATCTCCACGAGATATTTTAGAGGTGCTTTTTGCAGTGCGCTGTGTGCCATTTTAGCGTGCGCGCGTCCAGAGATGAAGTGAAAACGAAAAAACGAAAACAAAAAGAAATGCTCACCTAGCGCGTTTCTCGGCGTGCAACAAACCCCTTCGCATGGGGATTAATATGGGGCGGGCGGTGCATCTTACGCAGCATAAACGCTTCCAAGGGCCAACGCGGGCTGGTGGTTTATACAACGTGTTACCGCAAGAGATGAGCTCGGATCATACAGTGCATGACACTCTCCAGACGGTGGGCTTGCCTGGCCTGGGAAGGTGCGTTGTACAGAACTCTTACACCTTACGGTCATTGTTGTGTTTCGTGCCATATATGCCTCAAGTTTCGCTGTGTTGTAGTAACGCACATCCTTCCAGTGGGCAAAATTCCACGACAGGCCCACCGGCTGTTTGTTGTGAAAGGTTCAACTCGATCGGGGCGCAAGTGTCGGCGCTGGTGGTAGTTTTGGAAGGCAAGTGGAGCGATGTCAATTGATCTGGAATGATATGGAATGATCTGGTGCGTGTGATTGATGCTCCAGAGGCCATGGCAGTTAGTACAAGCGTAAAGCACCACGGTCCCTTTTGAAACAAAGCGGGCGGTCGCAACTGTGGTGTCACGTGACTTCCTCTTTTCGGACTATTTCCCGATTCGTTGTGTTTTGGCGCTCGTTGATAAACTTTTGGCGTCAAAAAGTGTCAAACACAGTTTCTGCTTCTGTTTTTTATCTTTACATTGCGTTTTTCCGCAACGGAGACGCAAACAGAACTTATCTCATCATCAGATACCTGAATTATTTGTGTGTGTTTTGTGGCTTCCTCCCCCTTTTGATCTCTTCTGTTTTGCTCCGTGACGGTTTCAACTAAGCAGCCTGGCACTCTGAGACAACAAAGCACTACAACGTATCACACAGGATGCTTCCAGCTACTGCGCTCTTACTACTGGTCTTATTCGTGGGTTCCCAGTGGGTCATCACCCCGGTGTTCAAACGGTTGTTGCCATCTATAGGAATAACCACTGTGGATTCGTCGATAACGTCTCAGAACAGCACGTTGGTGATAACAGTGGAGAACTTCAACCTGGCATCTGATCTCAAGTTGTACCATATCCATCCGTACAGAGAGATCTCAAGACATAGCTTTGAGAAATGGGTAGAGGAGCAGGTTGAGATTTCGTTCGACAAGATCTTGAAGAACATTGGCGATCACAACTGGAGCGAAGACTTGATCTTGGATAACGTGTCTGAAGGTGCGATCATTGCGAGTCCATCTAGACACCAGCCTGATTATTTCTACCAGTGGATCAGAGATGGCGCAATAACCATCAACTCCGTTACAAACTTCCTATCGGATGTTGATTCATTCAAGAACAAATCGCTACAGTTGACCATTGAGAATTATCTACGCAACAGTCACAGACTACAGCGAACTGATAATCCGAGTGGTAAATATGACGGCCAACTAAAGAACTTGGGTGAGCCCAAGTTCGAGGTTGATTCGACTCCATTTTGGGGTAATTGGGGCAGACCTCAAAACGATGGCCCTTCTCTAAGGGTCATTGCAGTGAGCAATTTTATAAGAAGCTTGGAAAGGTTCAATGGCGCATTGATTCAGACTCATGAGTTCTCAGACGTTGAAGACCTATATCATAGCATCGTAAAGCTCGATTTGCAGTATATCTGTCTCTATTGGAAAGATAAAAATTTTGATCTCTGGGAAGAAGTTGACTCCTATCATTTCTTTACATCAATTACGCAGTTGAAGGCTTTGAAGATTGGCATTGAGCTCTATGAAAAGTTCGAAGACGAAGATATAGAATTTGGTTACAGTTTGAGATCAACTTCTGACATGTTGAACGACTTCATCTTTAACGAGTCAGGGTTTGTTAACGATGGTGTGAACCACATATTGGAGACTCCATCCATTGTCTATAAGAGAAGCGGACTCGATGCAGCTACATTGCTTGGCTCTTTACTCACTCACGACGATGACGATGATGGTTGTGACAATGGTTACAACGTAGATCAAGATCCTGTACCGTTTGACGTTACTGATAGATTGGTGTTAAACACACTCAGTGAAATGGTTAAAGCAATGAAATTCCTATACCCTATAAACAAGGACAGGCTGGATTTGAATCTTGGTGTTGCTCTTGGTCGATACCCAGAGGATGTCTACGATGGGCTTGGAGTCAGTGAGGGAAACCCATGGTTCTTATGTACTTTGGCTGCAAGTGAATTGATGTTCAAGTTGATCCATCGACTCTCTAACGCGAGACAGGATCTAATCATCGATAGAGGGAACCATCGGTTCTATTTCAACCACATTGTTGAGATTGATGAGGTGTTCCCGTACATGACTGGTGCTCAAAAGAACTACTTGGATTTACAAGTCATAATCCCTTATAACTCTTTGGCTTTCAACCAAACCATTTGGAACATTTTCAAATACGGGGATTCGTTCTTGGATGTTGTCAGGGAGCATGTAAGTGATGAGGGATCCATGAGCGAACAGTTCAACAGGTATACTGGGTATATGCAAGGGGCTGAAGATTTAACCTGGAGTTATGGTTCATTTTGGAGCACGTATAGATGGCGTAAGAGAGCTTTGGCGATCATTGGTGACAGGCTCACCAAGAAGGTTGTGTAATTGATCCTTTCATGAGGGCTGGTTTTAATCTTTCACTTACAACAATTATTTAGAACAAATGACAATGTTACAACTCGCTTTTTTTTCTCTATCTATGTTGGTTCTTTACATGTATATACAAGACGTCACGGTTGGGATCTCACCTCTGAGATTGCCCCCATGTGTGGAATTCATCCAACCAGTCCTTCCAGCCACAGTAATCTGTCAGTACTTGTACGCTTCTGGTTTGAACAATGGACTCGATGTCCCGTTCGTTTTGAATCCACGAGCGCAAGCTATCGATCTGCTCAGTCTTTGCCTGGCTCTCATGGTCCAAGTCCTTCTGAGCGTATGGATCAAGCCTCAAATCTTTATTCTCAATGACGTGCTTCTCAACAGAGGGATCCGTCTGGCTCGACTTGAGCTCCAGCTCCAATTTGGAAGCTTCGCCCTCACAGTACTCAATCGCCGCCAGCCTGGCTTTCCACGCTGGAAACACAACGCCATCGAGGAACGAAGAGCACGAGATGTCGCCTCTCGTGCTACTCTTAACAGAGCGTGACGTCAAAGAGTTCAACCGCTGTTTCAGCACGTCGTCAACAGAGTGTCTCGAGAGCTGGAGAAAAGAACGCAGTCCCCTTGCGCTGAGACACGATCTCCTGTCCAGCTGAGGGCGCTCCGGCACTGGAGGGAACTCATCCGCGTTGTCAGCTGTCCATAAGCTCATCCTTCAAACGGTCTACAGCACTGCTCCTGGTCTCTGTTGATCCTACAACCTCTCCCAGCAATGTGCCACCTGGACCTTGGCTGAAGGGCTTTGGAACCTTCTGGAAGAAATTTCGACACTACGCACAAAGCGCAATCTCCAGCTGTGTCTGTGTGTGTCTCTATCACCAAACGAGGGCACACGCAAAGGCAAAGCCGTACAAGACGAGACCATAGAGCAATTGAAGCGTGAACCGCACAGTCCTGCTCAGTTTGTCCATCATTCGCAAGTGACGGTAACGGAGAATGGAGTCATTGCACAGAATATTCAACGACGACGCCCAGCTGGCTGCCTATGTCCACGCTGTTGCGCTTCACCTCACCAAGATCAACGAGTATGCCTCTCATAGGAAGTCGCCAGAGCTCATCGAGTACAACGTTGGCGGGGTCATCAGCATCGTGGACCGTCTCAGAGCGCTTGCCGCTGCTCGTGGCGAGTTCCATGATGACGAAGGGGAGCTTGCTGTGCTGCTCCGTGATGCCTGGTTCATAAGAGAGGATGGCCGTCCTCGTGGCGGTGGCGGCGGTGATGTGTTTACGAAGGAGTTCTACAACAGCGATTTCGACCCTTCCGCCACGTTGGGCATCGCCATCGCCCAGTTGCTCGTGTCGCTCAAGCAAGATGTTGATGGCGCTACAGGCCAGATGTTTGAAACGTGTGCGTCTCTGTTGAGACGGTACAGCGGGTATTTGCAGACAGGTCGTGAGCACTCTGCGATTATGGAGGATGAAAACGGTGATGAGCACTTGTCGCTTGCAAGGTTTTTCAGAAGCCTGTACCTGTTGAGGGAGGAGCGGTTGAAGGACAACGTTGTTCGCAGCCAGGACCTCCGTAATGAGGGCAATGCTGTGTTCAAGCAGGGGAAGTTTGGTGCAGCGATAGCCAAATATACAGAGGCCATCTTGCTTGATCCAACAAACTATGTGCTCTATTCCAACAGGGCTGCCTGTTACAACTATCTCAATGCTGCAGATAGTGCAATCACTGACCTGCTCAAATCTATTGAGCTTAATGAAAGCTTCCAGCCTTCGTGGGCAAGGTTGGGTTATTGTTATCTTGCCCAGGGCAATGCTTCAAAGAGTGTTGAGGCATACGTCAAGGCCATTGAATTGGCAAATCAACAGGAATTATTGCCACAGTTTATTCGGAAGCTTGTTGAGTCTTTGAACTACGCGGAACAAAGGGCAAAGTCCCAAGGAGTGCCGTCCTCGGAGTTGGAGAACTTGACTCAGCGTATCCGTGACATTAGAATTCGATACCCTGAACAGTCAAGATCTCCACGAACTGGAACTTCACCAGTGCCTCAGCAACAGCAGCAACCTCAACAACAAGGAACCTATGGATCTAATGGTAATCAAACCGTTTTCGGTAGATTCCCAGGCGGCGTGTTCGCTGCGGATGGTGGTGATGGTAACGGTGCTGAAACACTTGGTGGCGACCCACAACAGGTCAATTACCCTGTGTTCACTGATGCCACCCAAAACGGTGCTATTCAACAGGCTATTAGCTTCATGATGAACGCCTTTGATCAGAATAATGCTACACAGAATACACAACGAGGTGATGGTCAAACCCAGCAAAGCACAGCGACTCAAACAAACACACAGCAACAGCAAGTCAATAATCAACCAGGTAATATTGGAGCTCAAAGCACAGAACAAACACAGAATAACGATGCTGATGAAATGGCAGATGATCCAGAAATATCTCTACCAGATGATTCTCACGAACAACAAGCACAACAACAGCAGCAGCAACAAGGAGGTCAATCACAGGGCGCAAATAGAATCCAACAACAGCATATACCGCAAAATATCCAGAATGTGCTGTTGGGGGCTCTACCAAACGCTTTGAGAAATACAGTAGCACCAATCATAGCACAAACGCTCAGCAATGCACTTGGTGGTGGGCAGAATGGCCAAGGTGCAACGTACACAACGGTAAGCATCTCACCTGATCAGATGAATGCAAACCAGAGGGGCCTGAGTCAAAGTACCAATTCTGCAAATGCAACTTCCACTACCAACGGTGCAGGTACTAATGCAAGTGTGAATAACAACGCCAACTTGTCGCCGGTAACAACACCAGGATCAGAACCATCGACAAGCAGGATCGCTACAGAAACACCTAGTGGCAATACAAGTGATGCAAATGCACCAAGTGCTAATTTCATTAATCGTGGATCCTCTACAGAGTCCGGATCAAACACAACACCTTCGGCTTCCGCTTCTGACTCAGCTCCAACCCAAGATGGTGATCATGATATGGATCACGATATTGATCTCGATTAGTACAGGTTATAGCCCACAATACATGAATTGTCTTTTTTTGGTTTGGAGGTATACTGAAACTCTAAGGTAGCATGGCCTATGTTCAAAATGCTCTTATTCTCGAAGAGATCTCCTAAATCACTCTTGATCCAACACCTCTGTTCGTAACTACTGCGTGCAGACGAGTTGTGCATAGAGAAAGACCGCACGATGATGAAACCTCGTGGTACTTGTCTATATCGACATACGCACAAGCCAACTACATGCCTATGTAGTTGTAGGTAAAAGTCCTGTATATGTGGTCACAACTCATAAAAGTCGCACCGTTGCCATATCGAAGGTACATGTACGGCTCATCTGTTAGATGATTTGATACACAGCAGCAATTCTTTCAAGGAGGAGAACGATGAATGTAGTCTGCATGTCTGCAGTTTACATTTGTATGTCTCACATCTAACGTATACGTAGCAATGCACGAGTTGATCCACTAGAGACCACATGTCGATCACCATATGCAGCCTCCATAACTTGAAACTGGATTGATGAGAAAGTCTTGGTCCGAAATCTGATCAAGTTCAAGACAGTCATACTTCCAACGTTGCGTACATATGTGTACGCCTGAGCTGGAAGCACTTCATTCTTACGAGGTTTAGAGCCGGTTGTGCATTAAGCCTTGGGGCTTTGTTGGTCGGCTTCACTACCCTAGGTCTAATATGCCTTGATCGTCAGTGCTTTGGTCTAGGACAAAAAGTTTGAGACATACTGCCAGATGGGTCTTGCACTAACATCTGTACACATTCATACAAGTTGCTTCAAGAGCACTGGATCAAAAGCAAGCAGGTGTTATTATTCGAACGTATGTAGCTCAAATTCCAAACTTGGAGCGAACCAGCCCTTTCACAAGGTCTTTCTTTGCATCGTTGATGGTCTCGTTCATACTTTGATTGGCTTTCGTTGCGTAATCATTGATCGACTCCTCCACCGTGTTGTACCCGTTTTGGACTGTTCTGAAAACAGAGCGAGTCGGATCATACCCACCGTTGGTTCTCCCACGTACAGGCTTCGTGTAAGCGAAGTCATCTTCACTGCTATTTCCACTCTTACCAGAAACAGCCTCCAATGTGACCTGTCCATTGGCAATTTCAGACTCCTTAGTCTTTGGACGAGATCTGTATTCACCACCAATCAATCTGTCCAACTCGTCGTACGTCATTGGTTTAACACCCTTCATCCATTGAGCAGTACCAATCTGTGGTCTGTAAGGAATACGCTTTTGAGTCACTAGTTGATCCTTTGGCTGCTGTGCGAACGATTGTCCGGTTCCACATATGTTAACGAGGCATGCCTGTGACCCGGATATACGAACAAGGACATCACCAGAAGGTAAAACAGAAGAATAACGCCCAAATCTGGCATCCACGTTGAAAGGTAACTCCAAGGATTTGATTTCCCTGAGCTCAGGCAGAGATAGTACCTTGATGACTCCATTAGCGAGCAGTGTAGGAACACATGAAGCATACGGCTTTGCTGTAGACCCTTTAATTGCGACGATGGACAACGAGGCTGCCATTACAGGGTGATTGAATAACTTCTGTGATAATTTTGCCTTTCCTGGAATGAAAATTCTCAAATCCTGAGTTGAGACAAGAAGAACTTCACCGGCAATGAGAAGTCCATCAGCTAGTTGATGAAATACATCAAAAGTTGCAATTGCAGGAGTTCCAGTCTGTTGCTTGAAAGGAACAATATCCAATATTTCACCTTGGTTAGTACGAACAACATCCACCAGTTGAGCTGAAAATCTTCCTGAGGATTCAGGAAGAATCTTGAAAGTTAAACATTCTCCAGCATCGGTACCACCAAACAAAAGAATACTAGAATATCCATCATCACCGTACGTCATTATAGAAAACTCCAATGATGTGATTCTACCACTTTCAGCTGTATGTTTACGTGTGATATTGTCCTCATAAATGACAGCTGGTCCTCTTCGGTCGACAATAATCAAGTCACCACATTCATACGCAATGGCAACAAAGCCTATACCACTGTTCTTCAAGGCACTAATACGTCCTCGTTGACCATGAATGGCACAAATTGGTAAGAACCCATCTTTGAAGTTTGGTGTGCGGTCTCTCAAGTCAACCATGAGCTTACGCTCTCTCCCGATGGATAATGCGTCCATATTCACTTCGAGAGTTCTCATATTAGGATCAAACCTTTTGTTGACTCCAAACTTATACAAAACGACATCACCACCTTCAGTCGCAACAGCCAGTTCAGCATTATCACCAGCAAAAGAGATTTTCTCAACAGCAACTCCGGAAATGGTATTCAATGTTTGCGAGACATTCGCCTCAAGGACAGTAGATTCAGGCAACTCACTGTAAGATGAATCAAAGAGACGAACAGATCCGTTGACGTGGCCAGTACCCAAAGCAGAACGCATGGCGTTCACTTTCAAGTTGGTCTTTTTAGGAATGCCACCTTGCAATAAGTTTTCGTGCTTACTCGGTCTTGCAACCATGCCTAACCACTGCTGTTTTGGGACGGCAAAGGTATCAGATATCGTTGTACGAGGATGGATCCATAACAAACTCTGTGGGAGAAGAGTGGATTTGTAATTAAGCGTACCTGAAGGCAATCTCAGATTCTCCACTTCTCCGGTGTCTAAGAGCGCTAGGAGAAACCTTGGATCATGTCCGCCATCAAAGAATGGCGATCTTGTTGCAAAAGGTAAGAAGTCAATCAATGAAGACGTGTTTTGAATTGGCAAGAATCTCAACTGTTTTGGTTCTGCGTAGTATTTACCCATCTTTTCATACGATGTTAACGAGTACTTTGGTGCAACGCCAAAGTGCAACACGCTGAGATTATGGATCCCTTGTCCTTCTGGAGTATCACCTCCTGCAATGATCAAGGAAGTATCATCTGGATCAGCATGACAAATCCATTTCACCTTTAAGAACCTCTCATTTGTCGGTCCCTGTTGTGCTGACCCACCGCCCTTCTGTGTGAGATTAACGTAGGTATCAAACAGTGATCTTGCCTGCAACAACTCGCCAGTCAATGCGTCCCAAAAGACAAGCGAACCGTCCTCATGTGCAGTGAGCACGTTCAACGAATTCGGGTGATACGTGGCCTGCAACAGCTTTGGGTATCTTATCGCAGAACCCATTTGCCCGTCGCCTCCTGGCGCGTAAGGTGGAATCTCATAAACCATTGATGTCTTGATCTCGTCAGATGCCAGCGAATACACAAGAGCACACTTGTCGTATGCCACCAGCAGCGTGCCAATATCCCTCGGGTTGAACTGGATCGAAACCACCTGTGATAATTTCTCCTTTGGCAGTACTCTCTTTTGCAAATTGTCCAGTTTAAACCGTGTCAGGTTCCCCCTGTCGATGTCATAGGCAACAATAGACCCGTTCTGCAAACCAAGCACCAACCAGTCCAGCGACGGATCAGTTTCAAAGGCAGTAACAACTCCCGGCGGCGAGAACGCTGACAGCTGTTGGTTTGAGTATATGGAGAACACATAGATCGTACTCTTCGCATCCAAACAGACAAGGTACACACCTTTCACGAACCTCATGTGTTTGATGGCGGTCCGCGCGGTCAGGATAACTTCAACCTGCTGCTGTCCAAAGACGTGGATAGTCCCAGCATCTGTTGAGATCGCAAGCAGACTCTGCACCGGGTCGTATGCCATCGCAACGGCCTTGCCGCTTATACCAAACCTACCAACCTGGACGAGGTCGTTAGTCCTTCCCGCTACATCATCAACAAAGGCTCCAGACACAACACACTTACATCATCAAGCGCAAAGGACTTGCCTGTGAGGCCCTGTGATAGATCAGCAGTGCCCACCGACTTTATCGCGTTGGCAACGGTGCTCTTGATACGCTTACTCTTGAACATTGCAACCGCTCTGGCTCGTGGGCTCCAACAATGCTTGTGGGCTCCAGTGATGCTCGTTTATTCCTTCGTATTGTTTTGCTTTTGTTCCTTTAAACGGTCCGCGGCACAGCTCAACGATTTCCCCGTGTGGGTTTTAATAGAGCGTTGCCCTGGCAATAAATTGTCCCGGTAACAAATTGTCCCGGTAACACATTGCCCCGGTAACGCATTGCCTCGGCAACGCATAATCACCGTCCTCCCCGGTTGCGTCATAGGCAGCGCCATCTACATACAAAGCTCACAGCGTATATACAACAAACACTCACTTGCTATTACACTTACAAGAACACCCAGGCACGGGGCATATGACGCTCTTTGTGAACCAGGCCTCTGCGTGGCCAGCGTGCATGCCGTGGTTGCACGTGAGGCAGAAACTGGGCCATTCCTTGAACTCGTGCATCCTGGTCTCGTCTTCCCTCTCGTACTGTGACATGTCCCTAGGCAGAGGTCTGCCTAGTGGGAGTAGACAGATGGCACACTTTGGGAAGGCTGCACCGCAGTGGGGACAGACGGAGTGTGATTTTGTAGAGGTGTCACGGGTGCTGGGCTTCTTATTGGCGTCTGGTTTGAAGATGTTCTTATTACAGCGGACGCATTGTAGCTGTGCCTGTGAACCGATGACGCTGATGGACATCTCCCCGGTGGATCTCTTGGACACCTGTGCTCTCATCACGTCGAACTTGGCCCTTGCGGCGAACATTCCCCAGCTGTTGAGTAGTTGGCGGTAGTAGAAGACCCAGCTTTCGGCCCTCTCGTCCTTGAAGTACTTTGGTGCTCCAAAGCTGGCAATCAGCGCTGCTGTTTGTATATCGCTTGTTCGATCGACATACGATTGCATAAGATCCATACCACGAGGTGTAATGCCGGTCAAGATCAGACCTTCCAATTCTCCCGTGGAGATGTACCTTGAGGCAACTTTGTTCAAGAAGCTCGTGAGTTCCTTATCAGGCAAGTATCGCAGTGCCACACCAACACGTTCTCTCAATGGCAAGGAGGTTTCATCTAGGACTCCCCACCAATCATTATCTGCTATGTAGGCAAAGATAGCTCTCAAATAAGGATCCTCCAACTCGTTACTCAACCCTCTGCATTGGTCCTTCCATAGATTGTCATCGTCAGATTCTCTTTGGACCAGATACCCAGATATAGCAGTGGCCATCAGCCTCAATCTGTTGTTCTTTGTCGCAGAGAGGATCTGGACTGCACGTGAAACATCGCCAAAGAACACTGCCCATGCAGCTGCCTTTGTATGACTTCCAGAGGATGTCAGTCGGTTAAACACTTGGTTCAACTCTTCCGGTGAGTAGTAAAAACCTGCAACGATAATACACAGTTTCCGTTGGGCCTCTTTGTTGGTCTTGACAGCAATCATGGATTTCGTGTTTCGTGACTTCAAGATCTCCTGGATGCTCTCCTTGAAGACTTCAGGCGTAACGTTGCGTCTATTAAAACGGTCTTGATTCAAGAGTCCCTCCACGCCCTTCCAAATACCTAACACGCCTTCATATGAAAGATCTAATCCACCAGCAGACATGAGTTTGCTCTGTGCTGTGGTCTGGGAGATGTCTAACCATCTCCAAGTGGACCTCAAGAATAGATTGTTGTCAATGGTACTCAAATTGTCAATTATTTCAACGTTTTTAGCACAGCCCATTCCATATCCCATATATGCCCTTCTTCGCATCTTAACACTGATGTCTTTGCTGAGCACTTCACTAGCATCATAAAAGTCACCATGCTGTGAGCTACCAATTTCATCTTCATCTTCATCCTCGTCATCCTCATCATGCTCAAACTCGGTATCAACAAAGTTAACCTCTTCATGGTTGTTCTGTGTTACTAGTTCATCTCCCACAGTGTAAGTGATCTTCAAATCTTCGATTTTATCCATGGTGCTCTCATCAACGCTCTCTATAAAGGTGCCCAATGAACCAGTGACCGTAATGTCGTTAAACGAGTTGAAATCAATCGACCTTTGAGCTTCAACAACAGACATCTTGAAAATAGATCCGGTTAATCTCATGCAGACAAGACTTATAGCATCCATTCCTCCTTCATTGGCGTAGTCAAACGAGATCACACGGTCATACCTTGTTCTAACGTCTTGGACACTTGCAACGAACAATGAATCAAGCTTCCCCTGAGGAGATACGCCAGTCTGCCATCTACGTATGAGTTCACCTCCATGGGACGTAGCAAATTCACCTCGTCTTGAAGGGTGATAACGGAAACAAGAGTTGTTGTTATTCCTTGTAGTGTCGCCCAGTAGCTTGTTAAACGACAACAAGGGCTCCGACGACGAGCTTGATAGTTTTCTTCTATCATAAATAGCGACCGTACCATCGTCTGCAAACCCTGCGAATGAGAAATGGTTAAACGGATCCGGTGTGATCCCGTGCACAGTCTTCGAAGGTATTTGGAAGGTTGGCGACGATACTCTGATATCGATATCTCTGATAATCTTGGAACTTGACGCCAATAAGTTGGTCTCGTTGTAAAACTGCGTCGACACTATGGATTCATTGGGAACAAAGGAGAACGTTGGTTGTGTGATATCCTGGTTCGACAACTTGGAATACTGATTAACGTTGAATATCATTACACCGTCTTCGTTCTTAGTTCTATCCCACCCTACTGCCAATAAACCTTGAGAATTGAACGACAGACTCTTGCAGCTCTTATTACCAACCCTTATCTCCAATGGAGACGACTGTGGAGACAGAATGTCAAACAACGTAATAGAGCCATCGTCCTGTCCCACAGCAGTGATACCGGGTGACGTTCTCGAGTAGTCCAGTGCCGTGATCCCGTTGAACCCCTTTCTCGTGTACACTTTAGTGATGTTCTCCTGCTCTGGCCCCTATAGCGGTGTTAGTTCATTATCTATGAGACATAATATCAATATTGATACCCGTATACTCACTGGGTTGTGTATCGTCTGATGTATCGACACCTCATCCGCCAGCGCGTTGATGGTCAAGAATCTCTGCTCGTCTGATTCCTCCCATCCATACGCCCTCACAATTTTCCCCATCTTCTAAGTTGCCGTTGTGCCCTCTTTGCTGTTCCTTCTAGACCTCTCTGCCACTATGCTCAGCGTCTACATCACCACCGTAAACAAAGAACTCCGAGGATGGAGAGTAGGTGGTACGCGCAACACAGTCTTCGGATGTTTCCATAAACGGAGCATTACCCAATCTGGAAGTTTAGTCCGCTCTTCCCGTCCTGTGATTTCTTTTTTTCTCCCCCCCCTTATTTTAGTGTGCGAAATAAGCTTTCTCAGCCCCGAGAAGGCTTGCGACCACTGTGATGACTGTGACCATCTTGATCGCTGCGGCCACTGTGATCAGTGCGATCACGTGTTTTGAAAAAAAAAATCCCGTACAGCGCACAAAGCAGAGATAAATATTCTTTCACTTTCCTCATCATTCTTTTCTGAGGAACACACGCTCTCTCTCTTCAGTATCAACACTGCGGGTTTTGCTTGCGTTATCCCATGATGATGGACCTTCCAAGACTCGAAGACTACGAGATATCACCAAAGACCGGGTTCTTGCCCGAGAAACTGCCTCTTCAGAGACTCTCGGACCACTATTATGACCCGTGGGAGGACATTGCGAGTGTTCTACCGGCGTTGATCCTCACGAAGCGCACGAGAAAGCTCGTCGACAAGATGCCAGAGCTCTCGATTGAGCGTATCAAGAACGACAAGAGAGAGCTAAGACGTGCCTATTCGATCCTCTGTTTCATCACGCACGCCTATGTATGGGGTGTTGACACTGCCACTGACCATTTACCAAGCCAAATCGCCAACCCATTGTTACAGGTAGCAGATATATTGGAGATTCCACCTCTGGCAACGTATGCCAGCTTGATTCTTTGGAACTACAAGCTCATTTTGCCAACAGACGCTGATGAGGAGTTGGACTTGGATAATCTAACCACGATCAACACATATACCGGGTCTATTGATGAGAGCTGGTTCTACTTGGTGTCTGTGTACTTCGAGTACAAAGGAGCAAAGTGCATCACAAGAGGCTTGGACGCAATGCAAGCAGTTCGTGACGATGACCAGAAGAGGGTGGTGGAGGTTTTGAAGTACCTTGCCGAATCCATAGACATGCTAGGATCAGTCTTGATGCGTATGGAGGAGATGTGCGATCCACATACATTCTACTACAGAATAAGACCGTACTTGGCTGGCTGGAAGAACATGGCAGACGCAGGCTTGCCACAGGGGTTGAGATATGGAGAAGAGGAGAAGTACAGACTGTACGCCGGAGGCTCTAATGCCCAGTCCTCGTTGATTCAGACTTTGGACATAGTGCTAGGAGTGGAACACTTCCCAACAGGCCATAGACCTTCAAATGAAAAGGGTGTTTCAGTGCATTCAGGAACAAACAACTTCATGAACGACATGAGACAGTACATGCCAGGTCCTCATAGACGCTTCTTGGAGCATCTATCGTTGGTTGCCAACATTCGAAGCTATGTTCTGGAAAAGAACAACCCTGAGTTGACCTTGGCTTACGACGCATGTTTGGCAATGCTCAAGTCCTTCAGAGATAAGCACATTCAAATTGTGACCCGTTACATCATCCTCCAGGCTAAGCTGTATAAGAAGGCAGGTTCCACTAATACATTACGCTCTGGACTTTCGAAGACAGCTGAGAACACCGAGCAGAAGGGTACTGGTGGTACCTCTCTGTTGCCATTTCTCAAGCAATGCCGTGATGAAACCGGGGATCCCGCTGCTGGTGAATGGGGTAAGAAGATTCTGGGTGAAGGTATCTTGAAGACAAGACCAAAGGGTAAGGATGTCCAAAATGATGATGGTAAAGTGGTGAAGAAAGCAAGACTTGGACTTGCAGGCGACTGGAGCAGTAACTCTGATGACAAAACAGGTCATTGGTGACTCCAAACTATGCTCTAGTTTTCTATATTATACACATATATAACGATGTCAAAGAAACGACGAAGAACAAAGGCACTTGGTTTTATAATACCGGTTAATAATTTATATACGAGGGTTTTGTCATGAGGATCAGGGCGATGATGATGTAGCAGTTACAGCTCGCCAGTGTATTCACAATCCCTTTAGCAAACGAGTAACATTGTCGTATCCGTGGTCGTCCTTTGCCTCTGACAGCTTCTCCTGGACCTTGGATACAACTTGTTCCAATGGAACAATCTCACCATCGTCATCAGCGAACTGTTGACCCAATCTCTTTACTCTAACCTTGCCCTCAGCAAATTCCTCCTTACCCAGGATCACAGCCACGCTAGCACCAGACTTGTCTGCTGCATCGAACTGCTTTCTTGGGTTCACCTTGGCCTTGTAGACGTATTCAGATTCGATACCAACATTCCACAGTTGTTTGGCAATACGCATACGCTCTGGCAACAAACCTTTCCAGTCTGGACCACCACCAAAGGCCATGACAAACACTTGCGTGGCGGTTGGCTTGATGGACTCCTCAGTCTTTGCAGCCTCACGTGCTTTGATCAAGGAGAAGATTCTCTCAACACCAAAGGAGACACCAACACATGGAATGGAAACATTCTTCTTACCAGTGGCAGTAGCGAACATGTTCACAAGGTTATCATAACGGCCACCAGCAGCGATGGAACCAACACCCACGTACTCAGATGCGTCCTCATCCTCCTTACCTTGTTTCTTCTTCTTCAACTCAGCAGCGTTCTCAGGTGGAGCACTAGCAGCAGTGACACATTCGTAGATCAAGCCGGTGTAGTAATCAAGACCTCTCGCTAGTGACAGGTCGAACGACACCTTATCGGTGATGTCAAAGGCATCCAGATACGTTAGCAGGATCTCCATATCTTCCAATCCCTGTGCTGCAAACTCATTAGACGTGAGTTCCTCCTTCTGTTTCAACACTTCGAGAACCTCAGCCAAAGAGCCGTTGAGCTTGACGTACTCACCAATTCTATCAGCAGTCTCCTCTGTTTGGCCCTTCTCTACAACCATCTCCTTCTTGACGGCGTCCCATGGCGACTTGTCCAACTTGTCAACCGCCGAGGAGATCTTTCTAACGTCCTCATCCTTAACACCACACACTTTGAAGATACCATCGAGGATCTTTCTATGGTTGATCTTGATCTTGAAGTCGTTGATTCCCAATCCTTGCAAACCTTCAACCAAGATGGACAACGCCTCGGAATCTGGAACCATACGGTCATAGACACCAGCAACGTCAAAGTCGCACTGGTAGAACTCTCTCATACGGCCTTTGGTCATTGCTGGCTGGTCACGTCTGTACACCTTCGCAATGTGATAACGCTTGATGTTCTGGATGTTGTTCATGGCAACATAGCGGGCAAATGGCACCGTCAGGTCGTATCTCAAGGAGCACAGCTCTCCACCCTGGTCCTCCAAGTTGTAGATCAGCTTGGAGTCCTCACCGTACTTACCAGCAAGGATCTCACGCAACTCAAACACAGGCGTGTCAATGGTGACACCACCGTGTCTCTTGAACAGCGACGACAACGAGTTGAAAATGGCCTCACGGATCACCATGTCCTTATCAGCCCAGTCCTTCGTGCCCTTTGGCACCTTCAACTGGAACTGCAACTTGGCCTCCTTCTTAGAAGCCTTCGCACTGGTAACGTCGCCCCTCTGTTGCTTCTCGGAACTCTCAACGGTCTTGGATGACATTGCTACACTTCGTATACCTCTAATACTTTTCCTTAAACCGCACAGAGGCCTGAGCATATGACTCTTACGTCCAATTTTGAAAACTTTTCTTGCGACGACGACAGAAATTCGGTGATGCCTTTTTCTTCCTCTGGGTACACGGTGCATGTTGCCCGGGCGACCGTGAATCACTTCAAAATGGCTCTCTACAACTACTTTTAATATACAAACAGAAATCGATCTATTGTGGGATAGTTGTGGATGGTTGGAGCGTCAGGGAGTCGGTGTGTGTCAAGCGGTGGCAGAGCGGTGGCAGAGCGCACGGTGGTGGACGGTCAATTGAGCATCGCTCGAGCATCACTTGAACTTCTCGGAGACGATCTCTGGCCCACGCTCTAGGAACTCATCTCTGGCGATGTAGGCAGCCTCGAAGGCGTTCATGTTGGCCAGAGTGCTTGCACCGAGCCAGACTGCACTGCTTCTCTCGAACACGTTCGGGTTGGAGTAGCTCTGGATGTTGTACTGTGGGAGGAATCTTGCGAGATCCGACAGCAGCCTCTGCTCAAGACCAGGGATTAGAGAAGTACCACCAGTGATGACAACGTTGGTCAGGAGCGCAAAATATGTTTCGTTGGACACCTCCAGCTTCTTCAGAGACGAGAGAATCAGCTCTGTGAGTCCCAGGGCATCCTGTGGGATCTCCACTCCTCCCGGCTTGTAGTTCTGTGGGATGAATAACGGCTCACACAACAGCACCTGTTCCTTGCCGACTTGGACTCTCTCGCCTGGTGACAGCTCATACGTCTTTGGAGAGATGTTGAACTCCGTCTGCGAGCTGACGATCGGATAAGGAGACACGGAGAGCGTGGTCTCTTTAAAATCGTTCAGCACTTGTGAAGTCTTCCATCTTTTGTACGACTCCGAGCCCTTGAACTGGTCCTCAAGCGCAGGAGCCGTGCTCTCGTGCTGGAGATAGTTACGGACGTGTAGGTTTAACCACTCGCCGGCAAATCTTGTGTGTATGGCACCCTTGTACAGAACAGTACCTTCAACCACGGGGGTAACAGACGTCGTGGCAGCTCCGATATCAACAACGAGGGACGTGGAGCGGCCAACACCGTATGTTACTGCCAATGGCGTCTTAACAATGGCAAAGACAGGCACGCCGAGCTTCTCAAAGGCCAGTTCACAGAGCTTTGTTCTGTTACGCTTGTTGTTCCAGATCTCCTCCGTGATGACAAGGGGCAGCTCACTGGGATCCACTTTCAGCTTGGAGTACACGTAGCGCCAGTTTGCCTCCAATGCCTCCCAGTTATACACCAGTCCATCGTTCAGTATCGTGAGAAGCTCACTATTGGGATCGTGTGTGTCAACGGCTATGTCACCGTTGGCATCCTTTGAGTACAACGACGAGAACACGAGCTGTGGCAGTTGGTCGTTTGAGAACCCTGCACGGGTCTCGTAGGACCCGTTTTCGATCACCACCGATGTAATTGCTGTCATTAGCGATGTTTGGCTGTGTGCTTGTTGTTGTTGTTTACGTTTGTTTACGCCGACGGCAAAAATTTCATCCCCGTCCACAACATCAACATCAACAACAACAACAACAACAACAGTAAGCACCGCCAACACGCCATGCCCGACATCAAGGAGTACGAGCAGCTGAAGAAGCAGCTCCAGCAGGCGATCCTGAAGAAGAAGCAGCTCGATCAGCGGATCACTCTCATCGAAGAAGACATCTTCCAGAAGGAGTCTGCGTACCTCGCACAGTCCAACGGGTCCATCGTCCGCGGCTTTGAGAACCTGAAACAGCAGAAGAAGAGACCGTTGTTCACCGATGACGACCGTGTGTTCTCTCTGAGCTCGTACACGTTCGTAAGACACCTGCAAAAGCAAGACGATGACGATAGCGTAGAGAACACGCCCTCCACCGGCACGAAGAAGAGGAAACGGGAGCCATGAAGCCGTCCTTCTCGGCCTCTCTCCCTCTCCATCCGTTCAAGATGAATACACCACTCTTAATTTAATGATCTAATGACCTTTTTCGCTCCAGCAACGCCCCATTGTGCCCATTGATAGGCGCATCGTACTTGTAGAGCATCTCCCTGCTAAGAATACGCGCTTGTGATTGGCTGAAAAAGCAAGCTCACTGTAAGCGAATCTTCAACATTGACAATTACGTGAACGAGATCCCGGAGAACGCAACAAGGCACACTACAACGGGTGGACCAGTGATGAGTTACAGGGTTTTGAAGAGGAAGCTACACATCCAGGCTGCTCCGACACGGTCAATTGTTGCAAAGAACCTCGGACATCACCAACTAAGCGATGTTCCCTATGCCCAGCAGCCTCTGTTCAACGCACTGGGCCAACCACCGACGCTGCTAGAGGTGAACGCACCACCGTCGTTCCCGGTGGTTCTCCAGTCCTCCAAGCTGATCTCGCTGTCGAACATAGCGACAACAAGACTGACGCCCTATATAAGCCTGAAGAACCTCGTGTTGTGGAAGCCATGGCGGTTTCTCACACTGGAGTCAACAACGCCTGTGTCACTGCTCGTCACAGGCCAAAGTCTGTCCGTGCTGACCCTTGATGGGTCTACCGATTATGTTCTCTTCCCAAGGGACTCCCTTCTGGCGTATGCCGGTGCTGCGCTGAGACTGGGAGCTGTGAGAAGAGTCAAGGGACTCCCAGGGTTCGAGTACACCTTGTTACAAGGCCGTGGTGAGGCCGTGGTGCAGGCTGACGGCGAGGTCCACAAGCTGGTGCTGGACAGCGAAGACGAGGTCATCGTCAGTAAGAAAGCGCTGGTTGCGATTAACGTGCAAGGCGAGGTTGACTGTATAGAACCATGGACACTGACTAAGACTCAGGTTGAGCAATCCCAGTCTCAGGACGTTGTTAAGACCAACGACTGGAAGCACTATTTACAGCAGGCTTTGAACACGCTGAATCACATAAAGCGCTCCTTGCTCAACGTCGTCTCTGGTGCAAACGAGTATGTGAAGGTCAAAGGTCCTCGTACTGTGTTGATCCAGGCCAACTCTTCGACCTCACCTCTCTTTGAGCTGGACACGGAGAATAAGTCTATACGCATCACGGAATCTAAGCTTGAGGACTACGCTTCCTTCCAATCGCAGGATTCAAGAGACTACTTACACTATGTGACGGTGCAAAACGGTGAGGTGAAATTCACCTCGACTCCAGACTTCAAGGCAACGGTGGATAAGATTGCAAAGAAGAGTGGTTAGAATTAGATACATAGGAGAGATGTGGAAGGCGATTCCGTTAAAACATATTATCATACATTATGGTTCAAGCCATATAACCGTCTCATCGTAACTCAAATCCTCTTTGGACACCGGCAATTACGTTATTTATAGAACTCGCCTGGACCATGCCACGTGTTGGGATATGGAACAGTTGCTGGGATGCCATGCATTATCTGATAGGGAGCTCTGTTCCCAGTATCTTCATGAAGAGGTGTCATACTCTGAGACAGGTTCATCGGAACTGATGAGAGATGGTTGAAGTATGCGACTTGAGCTTGAGGTGCTGCATGAAGGTTCAGTGCATTCTGTGATTGGATGCCTTTGTCGGTGCTGTAAACTGCGTTACCATTTGATGGTATGACATTGTTATTGTACAGAACCACGGGTTGGATGTAATTGGCCTGTGGAATGGCCCCGGTGTATCTTGAGTTGCGATCAACGCTTGGACTAATTTGAGTATGCACTGCTCCAGACGCCTCTGAATAACCATGATTGTTGGCCATCATCACGGGGTAAAGAGCCGTTTGATCATTTGTAAATGACGATGCTCGACTAAACATGGGAAATGAAGTCTGGTCGGATACATTTGAAATGGGTGATATCATCGACATCGATCTGTGAGGCGTTGCTGTTGTTGTGGAACCTGTTTTGCCGATCAAGTTGGGATTCACGGTGTACTTGCTCAGTACTTTCATCAAGGCAGATTCCACACTTGACCAGTAAAGGACCTTGACGTCCTTCTCTACACGCCGTGGCCTTGGGGATTTGTAATGCATAATTTGTTCGAATAGTATCTGGAACTTTGGTGAAGATCGTGTCACTGTTATAGGCTTAAGACTTTGGAAGTTACGTCTGATCCTATTCTTTTCCTGGACAGGGAACTTCTGTTTCACCAGTCTCTCCAGAAGTGAGATCAGATCAACTGACGTTACGAAATGGCGATCCATGGTCTCGCTGTAGATGCAAGAGATCACCGACATTCCCAGAGAGTAGTCTTGTGGCATCAATGGTGTAAAAGACAGGCTAAGATGGTTAAAGTGTTGCGTCGAAGAGACCAGTACAAGTCTTCTTTTGCATTTCAGCTCGTCTAACGTCCAGTCCTTGGTCAATGCGTTCAAATCACCTTTGATATCCATCGTGACCTTCGTATGAAGGTTCTCGTCGGACTGCAACTGTTTGGGTGATAGCACCGTACTGGCTCTAACAAGATCAGGGTCAGTTCTCATGTGTAACTCGGGGCTGCTATAGCTCAAACTCGGCATCTCTGTGTGTTGTTGGGAATATTTTGTATTACAGTGGGCATTGTAGACGTTGAAGTGTGAAGAATTCACCATAACGGCCGGCACAATCTGGAGATTGATGCTACCTAAACGTTTTCAAATTTGGAATCCGGTTGGAACATGCCTGAGGAAGAGGGAAAGATGACGAACAAGCACTACTTTATAAAGGATAACTTCCTATGTTCATGTTAAGTTGTCCTCTCCCTGCTACCATCCAAAAATGGAAATTTCCCACAGATCACAATCTATACATATGGTTTAGGGCTCTTTTAGTCTCTGTCAACCGAAGATTCATATCACATCAGTAAATGGATCAACGAAAAGCCTTCTAACGTACATGTGAGGTTACGTGCTTTCCAGTCCCGATATGTTCCAGGTATTGGTAACGAGCATTCACCAACGGTCTAATAACCCTTTAGTCTTTGTTGTCCATTGCAGCCTTTGCATCGACACGCACTCTGACCTCAACTCCAAATAACCATATATCCGCCTTGTTAGGCAGCACTGCATACGCAGTGCATGACGACTACATACATATGGAGATTACTGTCTGTCATAAGCGCTAAATCAGTCGATCTGATCGTACGGGCATGTTTCTAACTAACAATAGAAGCGTACGAGTTGGCGCACAAGTTCATATTGTGTGGTATTTAGGTAGCTTTTACAAGCGTTTGTTGGGAGGCCAAGAAGCTGCTTAATGCTGTTATTGAATAACGATGGTCGGTAGTAGACATCAAGGCATAGGACACATATATATATATATGGCTGCTGGTACTTATTGAGCACTTCTAGGACCATTCTGACTATCCCTAGACCCGTCGTTTAGGACCTAGAACCGGACAGCCATGCACATGTTTTGCGACAATTCGCTAGTTTGAAGTACATTTAGCGTAGACCTCTGTGCTATTGTCAACGTGTATACACTCTGCACGTGAAAGCAGCGTCTAATTCTCAGTCAGAGCTGATCTTGATCGTGGGGCTGGGCCTTCTCGATCCGATGTATCGAGGACACTCGTCACCCCTTTCTGGTAGGCTGATTCGGTTTTCCATGGCCAGTAAAAGCTGGTCAGCTATGGACTACAAGGTGAGGAGCATCAAAGCGCATAGATGTCCGTGAACTGGATCTTATATCCTATTGGGTTCGAGGCTCGACGAGCTGTTGCTCCGGTTGTCCATACGGGCACCAGTATTCTTCGCTCTGCCTGTTGGTGATCTTCAAATTGAAAGAAACATGTTGTTTCTACAACGGCCAGAAAACTGCCCCGTGACCCCTTCTTCCACGCACAATTTATAAGAGCGTATGTAGTTGTCGAAAAATTGCTTGGTCGGTTACAATGACTCAGACACATAACGCATGCATAACGCATGCCCTACAGCATACATATATGTGAATATCTGTGCTTGTAACTTTTCTAGCCTGTACATTATTGTAGAGCGTCGTCTATAACTTGGAAGTTAACGGGCACTTCTAGAACTTGCGGTTCTATTGGAGCTCACAAACTTATCACCGACGGATTCGGATATCTCCATTACAAGGTGATCTATAACAAGGCAGTGGCATAAGACTCGTTCCAGAGGCTGGTGTGTTTACTGTCGACAGTACTAAACGATGGCTTAGCGATATCTGTGGAAAAAAAATCTCGTATATAAGTACGTGATATATTATACATAACATCTATCTAATGTAATTTAACCAATCGCTTACACTTTACAATCGATGGATCGTCAAGCAAGCCTTCGCAAAAGAGAGACTAACTTGTTTCTTCTTCAAAAAAAAAAGAGGTTCCAGAAAAGATCGGCGAGCCATTGAAACACTCACACAGATTTATACGCCACCTGTGGGAACATCAACATTATTCTAGGACGGAAGCCTTATGTTGGTTGCACGGTTGATCAACACTGTTCGTAAATGTTCAATACACAGGCTGACTCTGCAGTAGTGTTCCAAATAATACTTTTTTGGGAGACACGGAGAACGATACAAATTCTGGAAAGTCTTGTATCGTTAAGTTTTGAGTCCACCTTAATAGAACAGTCCTCTAAAGCCTTGATTAATTGTCCCCGCTATTCTGGATCCAAGGCTCTATCTTACTCCCCAATATGACTTGGTCCCCCGCTGCCCAATAGTTTACCCTTTTGGAAGTTGTGCCTGAACAAGCCGGATAAATCATACATCATCAACAACACTGCTTCCTTATTCAACAGACCTACAACCACTATAAATATTACATGTTAGTCGATGATCGTCCAGCATAGTTGTAGAAAGCTTCTCCTGTATACATTCACTGGGATCTATGTTTCGTATCCTTTAATGATCCCAGCACTCAACAACTTCTATTTACATTCAGATTCTCGGATCTAAACCGAAGTTCATTACCTTGCACAATAGCTGCACCATATACACACGAAAATGGCCTACCCTGCAGAATCGCAAATCATTTGATTAGGGTAATCATCGCCCTACCGGTGCCCGGGTCACTCAGCAGCAGGCAATTGAATCAAGGATATGATAATACCTTCAGCCTATAAAAACTAGATGGAGGCTATAGCCATATTCCCATGAAGTAATAGTAATATGTCTATGTGGCTGAGCGTTATAATACGTGTGGGCTTAGAACCTTTGAGGGGATCGGTCGTGGTAAACTATGTCTATCGGTGTACGTACCCATAACGCATGCTTGCTGATGTACAAGCTATTGCGCATGTATGTATATTGACGTACTACATCTCAGTAAAAGTAAGCTAATGTAGCTCGATTACCCAGAAGATGAATTGTCGCAGCTATTGACGGATCAAAATAATCCTTTCAACTCTCAATACTTCTTGGAATGGAAGGTGGTGATCGTAAATGAAGAAATATGGTCTACTTAGTTTGTGGTCTCAAGCAACTCCTACGTTACTAACATTGCGAAGCGATGATGCAATACAAGTCTTCAATCAGAGAGGTGTGGCACCGAATGGTTGAAGCTACAAGTCGGAGCTGAAGGGAACAACCACAACTTAGAGAAATGCAAAGCACTCTCACCTGTGCAAGTAGGTTTAGTAAGGCAAATGCTCGTGGACAACCTTGCTGCAGAGTGATAGGCCAACCAGTCGGATCGATGCCACCTTCGAACCACCTCGCTTCATTGACTCCAATGGATTACAATGCCATGGTGATTATCGATTTGGCTAAAAGTCCTGTGCCTGTATCAACAATCTTATATGACCAACTGGTGCACCAAGAATAATTGGTGTAAGCAAGAGTGGGGGTTGTATACATTAGGCAACATGTTGTGTATAGAACCATTGAAATATTCATTGTAAAACATCTATAGTGATGTAGAATGCTAGTATTTATAGCTTCGGGACGTGCTTCCAGTGGTGCGGTTTGTGCTCACAAGTGAGCTCTTTTCCAGTTTGCATGGGAAAGAAAGATGCAACTGGCAAGGTGATCTATTGCACTGACCATGATAAGGAGTCGTGACTTATAACGAGCGACCAAAAGATTGATACGGGTGCCGTGCTCTTTTAATTTGTTGATATCGATTTTGCTGTAATCATTGACGCCTGTGCCAGAGACCACCACAGTGACGGGGTAAAAGTACAACTTGACGCAAGAGGTGATCGGTCCAACTCTCACCATACAGCACAATTTCTTTTAGACTCATCAATTTCTAATGATAGAGGCATTGGAATTGTTCTTCGTGGAAAAGCTTGCCTGGGTTGGCGAAATGGTATTGCACAACATCCTACTGCCAACACATTTATACCTATCATTAGCTGGTGCAATACCACCCAACACTGTCTAATTCCAGTAGAGTGGTTGAGACATGGCAATGTGGCGTGTTTGCAGCATACGCCCTGCCGATTGCTCGATGAAATGTAACTTATCATGGACGGCCCTTTCATTGCATGTCATCGATAAATAAATACAACTCTAATTAACGCAATCAATCCATCGACACCTTAGCATGCACAGCTAAATATCACCGAGGCTCCAATGGACAACACACTGCTTTCTCAGTACATCAATTTTCAAGTGCGGCCGGTTATATACACTGAATGTCCTCCCTAGTACAATCTTTGCATGCTTTCAGCAGTTATCTGCACTTGAAATCCACCACCAGAAGGCACCTTCCCTCTATAATCATAGCCATTTTGAAGGCTCTTAGCATAAAGTAACAAATTCCCACATCTGTCAGTGAAAGCAGCCTACTGGATATGGATATATTAGACGTCAATGGGAAATCGCCCCTGATAGAGCGGTGAGGCTAAACATGGCTTACTGCTTTCACTCCGGCTACTGTGAAATAGCATCACTCAATTAAACACTTAAAACATGACATATTTCCAGAGGTTTAAGGCTGCTGACAGGCCAATTCACCGAGCAATTGCTCATAGAAAAGGTGAGGGGGTTTGAAGGTTCTCAATCGGCTTGTTTATGACTCCATATCGTAACTCATTGATCCCTCCAGCCAAAATGCCTGTTCTGGGCTGAGAGTCCCCGTGTGGGCACGGGGCGTTGTCCAAAGCCCGAAGAAAACTTGAAACTGTTTCTTATACCAAACTGTGGCTCTTGCTATATAAGAAGAGTTGAGCTACAAAGTTTTAATCTCTTCTCTTTCCTTCTCTTTCTATCTGTACACGTTACCTACAACTGCCATCTGACTTGAAATAATGACTCTCCCACCAAAGTTCAATGCCTCCCACGCCGTTCCTAAATTTGAGGAACTCAAGACCGCGCCAAACGTGATTGATATCTATCTGGACTATACATGTCCATTCTCTGCAAAGTTCTTCATCAATTGGTATGAGAACCTCTATCCAAAGTTGAAGACCGACTTTGATTCAAAAGTGCAGGTAGTTTTCCACAACTACGTCCAAGTGTGGCATCCAACGTCCAACTTGGTGCACGAAGCCGGTCTTGTCGTTGCTCAGTTGGACCCAGAATCCTTCTTGGATGTTAGTTATCACCTCTTCAAGAACATTGCTCAGTTCTACGACACTGCAACTGCTGATCTGACCAGAAACCAAATCTATGAAAAGATCTTTGACTCTGTCATTGCCGCAACAAAGCCAAAGTACACTAGGGAGCAATTCTTGGAGAAGTTGACCATCAACACAAAGGTTGCTGAGGATTCGAACAGTGGTAATGCCGCTAGCAACGACCTGAAAGTGTTTACAAGAATCGGCAGACAGAACGGTGTCCATGTTACCCCAACTGTCTTCTTCAACGGTTTTAGAGACACATCCATTGAGTCATCTACTCCAATCTCTGTCATTGAGGAGAAGATCAAGGCCCTTTTGTAAATAATAGCCTGGTATATAAGCGGCTCGTTCTAATATAAACAATAGCTTCCCACAAAAGTGAGTTTATACAGCGTTATAGCAATGCACACCACTACGAGAGACCATATAATTGCCTTGTTCCTCGATCTGATGCTCTGCTTCTGCCTTTTCTCAAGGGATTCAATATCTTCAACAACTTTCCATAGTTGTTCTAAGCGAGCCTTGTTATCAACGAGTTTCTGTCTTGATGAATTCACGGCAATTTCGTACTGATCCAGGACAGTTAAAATACCAAACAGTCTATCAACTTCCTTTTCAAATTCCTTGTACTCATTGTCTATCAGCTTTGTGTTCTCCAAGACTAGCTTCAGCCACTGTGATATCCTGTTTCTAGTTTCTTCAACCTCGCGCTGTAGCTGGACAAAGCATGCCTTATCATCGGTAATTGCGCTCTTGTTCACCTCCACTTGATTCTGAACGGACTTCAGCACCCTGTTCTCCAGCCTATTCACATCCTCAACGATTAACGAGTTATCATTCGTCAATAGCTTCGTCTGTTTCAAGATATTGATTGGTTGTTTAGGACTCAGCTGCTCTTGGGTATTTGTCCTTGATATGAATGGGGTATTGAGCCGTGAACTGGCTGTGTGGTTAGGACTCTGCTCATAGAACTGATCCACCAGTCTATTCATGCCACTCCCATCGTCGCTGATTACCCTCGAGGGTTTCTTCTGGTGATTCTTCGTACCACCAGCCGATGACGTTTGCGGTGGTGAAGATGTCAACAGGGTTGAACCGTCAGAATGGGACGGGTGGATCCGTGGCGGCACACGTAGATTCTGCACAGACTGTTGTAGCGGTGAAGACACCGGTGTTGATTTGGCCACCGACTCCCTTGTTGACATGGCCTCTATCCTTCTTTTGCGTATTGAACCGTATCTCTCGTTTCCTTAATGTTCGCTTACGAGTTGCCTGAAATTTCCCCGATCAACAACCACAGATGAACAACGACAACAACGGCAACAACGACACAGCGGCAGAGCAAATGCCACCGGTGTAAGTTTCCATGCTTATGTACTGAACAACACGAGCTAACTCCTTCACCAGAACAACTTTTGTACAACTGACAAAGTCTTCAGCTTTGCAGTGTCGTGTTTTCATCAACAGGAAAGAAGTGCTGAAGTCCTTGAAACAGGGTGAGTAAACTAGCAAACACCGTCTCGCTACAAGTCTAACAAAGAAACTCCATGCAATAGATGTGATATTCGAAGCTGTGATATCGTCAGCACAGACGAAGAACCATAAGGCGCTGGTTAGGCTGAAATCCAGCTCTCCCATCTACCTGAGCAACTCTCAATTGTCAAGTCTGATAGATGCCCTACGACCGCATCTCGTCAATATAATGCTTGTATCTACACCTGAAAGTTTACGTCTAAGCTCTATATCCAAGTCGAAGAACGAGTTGAAACTCGTTGTTGAAGCTGGCGGCTGGAAAGTGGTGCTGACAACCAGTTTGGATTTCATAATGAGTATAAGGACGTATGGCTACGACTCCAACGAGGATTCACCTTCTCTGCTTATTAGGACTCCAAGGAAGTCAGGGAATGCGGATGCACCTGTCATCATCTCAGAATCTGATAACAGTGACGACAATGAGGATCGAATAAGGATCCCGCCAAAGCATTCCAGTATAGCTTCATCAACCGATAAGAAATTTGTCCAAAAGTACAACTATAGACCTATAGCCACTTCATCAAAAAGTCTCAAAATTGAAGTTGTAAAGATACCAAAGAGGTAGTTCTCTCTTGTCGAGTTTCTACAAACATTTTCAATAAAGAACAAGGCATATATTACTGGAAGCTGATTTCACTTTATAGTATAAAACAACGACAAAAAGAGAAAATAGTACAATCATGCTTCAAGTCCTTCAAAAGCATTCCAACATTGACTTCATTCTTTCCAGCATCATTAAAGACAACACACAACATTGGATCAAAAAAGATAATAAAGATTAAAGAGTCACATCAAAGATAAAGTAGAAAGCAACACAATGATACACTTGATAAGGAAAGGATAGTACAAATGATAATAAAAAAACAGTCGGTGTGGACTTGAACAAGAAGAGAGGAACAACAAAACAAGTTGAGGTTAACAATAAAGTGTTCATTCTTCTTCTATCTATCTTGACATTTTAAAAAACAACAGAGATTAGTAAATAACAGTTTGATAAACAAAAAGGAGAAAGCAGCAACTTCGCTTAAGCTTGAGCTGGTTGCTCTTCGGATTCACCTTCAGCCCACTCTTGCTCAGCATCAGCGAGTTCTTGCTCATTTTCTTCATCGTCATAAACCTCATCGGTGTGTCTTATGGACAAAGTTGGCTTGACAACGGCATGGTCCAAAGTCCATGAAGCCAATGCGTTCTCAGCGTCAATGATGATTTGCTTAGAAGCCTCGTAACCGTCATAAGCCGGTCTGGTCTCACCTGGAGTAACAGGAGCGTCATCCAACAACTCCAAGAGGGCCTTACCGTAACCAGCAATCAAAGCCAACTTCTCGGTGTGTTCTCTCAAGGAGTCGAATTGGTAGTTGAAGGCGGTTTTCAACTTTTCTCTGGTGATGTTTGACAATTGAGCCTCAGCAACAAGGGATTCAGCCTCGGCACGAACCAACTCTTGCTCCAAAACAACAATCTTTGGAGATTGAGGGTCCTTGTACTTCAAGTAGGCAATCTTGTCGGTAATTCTGTCCTTACGGTCTCTGGATGGTTGGACAGAACCTTCAATGTCTCTGATGGACTTCAAGGTCAATCTGTATTGGTCATATCTGTCAATGAATTGATCCTCCAACTCACCAATCTCGTAAATCAAGACACCCAACTTGTCCGTGATATCAGAAACGTCATCGTCGTTGTCCTCACCCCAGAGGGACAATTGCTTAGCAACGTCTCTTCTCTCGTTGGCGACAACTTCCAAACCTCTAAGGAGGTTCTTCTCGATCTTGACGAGTTGAGAGAGCTTTCTAGAAAGCTCTGGACCGAATTGACCAGCGGTGTTACGTCTGATGGAGTTGACAATACCACCCTTACCAAAGAATCTGCTTCTTGTGGAGGCTGGTGGAGGTGGTGGGGACTGCAACTGGGAAGCAGTTGGAGCTCTGGTGTTTCTTAATGAATAAGTTCTGTGCATTGTATCAGCTTGGATAGTGTTAGTACAATGGTCTTCAGGTGGAGCAAAACGGAAAGCGGAATACCTGGTGCCAATGTGGTGCCATTATATACAACCAAACTCCCTCCCCCCCCCCGTGCACATGAGGAGGGACAGGGGACTATTAATAGCCCTTCGAGTCTAATTCGTACACACACACACACACACACAGCTCACCATTGCTGCGGATGATAAAATGGGTATCGTCCAGCAACAGAAGGCAATTGATAAAGACTTACAATCGAACCTTGTTACGTTCTTTCTTAAGGAAGAAGGAGGAGGAAAGGGGGAAAGAAAGAAGGGATTGAAATTTCCCCCCCTGTTTTAAAGAGAAAAAAACCTGTGAACAGCAGCTGCTATATTATGTACAAGGGGGTGTGGGCGGGCTGGCAGTGGCTCTGTCTGCAAATCTCCCTTGGACAACCGCGGAGGGAGGGCCAAATTTTGGAATTGCACAGGCTTAGGCAGGCAGCCCTTTTCGCCCATCTCCTCTCCCCCCCCCTACAAAGTTCGACAGGTTTGCTGATTGTTAAGGGAAATTACGCCACTTGGTTGCGTTCCATGCATACTTTGGCATGATTTTTCGTTCCATACGCTACTGGTCTTGCGATTATTGAAAATGACTATACTCAGCTACGTGTCAATGCTTCACAACAACACGCCAGGGAAACCACGGTACCTCATGTAGGTGTTGATGTTAAATATGAGGGTGAGCTCGCCTGGGCGCCTTGTTTGCTTGCCTTGCCAGAAGGACACGTTACTGAACTTTCGGGATGGGGAGCCTGTGCAGCCTGGCACGAGGAAGTTGCTCCAAAGTGCAACTGTGAGACGCGCCCATGTTTAATCATTTCCTAATCCGGAAAGAGTGCCCCTACTGGCGGGTTCTCGAAGTTTCGGTGGGCTTGGCCCACCGCGTCCTCCCGCCCTCGCGCTCATCCTTTGTCGACTGTTGCCCGGCTGTTAGCTTTCGGTGTATTGGAATGAAAGCCATGACGTAACGCTTGTGATATACTGTGATGCCGACGTTTGCTCGTAAAGCGTGTCATCGCAAAAGCTTAAATGAGGACACAGCTACAGCTACTACAACGGTCTGAGACTTGGACAATAGGGACTTCGGATTAACTTGACTCTATATAGCATGACCTATTCTTTGACGTAATGGGTGAGTTAGTACACAACTGCCAGGTTTCGATCGCATATGCTGGATTACATATGTCTGGTTGGATGCGCCTGGGGGGCAAAGTTTTTTTCAACGTTCAGAGTAGCGGTTCTTTATTACTTCAACACTGGACGAGGACTCATCCTCACAGACAAGCCCTCTTCAGAAATTTGCAAATCGGAAAAGGTGTCTCATCACTAATTGGTACTTGTGCTCCCCTCCCACGCGCCTATCTTTGTAAACACACGCACACGCTCTCCATCTGGTGTACATCTACTTACTCTTTGTTGTCCAAATTGCGTATGGCTTGAAACCTGGAAAGGAAACGTTAGTTCGTGTTGTAGTCCCAGTAGTGAAATATTTTTTTCGTTTTTTCCCTTCCCAGCCCGCTTGCTCTGCCGGATTTCCTCGTCGGGACCACACTCCTGGTAGACGCCACACATTTCTGATTATATAATGGCAACAGGTACAGCCACTAATAACGGGGGACTTGCCAAAATTGGCTGTGATAATTCAAGCTGAAACGGGGGGAGACTGTGGATTTACACACAATCCCACACATTTCTACGTCTCGTCCAAAGAGACACCGGTTGCAGCAAGCATTCAACGTCTGTGTTATACCACCGAAGGTTGAGTGAGAATTGGTGACAGAAAAACAGCCCCTGGCGTGTGCTTTTTCCTTGTTTCACTGTAGAAGAAACTGTTGCTTTCTCCAAGCGGTTCAGCCCACGCACGTAAAAAAAAGAGTTTCCCCTTAAATCTCCCCCAACCGGACACCAACCTCGCGTAGCCCCCGAATTCTTGTGCGGATCAGTTGGGATTTTCGAGACCACAGACAGAGAGAAAAAACCAGTTGGCGGTTAAGGATAATCAACAACAAACAAACAAATAACAACAACAACAACAAGCCATACAAAATATACGGCTTCTATACAGAAAGGGGAGGACAAGCAGGTAAAGGGATCATTTGGGGAAGTTACAAAGCGCAAAGCGAATCCACTGAAACAATAATTCCTTAGGCAAAATGATGAAAGGCTTTAAACAGAGGGTATGTATTTCTATCTCGTGCTCGGTGCACCTCGCCGGCGCTACCATATACGAGTATGCGTGCGTGTGTTGCTGCTCTAACACACGGTGTGTGATGTGCTCCTGTCTGTGATAATACTAACTCGCTTACTCAGCTCTCGAGAAAGGGATCCTTGAGCTCAAAGAAGAAGGATAAAGATGAAGACAAGGAGAAGTCAAAAGATAAGAAACATTCGTCAATTGCGAAGCTCTCACCTTCCAACTCGTCATCCAACTCGAGTAATTCTTCACCTCGCAACAGCATGACGAGCTCTCCTTCCAAGGGATCAAAATCAACAACGGCCGCAACCGCGTCGAGCTCGTCTTCTGCTCCTTCAACCGCTGGTGCTGGTGCACAGGGCGGCTCCGCTGGAGGGGTGTCTAAAAAGCCAAACAGTGACGTTTCACCAGAGCCAAGCCAACAGGAACCGTCAACCCCAAGGGCTACACCGCAACAGCAGCAGCAACAACAAGAACAACAGAACATTGAACAGGATCAAAATCAAAATCAAAATCAGAGTCCGGGCCAATACCAAGGTCAACAAGAGGCAAATGGACAATTCCAACAGGGGCAACAGACCTCATCATCACAACAACAGGACCAACCACAGCAAAAGACAATTCAATTTGCGCCTCAAGTTGTGAATCAAATCCCCGATATCAATGTGACTCCGCCACACTCAACAGCATACCATAACGACGTTGCAATGCACAACGCTGATGTTGATGTAACCATGCCACGCGCCTCCCATTCCTTTGATAGATTGCCAACGGGTAAGATTGAAGGAGATATCGACCTCATAAAGTCTCCACAGAGACACTCTTCTTCTAGGTTTGAACCTTCCTCATACACTGAAATCACCAAGTTACCCTCGTTTGATGAAGTACCTGCAGATAGAAGACTGGAGTTATTCATCCTGAAAGTGGACCAGTGTAACGTTATGTTTGACTTTAACGATCCTTCCTCTGATATCAATGGTAAGGAGATCAAAAGAGTCACGCTACAGGAACTGATTGAATTCATCTCGAGCAATCGTTTTACATATACTGATGAGATGTACAAACACGTTGTGGATATGTTCAAGACAAATTTGTTCAGACCTATACCACCTCCTGTCAACCCAATTGGTGATATTTACGACCCAGATGAAGATGAACCAATCAACGAAGTTGCATGGCCTCATATGCAAGTGGTGTATGAGTTCTTTTTAAGATTCTTGGAGAGCCCTGATTTCAACCACACTTTGGCTAAGCAGTACATCGATCACGATTTCGTTCTCAATTTATTGGAGTTGTTCGATTCTGAGGACCCAAGAGAACGTGATTGTTTAAAGACAACTCTGCACAGAATTTACGGTAAGTTCTTGTCACTCAGAAGCTTCATTAGAAGATCATTTAACAATATCTTTTTGCAATTCATCTATGAAACTGAAAGGTTTAACGGAATTGCAGAGATATTGGAAATCTTGGGTTCCATTATCAATGGTTTTGCCCTTCCATTGAAAGAAGAGCACAAGATCTTCCTTGCTAGAGTCATGCTCCCGTTGCACAAAGTTAGATCAATCTCTTTATACCATCCTCAGTTGGCCTATTGTATAGTGCAATTCTTGGAGAAAGATCCAATGCTTACAGAAGAGGTGATCATGGGTCTATTAAGATTCTGGCCAAAAACCAACTCTACAAAGGAGCTCATGTTCCTCAATGAGATTGAAGATATCTGTGAAGTCATTGAGCCTTTAGAATTCATCAAGATTGAAGTTCCACTTTTCGTCCAATTGGCCAAATGCATATCATCCCCACATTTCCAAGTTGCTGAGAAGGTATTGAGCTACTGGAACAACGAATACTTTTTGAACCTTGTCACAGACAATGCCGAAACGATCCTACCGATCATCTTCTCAGCTCTCTATGAAATTTCAGCAGCAGATCAAAATGGACAAATGAAGATGACCGACGATGATGATCTCCAGAGCATCTCATCCTCTGGCAATTGGAATAGAACTATCCATTCTTTGGCTTACAATGCGTTGAAAATCTTTATGGATTCAAATCCAATCTTGTACGACCATTGTGTCTTGTTATACCATCAATCTCTTGAGGAGAACAAGAAGAGAGAGACCGAGAACAAACAGAAATGGGCATTACTCGAAGAGAGGGTTCAAAAGATGAAACAAGAAAACGGGACATTATCATGAGGGAGGGGGGCGTATGTTCAACAATAAACCATTTTTTAAAACATAAAAAGACAGCGTGTAATTGCGCGTGTTTAGTTCCAGCTGAAAGCACTAACGTAGCTTCACCATTCGGCGTGCATTATATGTAACAACTATACAACTACACAGTTGAGGCCTTGTACTCTCTCAAAATGACAGGAACTGATGATGGTGGTAACGCTCCAACTTCCGTGATGATCTTTTGGATGTACTCTGGTGGTGTAAGGTCGTACATGATGTTCAAGATGTTGAGGTAAGGATTCGTCTTCCAATCCTTCAATGGCATCTCATTCTTCGCCAGTGTTGGCTCAGCACCACCTGATTTAACCTTTGGCTTTTGCTGTTGCTGCTGTTGTTGATCCTTCTCCTCGTGAGTCTCTATGAACTTACGTAGGGCAACACTCGACTTCTTGACATGGTTCAATTGGTTCCAATTGATCAAGTCTTCAGTGTCTCCCATTTCGTTCAGGGTCACAGAGTCCAGTTGGACACGATCAGAGAACTTGATGCTTTCACAGCAGACAAGCACAGGGATATTTGCATTCTTGGCCTTCATTGCAATGAGCGCAGCACCCACACGAGAGTATAGGAATCCGTTAGATAGCATTGCATGGGCACCGAGGAAAACGGTATCAACATCTTGTATCACAGATGAGAGGGAGTTTATCAACACATATTGAACTTTCAAACCCTTTGTACACAGCTCCTCAGCGAGCTGTTTTCCCTCGAATAGAGGACGGGAGTCCACAACGATAACATTGAAGCTTTTGCCCAGCTCTTCATGGTTATAGATGAACAGCTGCTTCAAAACGTTCGACTGTCCAAAGGTGAGGATTGTCGAGCCGTTCTGGATGTGTGCTGATGCTGCTTGGATGATGACCTTGTCAGAGATATCGATCTTCTCCTTTATAAAGGTGTCGATCTTTTCAACGAGCTGGGCCTTTGCGTCAGAGTCAGAGGTGTCGATGGAGATCAGTGAGATCTCCTGCTTGAGCCATCTAATGGCGTTTCCCATCGCCACTGATAGAGGTCTAGCGGTCTTCAAATAGTCGATCTGATACCCGAGATAGTTGGTCAGGTTTCTGGTCAAGGTTGTTCCCTCAGGCGTCTGATACTCAGAGATGACCCGTTCAAACGCTCTGAGCATGCTCTTACACCTTGGAATCGACCCAACAATCGAATAACCTGAGTACTTCAGCGTCAGTGAAAGAACAGCAGGGTGTATAATGTTCGTCACCTGGGACTGTGATAGCGATAGCTCGTTTCTCTGCTCCTTCGACTCCAAGTGTGAAAACAGTGAAACTTTCTTCAAAGTATTCACTTCCTGTTTCAACCCTCTTGAGATCACACCGTGTGAGGCCTGCTGCTGTTGCTGTTGCTGGGACTTCTGCTTACCCTTGGCAGCCTTCTCATCGGCCTGGTTTGGAATACCACTGCTCTCTTTCCTAGCAGCTCTCTTCTCCAATTTCTGTCTCTTCTTCAACTCCTTGAGCTCTTTATTCGTCAGTTTCTTCTCTCCCTCCTCTGCCTGGGAGGCATTGGTCTTCTCCACTGGCTTCTCAGTAGGCGTTTCCACGGGAGCTTCACTCATAGTTGGTTCCACTGGGCCTGTTTGCGTGTGTATTCCTTCTTCTTCGCCCTGATGCTCCGCTTGGAGCTCTCAGAGATCAAAAATTTTCCCTTTGAGCTCTCGGCTCCTCCCGCCCAGCAGGGGCGCCGCTAGGCAGACTTTTTTGCCTTCAGTGGGCAGGGCCTCTCCCTCCCCAGGCTCAAACAAATTATCGCAACTACTTCAACTACACAAGGCCTTAAACTATGTCTTATGTACATGGATTTGATGTTTGCTATTTACTCCTCCTTGGTCTCTTCTTCAGCAGTTTTACCCTCTTGTGAAGGCTGCTTTGGTCTTCTGAAGATGCTCTTGCTCTTGAGCACAGAGAATGCATCCTTGAGTTGGATCTTGTCCTGGAGCTGCTTAAAGGATTGTGCAAATTGTGTGATATCCTTGACTGTTTGTAGGCTGGCCAGGGCTTCATCTTTCGAGGACTCGATGGCAATTGGTGCCAATTCCAAGTATTTGTTTTTGTATGTGTTGTAGTCCCTCGACAGCGCGCCAATGGACTTGTCCAGTGAGAGCTGTGGCACTGAAACGGCCTCCGTGGAGGACGTGATCTTCTCCTTCAAGTCAGCTGGCACCTGTTCGTTATGCTTCAAGTACAACGAAGCTCTCAGGAGGTCGGTTATGGCGTTAGGCTTGCGGATCTTGTCCAATGCCACTTGAGCCTTCGACACGCTGTTCAACAACGACTTTCTATCGTTGATGTAGAGGTACACCAGGATGGTGTTCAGGTTATGGGAATCCAATCTCTGTCTGAGCGATGGCTGGGAGTAGATAAACGTCAACGCGTGCGGGAACTTTCTCAGCTGCGCTGATTTCTCCAGGAAGGCATCGATGTGGTCAGGCGAGGTATAGTTCGGCTTCTTCGACAACTCCAACAGCAAATCCCTCGACTCCTTCAGCTCCTCCCCGTCTGTGCACTCCGAGATGATCTTGATCAACGCGCTCTTGGAAGGCACAGTTGGTGGCTCCAGCGGAACCACCCTCTTCTTTGCAACTTCATCCCAAAGATCTCTCGACAGCAAATGACTCGCGTTCTTCTCCCTGTACACCAGCGGTCTCAAATCCTTGGGGGTTCTGAAGTACTGCACATAGGCATCAATCTGCTCTCTCGCCAACGACGCAGACGCCTGCTGAAGACTCTTACAAGAACAGGAGAACGATCTGTGTAGACGAAGCATTGTCTGTCCGGTGATTCTGAGTGTGCCAGTGCTCCTCTCAACGAACGATGCGGGACCTGTTTGGACATTTGGCGAAAACAAAATTTTTCCACTGGCGGGGCCTTCGCCATTTTTCACGGTTCGCGCCACAATGGGACATTTGGGCCTATGTCCTGAAATTTTTTCGATTGTATCAAGAGGGAAGAGCTGGTGAATGTGGACAAATCGGAGTGATCGTGGAGTGGAAACTGGCTCGATGATGGAATACGACGCTTTGGACTCTCTGCCGTGTATGTAACTGTTGCTTGCTTCGCCCTGTGCGTGGGGAGGAGTTTGTGCTGTGTTTATCGAAGAACTAACCGTTGTGATAGACATTGATGGTGATCTCAGCGAGGACGAGAGGCTGCGTGTAGAGCAATTGATACTGGAGGAAGTTGGGGACACCGAGTCGATGCATCCGTCCGTGGAGTGTGTGTATCCGATTCCTACGGCATCGGGTATCCTGGGCGAACTGACAGAGGAGGAGATTCTATCCAAGGACTTCACGCTCGGAGGAATCGACATGCAACGGTACGACCAACTGGACGATGCGGACTGTTTGCAGATGCTGCTGAGCTATACCTATCTACGAGCCAATTCGTTGCGGATCTGTCAAGACGAGTGCGTGTCCCAATGGACACAGTGCAACGAGGAACAGTCGCTGGTGAACGGCTCTCTGAGTGCTGAGATCTCTCGAAAGAGACGCAAGATTGAGAGCATCAATGCGCAGAGGCAGCTGGAGCAGGAGGAGGCCCATCCTCTGCTCAGCTACTTAGAACACAGGTGGGTTCAGGGAATACAGAAAAACGTCCAGCTGGGCATAGAACTGCTAAAGGAACAAAATGGGCTGGAGTGATAAGAAATGACAAGATGTGCTTGCACGCACGTTTCTTCAAGTCAAAAGTGGCATAAAACTGATTCTCTTCTGTTGCTGCTGCGGCCGCCGCCCACGCTGCCCACGCTGCCCACGCTGCCCACGTTTTATCGTTCTGTGTGTAAGCTGTTTGTTTTCGCGGGCAGCGACGGTTCTGCCCGTGCTGCTTGGGGGGCAGAGAGATGAGCCCGCTGAGGAATTTGTAGATAAGCGCAGGAAGGCGTTGATAACACCCAACGGGAGAGGTTCTAAGACTCAATTGCACAATACAGAGAAGAACTGGTTGCTCTGACACGTTGTATGTAATCACACGGAATATCCACGTTAACAGGACTCTTTTCAGCATCGGAAACTCAGCCTTATCGGTGGAATTTTTTCAACTGTTTGTCTGTCTGTCTGCCTGTCTGTGTGTTTTTTTGTGTAGGCCGGAGGGAATGGTGAGGTGTTTCGTTTTGTGGGCAGGAAATCAAAACAAAGGGAAAATCAAAAATTTCTTCTGGTCTTAGACAACAACAACAACAACAACAACAACAACAACAACAACTTTGAGAGCGTTAAATATCTTTAGTTAATGAGGCGCTAACTGAGCTAATACTTCCTGTGTGTTTCTCTATTCATATTATATAACTCTTTAACATCTGCTTGTATTTCGCACACATTTTAACCGAACAGGAGAGGACGAGAGGGAGATGGTGGACAAGAAGGGCAGCGGGTATAAACAAAGCGCCATGCCGCTGGCTTCGTCGAGTTCTCCGCCATCACAGCAAGAGCATGATCAACAACAGCAGCAGCAGACCAATCTGACAGGGCGGAAGGCGGCACACTCGCTTCGACTCTTCAGAAATGACAACACAAGCAGCTCGGCGGTTCAGATCTCTGATGATCACACCGGCGTTCGAAGCTCAAGAAAGCACTCCACGGTGAGCCCCTTGAAGACGAGCACGGCTTCCAGGAGAACACCGAGCATATCCGCGGCGTCGGTGTCAAATCTGTCGTCAGATATTAAGGGTTTGAAGCTGGTGGCACCACAGCTGTTGGACTCGCCCTTTGACGATGCGCTCGCAAAGAGGGAACAACACAGATGCCGGACTTTGAGTCCAGAGGGTGTCCTGGTGAAGGATGATGACAAGGACGCTGATGAGGTTGAAATAGTACATACCATGGGTAACATTGGAGACTCTAAGGCCACAATGGCTGTGTTGGAACCTGTATCATCTGCAACGTATATTCCAAAGGGACATGAGGGGGAAAGAATACATCTAAAGGAGGAATTGGACTTTGATCACCTATCCACAACAACAACACGGAGCGATGATGCTAGTATTGTGACAAACACATCAACGGTTATTGCAGCACCCTCAAACTTGGCATCAGATGAACTGCTCAGACATCCGATTCATGAGGAACAAGAGGAAGCAGAGCAGTCGTACGTTAAATTTGCTAAGGATTCACAGGTGTATGAATATCAACACCACGAGGATGAATTTCCCGATTTGCATCTCCACAATCATTATCACCACCACCACGACAGTGATCAGCTTGATGGGATGCACCACGAACCGGAAACTGAATTCTCGTTGGCCGTGGAGTTGACACCTTTTAAAAACAAAGTTGGTGGACATACAGCAATTTTCAGATTCTCACACAGAGCTGTTTGCAAGGCACTTGTCAATAGGGAGAACACATGGTATGAAATTATTGAACAAAACCATGCTGATATATTAAAATTCATGCCTAAGTATATCGGGGTTCTAAACGTGAGATATACAACACTAGTGGAGGAACCTGATGAGTCAAATAATTCGCTTAATGACATTTCTCTAGAACATACAACCTCTTTACCGGGGATTGAAGATTTGAACGATGGTCAAGGAAAAGATGATGAAAATCTGAAACTGAAACATTCGTCGTCTTATCAAGAAGAATTACCCCCAGAGGTTGTGCTAGATGATAACAAGCATATCATTCCCGAGTCATTGTGGGATCATTATTCAAGTTCTGTTCCATCACCTGCATCGTCATTCTCATACATGTCTGAAACATCACCTTGCCAATCACCAAGAGCACTTTATAATACGTCTCAACATAATAATCCAACTTCTCCAAATGTGAACTCTCTGGGTTCAACGACAGTCAATCGTAAACTGCAAGAGTTGGTTTTACAGGAGGTGTTTGCACCAATTCGTTCAAAGAGAAGCTTTAGATCTTTGAAGCATTCAGTTTCACCAAGGCTATACCCTCAAAGGACCCCTATGGATACCGCGCAACAGAGGCCTCATCGTCTAAGTGCATCATCTTCTGATCTTGGTAGAAGACCAAAATTCAACAGTGGAACAACGCTGAAGAAGAACAGTACCTCGCTAGTTGACTTGCAGAAAGCTGTCCAGACGAAACAACAACAGAGGAATCAGGATAAAGGTCCACAACCTCTTGATTCCCATGTTGAACAGAACTATATCAAGAATAACGATACAATGGACGACGAGTTGAATATTCTTGACGATTCTTCGCCAAGATTACATTCTGCTCCTGAACATCATAGACGTACAAGTGATTCCATCTTCCAAATGGATGATGAAGCAGATGACGAATCACGCTCTGTAACGGAAACTAAAGATGGTGATTTGTCTGACGCCATGTCGCCACTGATGATGCCCTCAAGAGCGATACATAAGAGACAACGCATTGAACGGTTCATCCTTTTGGAAGATTTGACATCAGGGATGAAAAAACCTTCCGTTTTGGATTTAAAGATGGGTACTCGTCAATACGGTGTTGAGGCTGCGTATAAGAAGAAGAAATCCCAGAGAAAGAAATGTGCAAGTACAACTTCCCGTCAGCTCGGTGTTCGGATCTGCGGTCTACAAATTTGGGATAAGAAGTCCCAACATTTCATTGAAAGGGATAAATATTTTGGTCGACGTGTTAGAGCTGGGTTCCAGTTTGCAGCTTGCATTGCAAGATATTTGTACGATGGTGAGTGTGTGTATTCGATATTGATCAAAATCCCAAAGTTGATCAGTGATATCGAGGAGTTGGAAAAGGCTGTCTTACAGTTGGAGGGCTACAGACTATATGGATCCTCACTATTGTTGATGTACGACGGTGTGGACATGTCAACAGTGAGTGTTCATATCATTGATTTTGCCCAATGCATAACTCCAGAGTACCAATCATCCACGGCAACTTTCCCACCAAAGCATCCAAATGATGCAGACCAAGGATATCTGAGAGGGTTAGCATCTCTAAAGTTCTATCTCAAGATGCTCTTCTCAGACCTGACTCGCGTCAACTATGAAACCTTTGAATTGGCACATCAATACCTCAACTCCAACAAGGAGGCCCTGAAGAAGACCCCCGTCAGTTGGATGGATCTATTCGACAAGCTTGAAGAGAACGACCCTAACTTCTATCAAAAAGAATTGGACGAGATCCCATCATTTGCCCTAAACGATATCGGTGACGTCTCTGAATGAGCTTTACAACCTCTTATGTGTGTTTAATATATTAATGCTATAATGACCATGTTACTTCAAATCTACTTCATCACCAACTACTAATTGGAGCTCAAGAATGAACCGATTTTTTATTTTTGTACACAAATCACATTAAAGCCCTTACTCTTATTTGTTCAAAACCTCAGCATCGTATTTTTGCTTGAACCATTGGACAGTGTCCTCCTTGGTGGTCTTGTGGGAGTTACCAATGACGGATTGGGTTCTCTTTCTTCTGGCGATTCTAGCACCTGGTCTACCCATGACAACGTAGAAGTCCATACCGTAGATACCGATAGCTGGGTCGTACTTGATACCCAAGTCAATGTGCTCTTGGATACCGAAACCAAAGTTACCAGTCTCGGAGAAGTTTCTCTCTCTCAATTGGTACTCCTTGACCTTCAAACCTCTCTCCAAGATCTCCTCAGCCTTTGGACCTCTGATGGTAACGTGAACGGCAATCTTCTCGTTTCTTCTGATACCAAAGGTTCTAACGGTGTATCTAGCCTTGGATTGAACTGGGGTTTGACCAGACAATTGTTCCAAAACCTTGGAAGCTCTGGTCAATCTGTCACCAGATTCACCAACACAAATGTTGAGAACGAGCTTCTCGATCTTCAATTCACGCATAGGGTTCTGAGCCTTGGAAGACTATGTAAAGACTGTTAGTATTGTTGCAACAATGAGGGTGTTGGAGTGTACATGAGTTCATATTTCACCTGTTTCTGCATCTCCGCTGAAGAGGCCATCGTGAGACTTTGATCGTTTACAACATCGTTGGATAAAGCAGAAATGGCACTCTTGTTCGGCAAGGTGTATTCAGCCATCTCCTCTCTGGCTTTGCTTCCCTCACAGGCACTTTGTGTCTACACTTCCTCCCATGCCTCCCTTCGACTTTTTAATACCTTTTCATCTTCATCTTCATCCTCTTCCTGGTACATCTTCTGGGGATCGAATCAAATACACAGACCAGTATAAAGCATACCCCTTGCAAACCACTGTGAAAGAATCACCATGTACACCTCCATCATCTCTCTAAACACATACCATTTTGACTTATGTTGTGGAGTTGTAGTCTCTGAAATGGTTAGAGGTTTCGGTTTGCAATTTTCAAAGAGTGTGCTTGTTTTTGAAAAGTTTGCCAGAAAAAAAAAGATTGTGTTGCGCGTAACAGAAGTTTTCAACTTGTGGGCTGGGAGTGGTAGGCAGACGGGGTGAGCGTCTGGGCAGGGTGTGTAAATCTGAGCACAGCTGTGGGAAGAATCCCAGCGTAAATTTCAGTACAGATCTAGGCTGGCTTGGAAATTTCGCGAACTTATGCGACAGAGTCTGAAGAGTCTGTTTTGTGCAGAGTTTTGTGACTGCTAAATTTTTCTGCAAAGTGGAAAACACCTGGACACCTACTTGAAGATATGTTCGGATGTTTAATGACACAACTGTGTACGGGAACCAGTGCTCATCTTGTACGCTAGTGTAGTGTATATATATACACTCGGTGATTCCCTACTGGGTCTCAAGGATTTCAACAAAGTTGTACGCTAAGTCATAAAGAGAATGTATAGGACGAGCTATATATTGGCGTAAAAGAGTGTCATTAGCATAGGTGGTTAAGAGGATGTACCGCATGTCGTAGATCCATCTTAGCAAGCTTGTATGCGAGACCAAGCTTCAAATGTTGGAGGGTATATATATAATTGGGTAATGCATTCAATACTGTGCGAAGTCATCCACGATGTCCATGCATTCTGCCAGAGAAGCCCTTGATACTATCATTCTTTGTATCAAGTTGAAAGCTCTCGTGTCCGATTGGAGTCTTTTGATCCCTGTTGGTGAGACCAACTCCAGTGCCTTGTTCTTCTTGATGCATTCCGTTACATAAACGCTTGGTACTCCAACGGACGATAACACCTGAGAATAAGGTTGTTCGCCAGTGGCGGCGTATAATAGCGTAAGGCCCGCAGCAAATAAATCAGAGCTATATGAAGGATAATGTGGTGGTGATTCCATCAACTCAGGTGCACAGTACTGCGGTGTAACGTCGTAGAAAGCTCCCAATTGTAATTTCGTATGGTATTCAGATATCACATCCTCTTGTAGGGCAGCTGAGGTCAAATCGCAGAGCTTGAAGGATGACATATTGTTGTCAAATAGAACATTTGCAGGCTTAATGTCCATATGAACCAAATGACAATCGTTGAGCAATTGTAATGCTGTCAATATCTGCCTTGCCAATCTCCACCATAGACTTGAGCCTATGTGCAACTCAGTCGTTGAAGTAGCAGGCTGTGATTCGGCCAGTGTGGTCAGCGAATATGATAACCTTTCCGATACTATGCAAGGCACGGTTTCTCCGTACCTAATTCTTGGATACTGCGATCTATCCAACATCGTTATTCCATAGACGTTCAGCACGGGTAGACTTTCCAATTCCCAGTGATTAACAATGGCATGATTTTGGAATATCTTATAGTTTAGCATCTCTTTAAAGATCCACTTTGATGTTTTCACGCTTGTAGGTATCTTTATGGCAAACAGATTGTCCTGACAAGAGCACTGTAACACTGTTGAGTAAGAACCACGGCCAATTATTGTACTCCTTGAAACATCAAACTTGAATACATCATCGATCAAAGAGTCCTCAATCTGCGATTCCACATCCTGCTGTGGTATCGAGGCAGATATTGGTAGATATTTCAGTAAAGTTGGACTTGACCTCATGGGTGAGGCCATTGGAGAGATTGGCAGTTGACAAGTTTCAGTGATAGGTGTTGAAAACATAGACTTTGGTGATGCAGTGGTTGAAAAGTTGGTCTTTGGTGTTGAAAACTGATCCTGTTGGTGACTCAATGAACAGCTGGCGTGTTGTACGGGAGAAGATTCCGGTGTAGGTATAATCAAGCTCGGTCTCTTTATGCTCTCCCTGGCTTTCAGTTGAGCCTCTTTAGATACTTTACCAGGCTCAAACACAGCCGTCCTCTTGGACGGTGTCGAGTAATCGGGCTGGGTAAAGGAATTCATGGTTAGAGAATGACGGCTTGATGTTTCTTCTTCCCCCTTCTGGTTGTTGTTGATATGGGTTCAAAGCCTTGTCACACAAACTGTAAGCCCACTTCACAGTAAGAACAGAGAGAATACAACAGAAACGCCCCCTTGAAGTAGATTTGTATACCGCGCAGGCTCAGAGGAGGATCAACTGTATCAAATCGAACGCAGCTTTCTATGGCTTTCAGTCCAGCGCTCGAAGCAGTGGTTGGTGCTCTTTGTTTATGTTTCTTTGTTTACGTCTTCTTCTGCTGGTTTTTGCCCCGTTGTTTTGCGGTCCGCCTGTGTTTGAGTTTTCAGAGGTTACTATGGAAACAAGACGACGTGAGCAAACAGAGAAGAGCCCTGTGGTGATGGAGGTATCTGTGAGGGAATACCTTTGGAATAGTGGAAATATGCCTCCAATTAAACCCCAGTGGGAATATTGCGGGCTTATAAAGTGATTATCCAGGATGCCGAGAATGATTGTATGTGGTGTGTGTGGTTTCTTCTACTGGATTCCTCGTCATTCGGCAGCCGTTTCAGCTGTGCTCAATTGGAGAGGGACCTAAGGCAGCACCACGTAAAAGTCACACCAGCTACGTCCAGCCATACAGAGGGGAAAGTGTCTTTACTCAGTGCGTAATGTTTGTGTATAGGATGATTGAAGTTGCTATAAAGACACAGTCATCGTTGGACGTTCCTGTGCTTTGTCATAGTGAACTCATGTTATTTCATCTCTAGTGCATGCATGATGGGCTCTTGGAGTTTTAGGGGGCACATTCTACATGGCTTGGTGAAGGGAGCTCTAGCTAGTTCTACATACAATCACTGGAGTTCATCTCTGGCCTCTGGTGTATGTAAATAGTGTCTCGTCGCTGGTATGTGATTGAATAGGTCTAATGCTCTGTTGTTCCACTCCAACGGCCAATAACTTGTATGCGCTTCGATGCCTTGGAAGCTGCCACATCCAGACACCACACAAGGCGGATATGGCAAAGTGGGCAAGAGCCAGCCAATCGCTGTTCATTGTGATCTGGGTTCTGTTGTCAACACTGATATTACGACTTTGGTGGGCTAGCGATCCCCATTGTTTGAAGTTGGTGTTGGTTTATCTGATTGGACCATGGTTTTATCGCCAGCCCGTGTAAATAGTGTACCGTTAAGATCTTTAAGTATCATTAAGCAATCTTTGCATGTCTCTGTAGTGTCTGGCCAGTGCAGTAGCCAAGATGTACCTAAGATCATGATATCAAATTGAAAGAAACGATTGGCATGCGTTACTTTATACATCGGTGTGGCTCAGTATCGTCTCGATATGATATTAATTGATTAAACTACTACTTAAAGGATTTGACTTGTCACTAAATAACAAGTATCTTATTTTCTCGCTATTTTTCTAGAAGATTCACATAGTACCATCTCCAGCAAAGAAATTCAACACTGTCAAATTATAACACACAATAATTAACCAAAATTGACGACACGACCATAGAGAACGTACCAATCATACAATATCCAGCTGAGAGGTAATACCAGAACCCCAGCATGGATCTACGAGCTTGTGTGTGGATGTATTCTAGCACTCAACCATAGATCAGTAAACGTGATGTCCGGATGAATGTTGTTGAGGTACTTTGGATGAGAACGCACCCTGCACCCCATCGTGCATAAAAACGTCATCAGGTGGTGGAAACCAATAATCGTTGATGAAGACTACAACATTGCTGCTAATTAAACATAAGGGTGTGGCTTGTTAAGTTGCCTATATACATTGCATACGTCAATTACAGTGGTGATTATTGTGCTGAGTCATTCTCGACAGATGGGGGGGGGAGTTGCCTGATGACAGCTTTGAAGTGAAGATACCCATTTGTAGTAACAAAAGCAAACCGCTTCTTCATATAGCACTCGCAGATCATTCACAGGGCACATGTGTTTTCGCCATGGTAGTACACACCGACATGAGCGCACATACAGGTTATTGACCAGTAAATCTCAATTAATCCCGTTACCCAGAAGCTCATTAAGAAGGTCATTAGCATATTCGTTCTCCCAGGTTAGGAGATCAACGTGCTCTGTGGATAACACCGATAGATCTGGAGGTGAGTTCGAAGACCCAGTTACTGCACTGCCGTATCGTGAAGCCAACTGGAAGTAGGATGAGTTTTCGTTCGTCGAATCAGCACCAGGGGACTCAGACATGATTGCATTGTTTGAAGATATAGATCCCAGAATGGAGCTGGCGTTTTCAATGAGACTCCCATCATCAATATCAGTAACGTACTTTCTTGTGAACTTGTATGCAGTGACCATCCCCATTAACGAATAGCTCATACTGAACACCCGACCAGGAGAGTTACGCTGGAGGAAGAGAATGGCCTTAGACCATAGTACAAGGAAGTTCCTCGAGAGCTTTCCACTCATAAAAGCCTGCGATAACGGACTGAAGTTGTCAGAACAATCCATCGACTCCATATCTGCGAGGGTTATATTTAATTCCTCTGGAAAAAGTCGTTCATCGTTAAGCGTACGGAGTTCGTTGTATAGAAGAGTGAGGTATGATCTACACACAAGACTCTGTGAAGCTCCAATAATGGCAAGCGTCATCTCCACCAACCTTGGAGTTAGATCATCCAGTCCAAATTGCTGAGCCTCATAAGTCAATTCTCTAATAGTCAGCAGAATTTCAGTGAGATACGTCATACCCAGGACACAGTACTTTAAACTAGACAGATGGTAAAATGTCCTTTTTGGATCATCAATGGGGACTCCCTCGAGTAAGAGTTCAAAAAGTGTATGTATAGCGTGAACAGCTAGTACACGATGTATGATACCGTTAAAGGACGACATGTCGTTCACAACGGCATGTGCTGACGTCGAATTGGCCATATTTGACGAGAGATGCTTCAGTTCGCCGTTGTTGAAGTTCTCAAATCTGGAAATTATAGATAACACCTCACTTGGGTATACCGGGTCTGATCTTGTCATCAGCTTACAACACTCTCTCATACATCGCGTTAGATCTAATAAGAGGGTTGTGTCTGCATCTAGATTCCCAAATGAGTTTGGATGTATCGAGCCATCGTCAATGCTTGGTGGTATTCCCACATCGAATGAGAGTAGAGTATCCATGTTGTAGAGGTACCTCCAAATTGATCTCAACAATATTCTATGACGTGGGGTATACGTGGGATATAAGTCATCAACATCCCTGTGTAATCCCAAGGTGATACCCATGACTATAGCACTCTTCAACAATAAACAGCCATTTGAACCATCGCCACCGTTGCCCTCTGAGGGATCAAGCACCATCAATGCGTGCATGAGTAAAGTTGCCTGTAGTGCTGGTAGTGTTACCCTAGTGTTGGACTTGCTGAACCGCAAAAGTCTCTGAGCAAACGTCACGAGCTGGTCATAGTCAGAGAACACATCGTTCAAGGAGCTCAGGTTCATTGTCAATGTCATGAGCTTGAACACGACAATTATCAGGGCTATTTTAGCATAGTCAACGTATTTAGTAGAGATTGTTATCCGACATGTACCTGTGGAATAGTCCTTACCAAAGATCCTCAAGAAGTCCTTTAGTAGGTCTTGTTCATCTACAACAGGTATGAATCTGGTCCAAAATGATGATCCGAACATCGTCACAGCGTCTTTCATACTATCGAAAGACGGTAGATATTGGCACAAGTTCCCTAACAACACATCGGGGAAGGCTGTTTCCATTGCAACGTAGTCCTCATATGGCTTCTTCTTCCAGTTGTGCTTGATCTTCCATTCTCTCCTCTTGTTCGAGAGGAAAGTGGTCACATCGTCCAGCACCTCGGCGTACTTGGACTCCTTCCTTAAGGCCGTTCTCCAACACGTCGGCCCATAAAACACAGTGCGATCAACCTTGTTGGATACGTACTCAGGCAGTGTCAATGGAGCCTCATTGTTCTCACCGCCACCTTTGCTTCTCAGTGACTCCAATTCTTGCCGCAGACTTTGTAGTTCTATCATCATCTCTTCAATAGTGGGCGCTTCATCCTGCTCCTTTGGCCGAGACTTAGCCAACGCAGCAAGGTACCTGGTGTTGTCATACACACACAGGTGGCTCGGTATACCTCTCTTCACACAGGACGAGCATGGCCTCTCCTGGTTACACTTGATCTTCCTCACACGGCAGTTGGTGCATGTGAGAGTAGCCCGTTGCCGCCGCTTTCGAGGCTGACCATCTCCATTCGCTTCGCCACAACGACTCATCACCTCAATGCAGTCAAAGTACACGCGGTTCACCAGCTCGGGAATTGTGCACTGTTCTCCTTCCTTCTGACCTCTCTGTGCCGACACTATGGGAAGGAAGAAAGATCAATGATGACTAATTTCAACTCGAAAGAGTTGTACAGCTAAGGTCCGCGTCGGGCGTCGGAATTGTGTATGTATGTCCCTTTAAGCATTGATGCGGATTTCCTACTAACAAAGCCATTGTCCAAGTACACCTGGAACCTGCGGTTTTAGTTATTGAGCAATGTCGGTTCATTACACCTTTTTAGGCATTATATATGGATCCGTCTTGGAACATATCGATGAGCTCATCCTTTTCAAGTAGCTCACGGAACAGCTCATCGACAGCGTCGTTTCTCCATTCGAAGAGGTCAATCTTGTTGGCAGAGTCATAGACAACGTTGCCTGGGATTGGTTGGTATCCATTCAAGGGCTGGGAGGACGCGGACGACGATCCAGAATACATAAACTCTTGTAGTGGGGCTCGACCAACGATAGGTCCCTGTTGCTGTTGCTGCTGTTGTTGAAGCGGGGGCAGTGGCACTATCTGATCATGCTGTTGCTGATGCTGTAGCGGCGACACTGTCTGCTGTCGCTGTTGTGGCGAACACTGCTTCCGTTGTACATCTGAAACCACAGTTGAAGCTGGCGAAGTGTCCTGGCTTGTGGAACCACTTGACCTTCTCTTTGCAATGATATCCTGGAAAAACTTGTAACCAGCCAACAGACAGTACAGTGTGAAACTGAAGTTGAAGACACGGAATCTCGATTCGTTGCGAATGTGTAGCAGCGACTTACACACCAGTGCCAGGATCTGATTGGAGTAACCACTCGAGGTGATCGACTGCACCAAAGGATTGTTCTTGTCCCATGGATCTAAACGTTCAACAGCCTCCATCGATATTCTTCTGAAGAGCAAATCAGATAATGGTGGGGTGTCAAAGAACTTGATTTCATTGGCAAACAGGGAGGCATAACAACGATAAATTACCGGCTTGGCCATCGCCATCACTGTCGTCGAGATCTCAACCAAACGATGGACATCGTTTTGGTTGTTACCCTCCGCAAGTTTCTGCGTGATGTTGTTCAGATTCCACATGAACTCAACGTTCTGGAAGAAGGATAGAGTGCAAAACTTCATACAGCCAACCGAGTAGATATACCTGTCTGTATCATCCGGATCGCAATACTCGGATAGTACTTCCCATAACATGTGCAAGACATTCAGGCCTGAAAGTCTGAGTAACAATCCACCAAATTCTATTTGGTTGTTCATAAGAGTTGGAAGGGAGTTCCAAGACCTCAACACTTCAGACATCCGAAGAAGCACCCCATTATCAAAACTTTGAAGCTCGTCAATCAATGCTAGGAATTCGTCCTTATATACTGCTTCTGTCTTCGTACACAGTTTACAAGCACGTCTAATGATCTTCATCAACACGAGCTGTGCTTCGTACTCATCAGACGCTTGTCCAAATGAGTTTTCATGCACCACGTCATCGTCAATGGTCAAGGGGAGACCCAAATGCAACGAGACATAAGTGTCTCTAAAGTACAAGAACCTCCATAGTTTCTTCAAAGTTGCTCTGTATGTTACACTTTTAACACTGAACAATCGATCAACGTCTCTGTGCAGCCCCATTGCCAGGGCCATATTCACGGCATTCTTCAAAGACATTGCACTACTTGTAGCACCATCGCCATCGCCATCCATTGGATCAAGTGGCATTGATGTGTGTATCAATATCAACGCCTGTAATGCTGGCAGAGTTGCACGGCTCTCATACCGGCCAAATCTCAGGAACGAACGAGCATAGCGTATCAACTGATCACGGTCAGAGAAATGGTCTGAATCAGAGCTGAGGTTCAAAGTCAGCACGACATACTTCACCACGGCCAAAACAAGCGCAATCTTCGCGTAGTCTGCATTTTTTGTATACACAGAGATAACACACTTGTTGGTAGTGGGGTCCTTTGTAAAGAGCTTCAAGAAGTCTCTCATCAGTACGTTATGGTCCAGAACTGGGATGCACTGATTCCAGAATGACTGTCCGTAGATGTCAAGATACTGCTTCACAACGTCAAACTCTGGCAGATAGTTCGACAAGTTACGCAGCAAGACGTCGGGATAGGCAGTCTCCATGTCTTCATACTCCTTCGGCGAGATGTTCTTCAGATTCATCTTGATCTTCCATTCCCGTCTGATATTGGACAAGTAAGCCACTGCGCTCTCTGCGATTTCCGTGTCCTTTCCATAGTTGAGGATGATTGACCTCCAGCTCGTCGGGCCATAGTATGCCAACCGATCAGTCTTAACAACCAAGGAATCCGGTATCTTCACCTGGAGCCTCTTCTTCTTATCCACGGGCCCATCGTCTTTACCTTCCAATTGAGCTTTCAGCGCATCCAGCTCCCTCTTCAACTTGCTGTTTTCGTTGAGCAGTAGCACCATCGTGCGCTGGTCAGACTCCAACAGCTCACTTCGCCCACTTGTCCTCTTGGAGTCTCCCTCACCGCTGTTGGCACCTGGAGCCGGCTGTTCATAGACACACAGCTCTGGAGGGATTCCTCTCTTCGTGCACGCTGAGCATGGCTTATTCTGGTCGCACTTAACCTTTCTGAACCGGCAGTTTGTGCATGTGAGGCATGCCCTTCTTCTCTTTCGTATGTGAAGAAGATGCGACTGAGCGGGAACCATAACTACGACAAACACACGCACTCTCGGTCATACACTGTTGGCCTTCCACCTTGTGCCCTCTCTAACTCTCCTTGATTAGCCGGGCGATCTCTGGTGAAATATATAATCAATATATATATATAATATCAGAAATTAGCCATGATTATTAGGCCTGCGGGAAGGGAATGGAGAGAGAGTGGGATATTGTTGGGTTAAATATAGTTGGGGACGTGCGCCTCATTTTTTTTCGCGTCCTCTGTCCCTCTGTCTGTCCCTCTGTTCCTCAGTCTCGCTCTGTCCAGGTGCTTGTCTCCCCTGCCTGTCCAAAGTCCTCCATGTGTAAACGTACGTCGTTAAAATATCCCCCTTCCCCTTCTTGCAAGCGTTTAGAATATAGACAGATGACATTAACTCTATCCCGCCCACCATCGTAATGACAAGAAATATTGAACCGTAAGATGGAGTTAATTTTCGCTCATGCACAGCCATGTCTGATGCGTACAGGGCTAATCTTTGCTTGGGCCCTCTATAAGATTGATGTAACCAGACAAGAAGTGCTTCACCCCACACACAGTTGCAGCGCTGAAAAAGTACCATAAGGGTCAAGCCTGATGTGGTCTGATTAGGCTCAGAACGACAGTACGTTAGCTTTTGATGCGCCTTTCCAGGCGCATTCATAAGCGTGTCTTGTCTTCTTTATCAGCTCCAGCGAATTTCAAAGCTTAAAAGACACTCACCTTTATCGGCAGATTTAAGCTGGGAATGCATGAACTTAAAGCCAACAGACATGCAACACATATAGCACGTAGCACAGTGACCTGCTCTATCGCACCCAAGCTTCATTCTATTCGATAGTTCCAAATCATAGTGACATCATGCGCTGTGTATTGCCGTTTTCGCTTGCGGATTGTGGACGTGTGTGGGTGCTGATGGATTTGGGGACGCGGTGGCTGAAAATGAACTCAGACCCGAGCCACCCGTACACCAGCAGCAGACGCATTCGCGGCGACTGATGTTGTTAGCGGCTGGGGATCAAAGGTGTCCTGGCTTAAGGGAAAATTACACGAGGACACAAAAGCAGGAAATTCCTATAGCGGGACCGTGAGAAAACACAGGTAAACAGAACAAACACACATAGAAGCCTCCGCTGATAAAGAAGGGCGCGCACTTGTGATTGGCACACGGGCAGGATAGGTTTGGTTACAGGGCTATGGCTAAGAAGAAGGGCAAGAAGAATAGCAATCAGGCGCAACAGGCGAAGCCTGTTGAGCCTGTTGAACTTGGTTCCGCTGATTCAGAGGAGGCGTCTGGGGCTGCTGGAACAAGGGACGACGACACTTCTGGTGAGGTCAATGGCGATGGTACTGAAGGAGTAAACGGTGCCAATGACGATGCTGGTGGTGTTGTTGAAGTGGACGTTGAGGGTGACGGGTGTAGTGTGGTGAAGAACAATGAGCCGCCAACGGAAACAACAAAGCAGTCTGACCAGACAGGTGAACAGGGAGAGGGACAGGCAGAGGGACAGGCAGGTGAACACGCAGGTGAACAGGGAGAGGAACAGGCCAAGGAAGTGGATTTGAAGTCCACAGAACAGGCACAGCAAGCCGAACCAATAGCTGCACCTGTTCCAAAGAAAAGGTTGACATTACAGGAAAGATTGGCACTAGCAGCCAAAGCTGGTAAGTCTTCCAAGCGGAGTGCGTCGTCAAACAAGGCACCAAACTCGGATCGCTCTCCATTGTCGTCACCATCACCACCTCCTCCTAAACTGGAAGTTATCAAGACCGAGATCAAAGATGAACACCAAGAGCCGTCAGAATCACCATTCAAACAAAACTTCAGAGACATGGATAAGGATGAACTGGTTAAGTTCATTGACGATGTTCAAAACAAATTCATCTCATTACAGTCCAAGAACGACTCCTTGAAAGTGGAAAAACATAGCCTTCAAGAGAAAGTGAAGACTCTTTCCTCTCAGCGATCTTCGACTCCATCGTTGTCAAGCTCAACCTCTGTATCAGAACATCTCTTAAAGGAGAAGGAGGCAAAGATTCAACAGTTGTTGAAAGAAGGTGAAGACCTTTCAAAGAAGGAGTTGAGGCTGAACAATGTCATTAAGCAGTTAAAATCCACAGAGACGGAAAACAGCTATCAGATAAGTGATCTGAAGGAAACCGTGAAAAAATTAGAGGACGAAAGAAATACCCTAAAGGAGTCTCTGACGAAAGCACAATTTGAAGAGAAGCAATCTTCACTCAAGTCAAGAGCCTTGCAGAAGCAATTAGAATCAGAACAATCAGCGCTGGCAGATGAAATCAGCAGAACGAAGCAATTGTCCCTACAAGTTGAAGAACTCTCTGAGACTTTGATCCTGGAGAAGAACAAATTCAACGAGGATATAACTGGGTTGAAGAGACAGATAGATAGCGAGAAACAAAAGTTGTCGAATTCGAAAAACGAACATCAAAATGAAATCTCTAGACTTGAAGAAAAGATTGAGCAACTTAGATTCCAGGCAGAAAAGGCCCAGACTTCAACTTCAAAGAACGACGAGAGCTACGTTAGACTATTACGACAACACGATGTACTACAAAAGCAGTATACATCTGCAACAGAGAATTGGCAAAGTATCGAGGCTGCGTTGATGAATAAGATAAGCACGTTGGAGAATGAAAATGCCTCTCTAGCTTCTGACTTATCTGAAGTTGAGCAAAAGTCAAATATATTGACAAAGACCTTGGAGGAGAAGTCCAATGAAATTAATTCTTTATCAACTAAGCTATCCAAATTGAGCATTGATCACGGTAAAATGTCAACTCAACTCCAGAGTGCTTCCAAATCTTTGAGCGAGACCCAGGAAACTTTGGAGGAGTTACAAATCAATCAAAATAAGGAGAAGGCGGCACTTGAATACAAGATTCAAAGCCTGGAACGTCAGGTACAAATACAAGAACAAGTGCAACCTCAGCATTTGTTACTCCCAGAATCTCAAGGAACACCGATAACGTTTGCCTCTCCAAACTTCTCCAAAAATAGATCAACCTCATCTCTTAGATTGAATCGTGGTGGCAGCTGGGAAACACGAGACGTGAGCTTCGGCGAGTCCTCCACTACTCCTTTACAGAGTAGAAAGACTTCAATTGCTCCATTGGGATATTTCGATGAACAGGAGGATTTGGATGATATTGAAATGGATGATGAAGCAGAGTCAACTTTTAACGAGGGTTCTTTCAAGAACTCGTCTTCGGCCATAGGTGGAGGTTCTAATGTTCAGCTATTGAGTAAGATGAGTTTCCAGGTGCGTCGTTTGCAGACCGAACTATCCACGATGAAGGAGGAAGTTCACAAGTTATCCAACGAGAAGAAATCAGCCAATGAGGAGATTGTAACGCTGATGAAGGAGAATGAACAAGTTCAAGAGTATAAGCAACGCATTGCTGAATTAGAGACCGAATTGAGCCATTCGAGCACACGCAATGAGGAAGTTCTTGTTATTCTCGGAGAAAAGACAGAACAAGTTGAAGAGTTGAAAGCAGACGTCCAAGACCTGAAGGATATGTTACGAGCCCAGGCACAACAGTTTGTCGAACTTCAAAGCAACCTTGGTTGAGTGTATTTTACAGTGTACAAAGAAAATGAAACACGGATAACATCGTATGAAGATGCCCTTTTCTGTATGTATGTGCTCTACTGTGATCAGCCTAACCAACGCTCTTTAGTTGTAACCTTGAGCGATGGCCTTTTCAGTATGGTCGTCAATGTCATCAGCATCCCATGGATAACATAACCATTTATCCGGCAAAGTTCTTGCTGCGTAATAACGATCTTGGATGATATCAGTAGGTAAGTCGGCCTTCTTTGGCTTATCCTTGTTGTGAAGCACAAAGATTGCAAAGTTTGTCTTTTCCGTTCTACCGAGCTTGCTGGCCTGTTGCTGAACATCCTTTTCAAGCTCAGAAACAGCATAGTGCAAAGTAGTTCTGGTATCGTCGACTTCATCAACGATCAAGATGTTCTTGCCGATCAGAGAGTCAAAGTGCTCATTGAGCGCACCAAAGTCAAGCCACTGTGTTCTGACAACCTCCTTACCGATCTGAGTATCGTCGTCTTCATCTCCCAGGTTCTCGTAAAGACTGAGACCAATGACCTGGATTGGGATGTTCTTGTGGCCCTTCTCCTTCAAAAAGGTTCTAAGAATACGGGATGGGATGTTACCACCACCACCAATGGAGATGATGATGTCTGGCTTGAACTGCTTAATCTTTTCAGCAGATTCCTTACACAGCTTGTGGATGTGGTTGTATGAGAAGTAGAGCTTCTCCGGTTCTTCAGACATGGCTATAAAGGACGTTATACCGTTACTGCTTGGTTCCTTCAGATGACAATGGACAGCAGAAGAAAAGTTGCGATGAGTGAAAAATTTTTGACACTTCGATGGAGCCCCTCCATGCATATAAAAATTTCATCTGTGCGATGCACACGTTAAATCTGGGATTGGGATGAGAATCATAGGAGCTAATTGGCATACAATCTCTTGTTTGTATGTTCAGCTCACAGTGGTATGCCTGCTTTGTGATGCCCTCCATCAAACATTTGCCTTTACGGCTTGGAACCCAGTGAAACGGCTCGATTTGGAAGGAGCGTTATGAGCGTGTGTACCAGTTTGCGTCAAGCAACAGCTGTCGATTCTACATGAGAGATGAGCTACGAACAGAAGCTGGAGATGCTAGAACCATTTCCCTATCTTTTGGTGTCTATTTACTCTTGTTCACCATCGTCATCTTCACTGTGGACGTCTTCGTCCTCTGCCTGGACATCCTCGCTCTCCTGTTCACTCTCAGTGTTTCCTGCAGCCTCGAGAACGTCGTCGTCGGCCTCATCGTTCTCACCATTTACGTATACAATGGACTCTTCTGCTTGGGATATAGCATCTCTGTGGTTTTGTTGCTTACTGGCAATGGCGTTTTCCTCGGCACGTTTGGAGATCTGCTCTCTGAGCACGAGTTGCGATCTCAACAGTTCCAGTCTTCCTTGAAGTGCCAAAAGATCAGGCAACTGTTTAAGACCTTTCTTTAAGGCACCGTTTAGTGGCTTGAGATTTGCCTGTGAATTAATGACTGAGGAGTGGTTCACAAGTATCCATTTCAGCCATGTGTTTAGAATTGAAGACTCACTAGGGTCACACTGCACCCTGGCAGACAAAACGTCAAATACCTGAACGGCGATCTCTGGAGAGATTGCAGATGAAACGTATCCCATCTTGTCCTCGCTGTCATTACTGATCAAGACGCGGAAAAGTTCTTCGACGTTATCGATTGAGTCTTGAATCAGAGTGACGAGTTTGGATTCTCGCACGTTGTATTCTTCAACAGCTTTTAGTTCAAAGACGATAGGTTCCGTTATCTTCTTGACCTTGGATTGTTTCGTGGCTTGTTTGACATCAATTGTGATGTTTTCGGTACATGAATCAAGCTTGAAGCCTTGGAACTCAGGAACAACCCCCGTGTAAGATACAAACACATCACCAGCCTGGTAAAACACCAAGTTTAATGGGATCTTTTTGTTGTTGGATGAGATGGCACTTGATGATTGCGCTGCTAAATTCACAATCGTAATGGCACCTGTCTTTAAAAGTGCAGCGATGGTTGTATCGTTTATGTAATGCAGTGTCTTGATTTGAGAGTTTAATGATAGCGTATTAGTCTCAGTGAAGTTGTTGCCTTTGAAAAGAATAACGTCTTCACCTTTTGAGATTGCAATGGTGGCACTGTTGTCAAGAAGCACTGAGCTTGAAGCTTTGCTCACTTCAAAGGTATGGACAAGTTCTCCAGCCTTGTTCACCAAGTAACTCTTCTCACCAAGGACAACAAATAGTTGCTCATCACCTCCATCAACAGTAGCAATACTTGTCACCTGGGTCACAGCCTTTGGATATTTCACGGTGTTCTTTGGCTTACCACTGTTAACGTCAAAGCCAATAATCTCCGAATCAGTGGACACCCACAAGTACGACCTGGACGAGCATGAGGCCACTATAGGAGAGCCAGCTTCAAATTCAGAGATTGAATGATCCTGGAATGGAGAAAACACCTTGATCCGACCACTTTTCAATACACACGCAAGATAGCTGCTGGAGCTGGAACCAGAGACAGCGCCGTTGGACTGTCTTCTCTTAGATCTCTTGCCATTAGAGACTTCCCCAGTCGTGACCCACTCCAACGACAGCACATCGTCTTCGGACTCAAGCACAAAGACACTAGCTAACGAGTTACACACCGAGACGCCCTTGTCAGCATCGTTCTGCAATGGGTATATTTGTACCTCTGTCTTTCCCTGTCTAGCCACCAGCGCAGCGTAGTACGCACCGGTAGAATCCACTTTTGCTATAGCTGTCTTCATGATTGGTCACAACAGTCGATTCCAGGATAAACAACACTGCAAAGAAAGCACCAAGAGCCGGGTTTAATACTCTTTACACTACCAAAAAGTGAATAATATCGCAGAGCTGAAAAGTTTCCTCATCTCTCAGCTCGCGGGAAAATTTTAAACGGCCCCGGGGCTTCGGTAGGGTAACAAAAGCGATGAGCTCTACGACACCGCCTAAAAAACACACAAAAAAAGGCCGAAAAGGGAAACCGACCCTATCTCCGTTGCTGCGGTTACGTGACTACATATACTCTCACTGTGCAATACCAGATACAGCTCATTTGTTTATTCTATTCTTCTCTATAGATCAACAATATCTTTAAGAATGCTCTTTTGATCGTCGTTCAACTGGCCAAAGACGAATTGGGTCTTTTCGGTGTCACCCTGAGATGATAACAGTACATCTTTACAGGTGGAGAAGACGTTGATCTCCTCCAAGATATCGTGGGCCAGTGGGTCCTCTGGTAAATCGTCGTCGTCGGTGTCGAAGAAGCCGGTGGATTTCAGCTTTTCAGCTTCCTGCTGTAAGAACTGCATGTATCCGTCTCCCACTGAGCCAGTGTCATTGTCGTCGTCATCCTCATTCACCCATTCATCATCAACGTCTTCGTACTCGACGAATTCGCCCAGGTCATCACCAGTGGATTCGTACTCCTTTCTGCGCTTGGCCAAGTCGTTGATTGCATCTGGAATCTTATACATTAGCAACGACAAGTTCAACCCGAGCTGTGGTGCAAGTGTCTCAACTTGGTAGTGTCTCAATTCCTCCACAGATAGGGAAATGAGACTGAGAATACCCAGGATGGAGAGCTTCATGTCAAAGACTCTAGTGAGCTTTGGAATGTACTGGAACCACAGGTTGAAAAATGGCAACAGGAACTTGGAGTTTCCCAAGGCAGTCAAAGTGGCCTTGGTATGGTAGACAAACCCTGAAACTATGACGTTCATCATGTTAATGGCATAGATCTTTGACATCTCTTTCATTGAGACAATACTGTTGATTGTCAACGCAAGAATCTCAGCAAGATATGGTTCTGAGTTTGGGCCCAAGGTCAAGACCAACTTTTGGGCAATCTCACCACCAAGTGCATAGAAATCCAATGAATCCTCTTCATCACAGATAACACGTTTGAACAACTCCAGTAAAGCCTTCGCATACTGAAGGTTGTTCTTGATCTGCTGTGAGCCGAAGCATAAAAAGTTGTTCAAGGCTGGCATGATGTCCTCCAAGTAGATGATTGCAGTGCTATCGACAAGGGCTTGCATGATGATCTCAAAGATCTTCCATGCAACTGGAGAGATTTGACGTGTCAGGAATGTCGAGTTCTCTATCAATTCACAAACCTCACGGAAGAAGTCCTCTTCAGAATTAACAAAGACAAACTCCACTGCTGGGTAGAAGGTCTCCTCCAATTTGAACACAATGTCTGCAGAACTTTCAAATGACAAAAGAACGGTGATCATCGTGTTTAAGAGACCCAATGCAGCCATTTGCTTCTCCATCAGATCATCGTATGAACCGTCAAAGTCATCGACTTCAACCTGAGCAGCTTCGTGCAACTCACGAACCAGTTTCATGAATTGACCAACCAAGTTTGTCATCAAATCAACTCCAAATGGTTGTAGTTGTTCGCTAAAGATTTCAACGATTTCTTGCATGACCTGAGATACAGCTTCAACGTCAATTGTGTTGGAAAGTTGCAAAAGCTTTTGCATGGTGATAACAATGACTTCAGAGAGTGCCTCTTGAAATTGTGGTACTCTAACAAAGGATTGGATAGCCAGAGCAGCTTCCAATTGCACTGGTAGATGCGAGTCTTCAAAACAAGACATGATTCCACGATAGATGCAGTTCAATGTAGCCTCCTGTTGCAATGGGATATCGGAGAACTTGGATATGAGATCACAAGTTCTAGCCTTGATAAATGCAAATTTTGACTCAAAATGTGGTAGGACAAATTGTTGTAACAGGGTTTCCATCTGCGCATAGTATGGTGACTTTTCATTGGCAAGGTGGTCCACCAAGGCACCAACAAGACGCATCGAACCTTCCAATTTCTTAGCATCCTCCAAGGATTGAGTTGAAGGGTCCTTTAGCTGGTTCAACTGGCCAAATGCAAACTGTAAGATAGGCTCCAAAGTGGATTTCTTCTTCTTTCTAGTCAATGTCATCAGCAATGAGATACCTGCCAAATCAGAAGCGTTACTATCGTCAAAGATATCCAATCTTGTATGGATGTAATCCTCCGGATCGTCTTCAAACATCTCCAATGTTTCGTCAGAGGGACACAGCAGTTTGAAGATAAAGTGGGAAACGAGCAGCTGGACATGAGGTTTCAACAGCTCCCAGGTGTGCTTTTCTGAAATGGATCTCTCCAAGAAGCTCAGAATGTAATAGATCTGCTCTTCACTCATCCACAGTTGATTAGAACACCACTGATCAATCTGTGTCAAGTATAAGTTCAACAACTGGGGCACGAACTCCTTGCCGTAGATCTCCTTGAAAGAGTCATATTGGAAATTCTTGGACAATGACTGTGAGCCGTATCTTTCAAACAGACGGTACAGATTAGCGGAAGCCCATTTCTTTGTCTTCACCCATGGGTACAGCTTCCGCTCGTTTGGTTCAACATTGGCCAGTTCAGCAGGCAAGGGCTTGTTCAGCACCGCAACGTGGAAGTTCCCCCAATTCTGAATCGCCTCCAACGACTGCAGAGGGCCTGGGAGGTCGTGATAGGTGACGTACTTGTACGTCTTGAGCAGCAGCACCGTCATCTCTCCGGCCTCCAACGAATCCTCCTTCAGCAGCGTATCCGCCACGGACAGAAGCGTCGGGAAGTGCTGATTGATCAGGATGTCCAGCGCTGGTCGTTCAGCGTTACGGGTCCATCTGTACGTGGATGCCACTTTGGCAAACACCAAGAGCCCAGTGTAGGCAGAGTTCAGATCACCGGCGTACAGCAGCTTAAGCGCCTCATCAACCAGCGTAGGCCACTGAGAGGGATAATCGCTCGACACTATCGTCTCCAGAACCGGGATCAGTTGTCTCTTCAGGAAGTGGTCAGCGTTCACCAACGCCGGCAAGAGACGTTCTCTGATGTAAGGCTTCTCATCCGGGTCCACACCGCCTTCCTCTCTATCCCAGTGGCGTTTGATCCTGTTCTTGAAGAACACAGCAGCAGCAGCCTTCACTGGCGACGGCACAGAGTCGTTGGCTGAGATGATATCCAAGCATGCTCCCAGGAACCCCAACGACGTAGCAGCCTGTTGCAATTGGGACTCCGCGTGCTGTCTCACTTGCTGATCTGGGCTCAGCGTAGCACCAAAGCACTCGAGAAGGGCGTTCGCATTCATTTGGCTCGTGAGTCCAGGCGTGATGATGCTTTGATCGTGGTGCAAACAGCGTGCTCATCGGGCCTGTTGCAAAAATTTTTCCCTCCCTGTCTGTCTGTCCTTCTGCGTGTTGATGGGAAAACCTGAGCACGCGGGCAGCGTAGGCAGCGTAGACAGCACAGACAGCACAGGCAGGGAAAACAGGCACGCTCGTTAGGGGAAGCACAGGAAAGCCACACTGGGGAAGGGGAACTGTGGACGGGGGACTGTGGACGGGGAAGGGAGCGTAGAGGAGCCCATGATCTCCTTCTAACGCTCAGCTCCTGGTTCCTCCTCCACGGAGTCGCCATAATCAGCCATGGAGCACGGTGAAGAAAGACAGAGAGCACCTTCTGTGTTCGTCACGCTTGGTAACGGGCGCCAATTGGATATCAGAGCACACCAAAGGACCTACGATGGGTCCTACATGAGAGCTTCCATTGCGGTGATGATTTTTGGTATGTCTTACTCTCTCTCTGCCTGTAGTTTGCTCCTCAGCACTGTTACTGACGCTGCTTTATAGCTATAATGATAACAAAGGTCTTTTCAAAGGAGTTCCTACCGATTGCTACGGTGTTCACGGTCTACGGGTTTCTGATATTTGCTATTTCAGTCCATAGATCTAACCAGATGAAGGATTACTACGCAGAGACCACGCAAACGTTATACTACAAGACGAGTGGCAACATCGTCCTGCTGATGAGCTCCATCACTGTATTGAGCTATTTAGCACTGTTTGTGCTGATCTTACGCATGTGAGCCGGGTTTCGAAGGCGCTGGGCTTGAGTCTCCGCTGCCACTGCTGCTAAATCCTTGCGAATAGACAGTTTCATGGGTGACGTCGCCAACGGTGGTTTCACTTGTTACCTTGGGGAACGCAGTGAGTATTGAAGAGGACTTCTTATAGACCAGCTTCCTAGACGGTGATAGCTCTGTGGTTCCCTTGCGGCCTGAATCGATCCTCGTTGGAGTTAGCGATCTGGCCCTATTTAGCTCCATCGCCAAATCATCGTTCTGTGCTTCAACTTTTTCAAAGGAGCTCAAAGACAATATTGGTTGCGTTGCGTTACTCCTCTGTCCTTGTTCTTGGCTTATGTCTCGCTGTTCACCATCATCATCATCATCATCTTCTTCTTCTTCTTCTCCCTCACTCTCAGACTCTGAGATGTGTACTGGAACCCCAGTATCACCACATCCTACTATCTCAACTTCCACTGGAATGCTTGAACTCTTGATAGGCGTCGAACCACCCAGTATGGAAAGATCTTCAGTGCCATACGATGGTAGCTCAATGTTGTTATCCTTATAACTGTTCAACATGAGAAACTCCTCGGCATCTCCTTTACCTTTGCCTGTACATACAGGGAAAGTTTCAAAATCAGTGTATCTCTTGTCAATTACGGGTGGGGTTTCAACCTCCTCCAAGTGTTCCCTTTTAGGTACAATCAACGTCAATAACAAGTTGAGGATCTTCAACATGAGTAGTCCCATGGCAGATAAAGCCAGTGCCTTGAATAGAGCTTCATAGTCTTTGTATACCGAGTAGAGCCTCTGCTGCTTCCACGCATCGGCCACTGAATGTATCTTACACGCCATACTCTCGGGAAGAAATTGCGCTACACACTGCGAAAGCCGTGACTCTAACTTCTCCTCGACACCCTGGACGAGGCTTTCAACCTGATGTATAAGATCCTTTCTCCCCAGACCATGGGAATACATAGGGTCAAGCACGCTGATGTGTGTCAGGTTCAATGGTGTGTGTGCAACCGCTATCTTATCGTGCACTATGTCATCAGAAGGACCAATGAAGCGTTCTGTATCAACGTTAGTATCCTATAACGGTCATTATAGACACACAAGACATACGTAGCTGTGATCCCAACGAGTGTACTAAATGATCCATATCAGTCACTCCCATTAGCAGTGGGACCAGAAGAGTGGTGATCAGCACTCCAAAAATTCCAATTAGAAGCATACTATGTCGCTATCTCAAGAGTTCTACAACAACAAACTGTACGAGACTGTTGATCAGTTGAGTGCTTGGATGCTCCATAGCGGTTGCGTGTGCAGGTAAACATTGAGGGTGTGCGGGTGTAAATGGTGTGCGGGTGTGTTGGTGTCCAGGTGTGAATAATGTCCGGATGTTCTCATCACACCTCATCGCCATCTTCTCCCACGTACAACAGTGCAAAGCATCATTGGATAATATTCGTTAAAAGTTTGCTGTATATACATATAAAATGGACAGGCCATATGGTTATTCATAAGTCATTGATATGGGCGATGTTTGAACGCGAAGGAGAAAATGGAGAGGCTATGCAATTGCCCCCAAGCTCATCAACAGCAGTTGAATCAGTGCCTGCAAGCTCCAAAATGCAACCCTCTTCATCCTCAAAGTTCTAACCTCTTCATTGGCAACGTAGAGGGCAAAGGCGTCATAGACCTCAATGGACATGTCGTCCATCAATAGGGAATCGTAGACGGTCCACGAGCCTTCAAAATCTTCAACCTTTTTGACGATTCTGCAGTTCACGGGGATGTAGGTCTTCCTTGAGTTGATATAACCAACGATTGGTCTGATCAGTGCATTATTCACATAGGACAGTTCATTGGTGAAGATTGGCACTGCAGCCTTGACGTTATTAAGCTTGATTTGTAAATCCATAACGAAATACTTCGAAGGCTCATATTCGTGGTTTGCTGGCGTCTTTTCTTCCTCGTCAAGCTCATTCTTGAGCGTGTTCGCTTCTGACCTGTTCTTCTTTGGCGATAGTATTCTTGCCCGTCTCGCCTCCTTGGCTAGAGAATCTCCAATGGATTGTAATATCTCTGTAACGTTTATCGTCTCATCTTCTGGCACCATGATGTCACCAATCATATCAACCTCACCGCTTGTTATCCAGCCAAACGGCCCTTCCATCCCGGCGTTTAAATGATCAACCTTCAAGGAGTCGACACGGCACCTGGTGACACGTTTCCACGGAGAGTTCTTCAGGTTAGGATCGTCTCCAAAATCGTTTGCTCTTTGTCTCTTATGAATTGTGAACAACGAGTCGTCGTACGAGCCAGATACGTTCGTAGCGTTCAAGAAATCGTAGAAAAGCCAGTGCTTCCTCAGTATAGGCAATTCACAGTTAAATATACTAACGTTGAAAGGTCTGAACCCGTCTGGCTGTGCTAATGTGAACAGCACATCGGTCATCTTGAAGTTTTCAAATTCGAAATCACCGGGTCTCTTCACGTTTTTGTAGTTTCTTGCATCGTCATCTGGATCCCAATGAACATGGGTACGGTCCACGATACCTCTTACTCCATGAATATCCAGTTCATGGACTATACCTCGACCGTTAAGGAATTTGCTTAGTGACAACGACACATTCACTTGGTCGATGGTGAGGTCAAACTGTGTGTAGTTCCCATCGTCATAGAATTCATCATTTTCATCAGTTCTCGATGCCCTTTCAATGGCTATGGCCTGGGAGCCCTTGGCAACACCAGGGTCCTTATTCTTGGGTCTTTTGGAGACAAAGCACTTGTTGAACGAGATCTTCCCGTCACGCCAGTCAGGCACGATGGCGCTTTCAAAGATCACCGTCATCCCTGAGTTCCTCGTTATCAAGTTGCCCAATTTACTGGCAACAAGCTCCTGTGCCAACACAGTGTTCATCAGTAGTATCACCAGCGAGGCAAACGCCGTCGTACCAAACACAATCAGCAGCACGTTGCCCATCATTATCCAGGAGAAGAACGCAGAGAAGTCATCCACGTTGAACGGCCTCATGGACCTCTTCAGTACCCACTTGGTCCTGATCCGCAGCCTTTGCCATAGAGAATCCGTCCGTGACAGCCACTCCTCCTTGGTCCTTGGCCTATCCTTCAGCGGCTCGTGGTGGAGAAACCTCCTTTGCCGCTGTTGATGTTGATGTTGCTGCGATGAGCTCAGTAGCAACGCTGACCTGTGCTGAAGCCCAGGCGGCTGCGCACAGAGTGAGCTCAGCGCCCTCAGGGGCATCGACACTCGCCCAGGGAGGCATCGATTCACTGGACAACACAGCCGGAGCATCGCTATCTCTTTCTCCCTTCCCTTGGTCCTTCCAGCACGAGATGGAGTGATGAGGTGAAGTTTTTCACACCGCTCTCGGGCTTTAACCCGTGTAGCAGGAGCACACATGGGGGAGCAAGTGTAGGCAGCCAGCCAGGCCGTCAGTACAAAGGAGCTACACACGTAGGCCGGTTCTAATGTAACACAATTGTGTATATACACTACGCTATACAATCTACTCCCATCCCTTCGATATCATCACGCGCTCGATGCTATCCCAGAAATGGTTCAAGACCACAGCGTCCTTGAACCTCTTGTGCTTGTCCAGGCCAACCTTCTCCACGTTCCAGTCATTGCAGGTCTGTGGGATTGGATCCTTGTCGAAGTGGAAGTAGTAGCCTTTTACTCTTTGGAAGAGCTCTGTTGGGTCCGACCACTTGTAGTTCTTGAACTGCCACTTCTGTCCAGTGGTGAACACGGCCATGGTTCTGTCCCAGTGCTCCTCTTTGCTGAACTTGTCCGTGTTATCAACGCACATGAAGGTGACTCTGCCGATCTTAGGGAACGTGTGTGTGACCATGGCTATGTCTGAGCTTGAGAGCAGCTGTTGCTGCTCTGGGTCAGTGGTTTGTGGGTTGATGTAGAGGCCCTTCTCCAAGAATGACTTGATATTGCTCATGGTCAACACGGCAGACGCAGAGGGCGAGATGAGGAAGATTGGGTTCTGTGGACGCTTATGACGCTTAGCATGGGGTCCAGTGGAGGACGCCAGCGACGTGGCTTGCTTGCGCTTGTCCTTTGGTGGCTGTAGATAGTTCCTCTTGCACGACTCGGCCACGTTCGTGAAATCAACCACTTTGGTGCCTCTCAACGAGGTATTGTGATCCAGCAGCTGGCGCTCGTGCGATAGGACTGCAGTGAGCAGAGAGCTGTCTTCGACAGCTGCGTGCTCCTTGGAGCTCGTGACCTCCTCTTCGCCACGCTCGCTGAATTCGAATTCTGGTTTATCGCCTTGCAACCACGAGCAAAGATCAGATCTCTGTAGGAATCCCAGGGCGTTCACGCCACACTGCTCAGCTTTCTCCAGGAAGTCGGTACGCGAGAGCTGTCTGTTGGTCCATGCGAAGAAGCACTCCCGAAGTGAGATGCCCTTACCTTGGACAAAGTAGGTCGTCACCGTGTCCAATGGTGTTATGGCTCCTCCGAGCGATAGTCCAGTGGCCTTTGTGAAGTCAGCGGTATCGCCATCCCCGTCAACGAGGTGCGCACTGTCCAAGTGGGATTTCAGTAGGCTCAATGCATCAGTCATTGCTGGGTACTTTGGCTTCTGTTCTTCGGCCAATTGTCGTTGTCGTTGTTGATGTTGATGTTGTTGTTGTCGTTGTTGTTGTTTGTTGATGATGTTGATGAAATTTTCTGCCCATTTCGCACTTTGGCCCAGTGGGAACTTCCACCTAGAGCCAGACGGACAGGCACACGGGCAAGCAGACAGACAAAGACGATGAACCGACTCTCATCAGCAGTGACGAACTTGTCCATTGCCACAAGACAACAGCTGTACATGATTGATGCTGTTACTCCGGGGTGTCCCTTTTTCCTCCCACATGGCACTAGAATCTTCAACAAGCTGGTGTCCTTCATGAAGCTCAAGCAGCGCCAGTATGGGTTTGAGGAAGTCATCACCCCCTTGATCTATCGCAGACAGCTATGGGAAACGTCGGGCCACTGGGATAACTATAAGGACGACATGTTCCGGGTCGAAGGGAATGACCTTTCCAAAGAAGAGTACGGGCTGAAGCCCATGAACTGTCCAGGTCATTGTATGGTGTTTGCGAGATTCGACAGGTCCTACAACGAGTTGCCCATCAGGCTCAGTGATTTCAGCTCGTTGCACAGGAACGAATCGTCGGGCTCTTTGAGTGGGCTGACGAGGGTCAGAAGGTTCCACCAGGACGATGGCCATATCTTCTGTACCAAGTCTCAAGTGCACAGCGAGATCACCAACTCGCTGAAGATGATTGACGAGTGTTACAAAGTATTCCAGGTGCCTGAGTATAAGCTGTTGCTCTCCACGAGACCAGAGGAGTACATTGGTGAGCTGGAGGAGTGGAACGTTGCAGAGGATACTTTGAAGTCCGTGTTGGAGTCTACAGGACGGGAATGGACCATAAACGAAGGTGACGGGGCCTTCTACGGCCCGAAGATTGACGTTATACTGAAGGATAACCTGGGTAAGGACCATCAGGCTGCGACGATCCAGTTGGACTTCCAATTGCCTCATAGATTCCAGTTGAAGTACCAAAATGACATCAACGAACTTGACAGTCCAATCATGATCCACAGGGCAGTGTTTGGATCATTGGAGAGGTTCTTTGCCATCTTGATGGACCATTATAACGGTAAATGGCCATTCTGGTTAAGTCCAAGACAGGCCGTGATCATCCCAGTCAGTGACAAGCATCGTGAATTCGCCCAGAGTGTCTCCAACATGATAAACGACAACGATGACTTCGAGTCCAAGAAGTTCTACATAGATATCGATGAGAAGAACGAAACTGTTGGGCATAGAATCAAGGAATGTGTCCAAAGGGGTTATACCTATATCATCATGATTGGAGATAAGGAGCTGGAGAGTGGTCAAGTTGCAATCAGAAGACATGACGAAAGGAAGCCAACAATGATGACCCCTGAGCAAGTTAGAGGGATGTTCATTGAGTTGGACAAAACACACGCATAAACCTGTATATAACGTATCTGACTGTACATAGATCACGCCTCTGGAATATCGATCACACCTCTGGAATATCGATCTTGCTGACCTGTAGGAAAACCAAGTCACCTTGAGGTATCTTGCTCCATAGGTTTGAAGGCAGAGAATCGCCATGCTTTTGTAAAAACACATCTCTCTGTTTAGTGTCCTCTTGTTGTAATGCTTCCAAGGAAGCCTGTGCTTCATGTACAACAGTGAGCATCGCTTCCTGAGCCTGATGCCTTCTTGTCACTTCCTTGAGGAATTCTGCGTACGACTTTCGGAAATTCGCATAGTGTTCGCAGAGCTCTTTGCTCTCATCGCAAGCTCTACTCACAGCTTCTACCAACTTGTTGAACTGCACTGTGGTTATCTCCAAGGTCCCGATACTTCTCCTCAAGGATTTGGAGCCAACGTCGAACATAGTCTTTGCCTTCTCAACGAGCTCGTCGTAGATCTTTGTCGTTACCTGAATGGAGTCACATTTCAACTTCAACTCCTGGAAGCAGTCTTCAATCTCCACGATGATCTCTGGTAAGTCGTTGTTATCCTTTTCCAGCACTGCAAACAGCTCTTCCCTCTCTGCTGAGCTCATCTCCAGCTCGCCTCTCTCTACGTCGACTCCCTTCACGCACTGGTCATAGTGCGAGGTCAGTGACTCCAAGATAGTGGCAATCTCCATCTCGATCTCCTGGACTTCGTTGATCGTTGCTATCAGTTGATTAGAATCGTCAAAGTCGTAATCATTCAGCATAGACACATCGTTCAGAGTCTGCTTCAAAGTGTCGTGTTCACGGTACATCGCATCCAGCAGATCATGGCCAGTGTGTAATGACCGAGATTGCCTCTCTAGTGTGTCCAACATCTTATCGTCTATGAAATCAAACAGTGTACCGTCATGAAGACTCTTTGGCAACCGCACATCTCTCAGGCTGTTGTAGGCATGCTCCAACTGAGCCATTGAGCTGGCGAGAGTCCTCTCGAGCTCTCTCAGCAGCTTCTTCTTACCATCTGCCTGTAGCTTGACGCTGTCCACTATAGCGCCATACAGCTCGTTCTGTTCCTTCAACGCATCCAATAAGAAGCATCCCCTGGTATCGTAGTAATCCTTCCTCTGTAGCGACTTCCTCGTGTACTTCAGCAGCGCATTGGTCTTCTCGCCAATCGACTCAGCTTGTTGTAGGTGCTTCAGTGCGCTCTGGAGCCATTGATTCGTGGACATTTACAGGTGTTCACCAGTTCCCGCCCGGTTCGATGTTGTTGTTGTTGTTGATGTTGATTTTTGTGTCAAAAGCCCATGAAAATTTCACAGCGCCCGGTGAAAACATCAACATCAACATCAGCAACTCAGTGAAGGGAAACAGAGCGATAGGAGGCTAATGGACGAGCTCGATAGGTTTAGGACGAGTGTGTTTGACTTCCTCAAAGAGGATAGGCCGTTTGAGCTGGGAGAGGAGGTGAGAGCTGATGAAGCACAGGACGCTGGTGGAGATGCTGATGCTGAGATTGAACCCCAATACATACGCCCAAAGAACCAGTTCAAGGGCCAGAAGTACGGCGTTGGTCTTTCCATCATGAAAAAGATGGGTTACATAGAAGGCCAAGGGCTGGGACCAAATGGTCAAGGTATTAAGGAACCCATTGAGATACAGGTAAGGAAGCCTGGCACAGGTATTGGTGCTTCTCTCTTGGGCATCTCCAAGGATAAGAATGAAGAGTATGACGATGAGGAAGAGTCAAGCGACGAGGAGTACTACAAGGATGTGCCGAAGAAGTCGTTTTACCAGATAATCAAGGAACTGGAAGAAAATGACGTAGAGGTACCTCAGTCGTTAAAAGATCTGAGCGATAGCCACAGCTCCAAACAACCAATTGGCTCATCTAAAGAGGCCAATATGGATTTACTAAACCAGCTGAACAACATCAATACTCAGGTGTTGGATATCAAGGCCAACTTGAAGGTGCTGGAGTTTAAAGAATCTCAAGAGCAGGCACAATTGAGTGAATTATCTCAAGAACTTGATTCCATTAAAGCCCTTGAAGACGCCTTAAAGGTCGTGGACATATCTCGTGATAAGAGTCCGCTAGATACATTGTCCAACTACAGGACCGTGCTGCACGATGTATCTATTGATAATCCAGAAGTTCAGAGGCTTGTTGTTTTGGCAATTCAGCCACTCGTCATTAAACTGTTCCAAGATTGGGATCCATGGGACTTGACAGATTTTAAACTACTGGACGAACTAATCCAATGGAAGCCATTGATCTCACCTATCACCTCCATGGAAGGATTGGACTATTATCATTCCCTAATATCTTCAAATTGGTTACAGATTGTAAGACCAGCGTTTGAGAAATGGGATACAAATGTTCCAACTTTTGCCATATCTATAATAGTTGATTGGGAAGAAGTTCTACCAAGAGAGGTGATAACGAACATAATGGAGTACACTATACTTCCAAAATTGTTACAGTCAATCGAATCATGGACAGGATTAGAAGATGGGCCAAATATATGGATCTTTGAGTGGATTCCTTACCTAACCTCAACCTTCAAAGACCGAATCATTAACGCCTTCACAGCTCGATATGATTCGTTATTACAAGAATCAACTGATGGACTCGTTGGAATGGCATGCTATAAAGAGTTGTGTGGATCTGATACAACTTTTGAGAACACCATGGAGTTGAGGGTACTTCCAAAGCTCGTTACTCTAGGTATGAATTGGAATTTCCAATTCAACAGAGCCGAGATCAATTCATCAATTATCGGTAAGCTGAAGCAATGGAAACACTGGTTCCAAGAGGGTGTATACGTGAAGCTTATCCAGTTGTGTATCTGTAATAGCTGGTTAAGGTCGTTATTTCACAGTCTGAACCAAAAGGATGCCAATTACTCCACCATCTCTCATTGCATAAAACTTTGGTATGAATCGCTAAGTGAATTGGCTAATGTTCAACAACAGTTCATCAAAGGCTTCGACATGATTAACAAGTTTATTGAAACTGGACAGCTAAACCCAGTCCATAATCCTAGGGATAAATCCCAATACCTCCGAGAAATCTGTTCAAAAGAAGAGGACAAGAACTCAAGAGGAATACCAATTCATAGGTTACAGGTATCTTTCAAAGACTGTGTTGATGATTATTGTTCTGAGCACGGATTAATCATGACTCCGTTAACTGGTCAAGCTTCGAATATATCAGAGAAGAACATGTTCAAGATAACAACTGGAAAAGCCAAAGGATTAACCTGCTATATTGAACATGACGTTTTATTCGTGAAGACTCCTAGTCAGGATAGAGAGTACACTCCGATATCACTGAATCGAGTCGTTGATCTAATATAACATACACTGTATGTACCTATATATAGAGAGAGCTATGTACATTCTTTTGTGTGATTTATAAAACTTGATAAACTAATGAAGCATATCAATCTTGTGTTTATGTCTATTTGGTTTCGCTTTGGTTAGCAGTAGCTTCTGAAGCTTCGCTATCAACAAAGACTTCTTCAAAGATGACGCCTTCTTCTGGTGTAGAAACTTTCTCGAACACGATTCCCTTTTCTGGAACTGCAACTTCTTCGATGACGACAGATTCTACTGGTACAACTTCTTCGACAATGACACCCTCGGCTGGAGCATCAACTTGTTTGTCAGTTGGAGTAACAGCAGCAGCGGACTTATCCTCTGGCTTGTTGAAATCGTCTACTGGTTCGTCGTCGCCTCTAATCTCTTCGCTATAGACATCAGGGTATCTTCTGAAGCAGTTCTGCATGTTCTTGAACTTTTCGATACAGTCAAAGCCCTTTGGCTCAGCTTCTGAGAACACAAAGCATGAGAATGCCTCCTTGAACTCTTCACCACATGGACCATGAGCCATGCCTCCGAGACAAGGACAGTCCCAGTTGATCACACCGGTCTCTGGATCAAATGCAGCTTGTTGGCCACCTTCTTCCTGGCCTTGGTTACCTTCCTTCTTGTCGTCGTCAGCTTTGTCATCAGCTTTGTCATCAACCTTCTTGTCACCATCGGCAACACCACCATCTTTCTTCACAGGCTCCTCGGCCTTGGTAGCTTCACCAGCTTCCTGGGCTTTCTTCTCGGTCTTTGATGTTGTCTTCTTAGCGTCAAGAGCAACAGGCTGAGAAGACATGTAGCAATAAGACGCCAATCCTAAAGCCAGCATGGACGAAGGAGCAATCCATCTTGGGACAGAACTGGTCTTTGTCGATGAAGAGGAGGACAGCAATCTCTTAGACTTTGACAGCTGTCTGGATGTGTTCCTTGACGAACGAGCAGCGGTGTTGAGCAACGATCTGTACATCTGAGCAGTTTATAGCGTCTCCTTTAACCAGTGATTCCTTTGTTTATCTGGTGAAGTTCCTCGAGAAGGCCTCCGATGACAAATTTTGCCTCCGGGAAAAGTCCACCAAAGCACGGCCGATGGTTATGAAGCCCGCGCCACTGAGAATGGAAAGGAGAAGGAGGAAAAACACAGAGGGAAAGCAAATAAACAATCACACAGTAAAGGAAGGATAGCAATATAAGCACAGGGGTTGCACACGCCGGTAACGACAGCACGGAATGAGGATATACTACATCGGTGTACTCAAGAACACGAAGGGAGAGAAGGCACTTGAGCTCTCCTCCGCCAAGGACCTGTCTGATTTTGGGTTCTTTGAGAGGAGCGGTGCTGATCAGTTCATGACGTTCTTCTCGACGACGATTGCGGAGAGAACTGAGCCTGGCAAGAGACAGAGCGTTGAGGAAGGTGAGAAGTACATAGCACATGCGTATGCAAGATCAGAAGGGCTCTGTGCGATCCTCATCACGGACAAGGAGTATCCTGTGAGACCAGCGTTCACGCTGTTGAACAAGGTTATAGATGACTACATCACAGAACACCCTCCAATCGAATGGAAGAATGCCACCGAGGCCAATAGCAAGTTCGGATTCGCACAGTTGGCCAACTACATCAAGAAGTACCAAGATCCATCGCAGGCGGACTCCATAATGAGGGTCCAACAGGAATTGGACGAGACCAAAGTTGTCCTGCACAAGACCATTGAGAGTGTGTTGGAAAGAGGTGAGAAGCTGGACTCCTTGGTTGACAAGAGCGAGTCCCTGTCTGCCAGCTCCAAGATGTTCTACAAACAGGCAAAGAAGACAAACTCCTGTTGTATCATTATGTAACTGCTGGCCACACATACGCTCCTCTGGTCTTCTAATATTGTTTTTTTTTTGCTGTCCGGCTCACTCTATGTATTTGGTACTCGCTATATGTACACCTGCACTTTATGATTCTTCTCCGGCACCCCACCAGTGCTGCTCTAATTAGTAAGCGTCGTTTCATGTTATTTGCATTTGATCGAACGACCCTTCACCGTCGTAAACCGTCCAATGCAATAGCCTTGCACCGCTGTGTATAAATAGGCCAGGTGCACTGTGAGGGACGTTGTAGAATGTTCGGCCTCGGCATCTCCTGCACGTTTTGTCAGCGTTATTTGGTTGGGCCACTCCTAATGCCGTTCAGGCTATCCGATAGGACCTGTTCCTCATACAATTGAAGGTAGTAATGGTTAGAAACACCGTAGCGATGTACCCGATTTACAGATGTCCTCGCTGCATGTGACGTGTAAGGATCTGTTTCAGACGGAGCTGGTTGCTGTGGAGTGGTTTCTTCTACGGCTATGGTATGTAGTTTACGTTTGTCCGTTAACTTCTGATGCAAGCAAGATTGGATTATAAATCAGGAGTATTAGGCTGTACAAGTATATAAAAGGAGATGGTTTCCTCACTATTGTGGGAAGCTTTTCATTGTAACACGCATCGATGGAGATTACACCTTCATTACCAAGATGCCATTTAGAGAATCATTCACGCCAGTTGCGCTTAAGGACACAGATGTGTTTAAGCCGCTCAAAGTGGGCTCAAATACCTTGAGCCATAGAGTGGTGTTGGCGCCATTGACCCGTATGAGAAACGTCAACCACGTTCCAACAGAGCTGATGGTTGAGTACTACAGACAACGTTCTTCAAGAAGCGGCTCGTTGCTTATCACAGAAGGTACCTTCATCAGCCAACAAGCTGGCGGTTATGATAGCGCACCAGGTATTTACACAGATGAGCAAGTTGAGCACTGGAAGCCAATCTTCAACGCCATCCATGAGAACAAATCGTTCGGTTTCGTTCAACTCTGGGCATTGGGCAGACAATCCATTCCAGCAGTGTTGGCCCGTGATGGGCACAAGTTCGTCTCTGCTAGTGCAATCTACATGGATGATCAGTCTAAGGAGGACGCTGTAAAGGCTAACAACCCAATCCATGCTTTGACAAAAGAGGAGATCAACGAATACATTGAGAACTATGTCCATGCTGCAAAGAACGCTATCAAAGCCGGCGCAGATGGTGTTGAACTACACAGTGCTAATGGTTACCTCTTGAACCAATTCTTAGACCCAATTAGTAACCAAAGAGCAGACGAATACGGTGGTTCCATTGAGAACAGGGCAAGGTTTACACTCGCTGTTATTGACGCCTTGATCGAAGGTATCGGTGCTGAGAACGTTGGTGTGAGGTTCTCACCATTTGGTGTGTTTGGTACGATGTCTGGTGTTGCTGAACCATCCATTGTTGCCCAATACGCATACGTCTTTGGTGAGTTGGAAAGACGTGCATCCAGAGGTCACAGATTGGCATACATCCACTTGGTTGAGCCAAGGGTTTCTGATTTGAGATTGCCAGAAGGTGAAGGTGTGGCCGATGCTTCAAATGATTTCATCTACTCAACTTGGAAGGGCGTCGTCATTAGAGCTGGTGATTACGGTGTTCACCCAGAATTGGCTAAAGCAGACGCTGCAAAGGGACATTCCCAAACAGCAATTGCTTACGGCAGACTGTACATTTCAAACCCTGATCTTCCAGATCGTTTATACAATGGTGAGAAGTTGAACGACTATAACAGAGGTAGTTTCTACCTTCCAAATTCGACAGGGTATACCGACTATCCAACTTATCAAGAGGCTATTACAAATGGATTCCCATCAGATGAGAAGAAGACAGATGGTCCATCTTATAAGGATGCCTTGACTAAATGATTACACTCCGATGATACGATTTCATAAATTTCATATACGATAAAGCTTATAAACCATTACTTTCCTTCCTGTAGTTGGCCCGAAATGTTAGAGAACCTTACAGATCAGTGTAAGATTGAGCTGACTTTCTAATGCCAATACCTGCAAAGGAATGCATAAGTGTGAACTTGATACTGATGCCTGTAGGACTCTACTGCTGCATTAGCTGCGGTAGATATTCACTGTTCAATGATCGGCGTTCATTAAGTGTTCTTGGTTCTCATCCCCCTTGAGTGTGTGGTTTGGCGGATGTCTCAATTGGAAAGAACTCAATATTGGGAAGCAAGTAGTGACTGATAAACTGTTACGATCTTAAACTAGACAGGAAGTACACTGGTTTATTGGAGCCACGGATTTCTCACCAATATACTGGATCTAATCAGAGGTAATCAGGCCGTACTAAGTTCAAGAATACGAGATAATGAGATATTGCAGAAAGAGATGCCTGCTGAACCAATCCTCTACCAGTAGTGATGAGCGTTTCAAAGTCGGATGCTTGCATTAGCGTGAAGGGGAGCAAGGAAGCACGTGACACTTAATATCATGTTAAAGGAATGTTTATCGTGTACTGGTAGTACTTGCTTAAGAAACACAATCATAAACTCTTCAATGTAATGTGTCAACCAAAGCATTATCTTCACGTTGTTTCTGTTGAGTCACGTGACCATCTCACTAAGTTCCAAAAAACGACCTCGGTCAGGATTGAACTGACGATCTCACGATTAACAGTCGTGCGCCTTAACCAACTTGGCCACGAAGTCATTATTCTTACTCGTAAAAACTGCTAATTTAACACATTGCTCATGCGCTAGCAAACCCTACAATCGCCCTCATCTCTCGAAGCTGATCACTACGTTCTCCTTCACTTCAAACCGTTTCTGATACCAAGGAAAGCACACATCTGAGACCCACCCACAATCAATGTCACGGAATCCGTTGGTGTCTGAATCTGAATCGTCCAGCGCATGTGCCTCGCCGGCACTTCAATCTAGTGAGAACCTATCAACTGTCTCACAGATGCACGTTTCCTCTCCTAGGGATATCATAGGACCTAATGTGGACGGAGAGTTAAAGTCATCTGGTGAGCAAAAGACGGCTTCAACAAGGACGAATGAAGGATCGCATTCGAAAGTTCAAATTCAATCAGAAAGCGAGGATGAGGATGAGGATGAAGAAGAGGAGTCTGACCATTACATTCGAAATGAAATGCTCAAATCAAAGATCACTACAGCTGCATCTATAATGATTGACAGATTACCTCCTGTCACAAAGCAATTGGTAGATAAGATCACAGAGCCATCCAGCGAGAAGATAACCGTACGATGTCAACCCATTGGCTCAACCCCTTCGTTAACCCCAAACGTCTTCAAAATCTCATACCACCAACCAGTCGCTACGCTACACAAATTCATCTTGAAGAAGCTGAAGAAGTCGTTACCAAAGGGGACATCGCTCTATATATACGTGAACAATTCGTTTGCCCCTGCGCCAGATGAGATTGTGGGGTGTCTATTTGACCATTTTGCCAGTGGTGAAGAACTTGTTGTCAGTTATTGTACCGTAGTAGCATTTGGCTGAATGAATTGGTTACAACGCTGGTTTCATCACACCAGTTGATGACGGGGTTATCCTGAAGAGAAGAGAACAGCCACAGCCACAGTATGTATCGCGACATTACATGGTATTCATCAGATGGGCTTCATGAGTAGTGCTGGTGAACTTACTGCCAGGGTGTTTAGAGGTGATATGCTGGCATTACACGCTATATTCTCAGTCAACTATGCTTAGCTTGATTCAACTGGACTCTCAATTCCCATGCCTACGGAACCATTGTAGAAGCACTCACACACCACAGATTACACACATTGTAGGTGGTATATACTCCAGCATCCTGCGTGTATTTATCCGTGATAAAGAATAAACGTTTATCCGACCATCATCTCCTACAGAGTCTCCAGCTATATCGTGTAGTCCCCATCACTGTTGTAAACTCACAAAGTATGGACTCATTAATCAATGGTTCGGTGTACTTCTTTCTAATCCCGTTTATAGAGGCCCTGTGCAACTGAAAAGTTGCTCGTTGAAGCCACTTCCCTGCGGACCATCACGGGTATAAAAATACGACCTATTATCTCTCTCCTTGCTTTGTTCTTCCTCACAATCACTCAATCGCTAGCAGCGTTAATACAATTGGCTTGAACAATGGCTACATTTGCAGAGAAGAGCTTTGACTCTAACAACTATAATCAAAACAGGCCCAAGTACCCGCGTTCCTTGTACGAGGCACTGTTCGAGTACCATGACGGTGGTAAGCACACAGCTATCGATATCGGTTGCGGCCCTGGCACTGCTTCATTCCAGCTCCTGCAGTACGTTGATAACGTCATTGCCACTGACCCTTCAAACACCATGGTTACCACGGGTCTCAAGTCGATTACGCCTGATGTGAAGGACCGTATTCGATTTGAAGTGGCATACGCAGAGGACCTTCACCAAGTTGTCCCTCAAGACGGTAGTGTGGACCTGATTGTAAGTGCCGAGGCACTACACTGGGTAGACCACCCCAAATTCTTCAAGGAAGCCTCGAGGATATTGAGATCTGGTGGAACGTTGGCGTACTGGGCCTACATTAATCCACGGTTTGTCGACCATCCCAAGGCCACCGAAATCTTTGATAAATACGAGTTTGATGACCCACGTTACCTGAAGACATATTGGAGCCAGCCTGGAAAGGGCATCTGTACAAACTTCTACAACGACATTAAGGTCCCCACGGAGCTCTTCACAGACATTGAAAAGCACGACTACATCCCCGGTGAGACGAAGACCCACACGGCGTTCTTCCTTGGTGATGAGAAGTTCACGCTGAAGAAGCTGCGTGCAAATATCACAACCTGGAGCGCTACCCATAAATGGAGAGAGCAGCATGCCGGTGAAGACTGCGAGGACATAGTGGATCTACTCATCAACGAACTGAAAGACACTCTTGGTTGGGATGACGATACAGAGGTCACCATGGAGTATGGTACTACCTATGTCTTTGTGAGAAAACCGTGATTGCCATGTTTCTTTGTTGATAATTTACATAGTTTTCAGCCATATTTGCGCCAAATGTTGATGATGTAAACAAATCTCGAAAATGTAAACAAATGTGAACTCTTCTTGTACTTTCTCAACCAGCTTTGATCCGACAAAGAGCGCTCAGATGACCAGTAAGAGGTCCTCCATCGTACCAGAAACGGTACCCAGAGACTCATTATCCCATGTGGTGCTAACGCCATCGTTAGCGCCCTATAAGATCCTTCTTCTTGCCTTTATCGCTGCGTATTGTGCTGGTATACTACCGAAGAAAACACATCGACCCCTCCTTGCAACCATCGTCAAGTACATCGAAGGACCAGAGGCATACGGTGAGGAGCAGCAACGGCGTGGTATTCCGACTCTGCGAGGTATTCTCCATGATATCACACAGGCCTGTGTGGCGGCTGATGCTCAAGATGGAGAGCATAACGCAAAGGACATCGAGGCCAGGGCATTGCACGGGTTGTGGACTTTGAAGTCGCTTGACTCCTTGAACACTTTCATGACGCGTGCCAAATCACTCGTTGTGAAGAATATGGCAGCGGGTAATGCGTTGATTTCGAAAGTGAAGAGTAATGAAAGGCCAGCTTTTCTATTGACGTCGGCAAGCTTCTTAGGTAAGTTTGTCATACGGTGCACAACAGTGTACGAAAGCTTGGAGTACGACAAGGCGAATCTCCTCTGGTCTGGGTTTGTCAATTTCAGACGTGAAAGTATGCCAAAGGTCAACAAAGAGGAGTTTGCTGCTAGATATTTCCCTACAGATCCGAATGATGATCCATCAGTTCTCAAATCAATCTTACAAAAGATGAGAAATGGTGAAACCAATCTCACAAAAGATGTCATATTGGTCTCACAAGAGGACCTTTCTCAGCTCGTTCATCATCAACTACAGCAATTAGAAAGACATGGTACATCAACCCCACCAAAGTTGAAACAGATCTTCCAAAATATGGCCCAAGTGGAAGCTGGTAAGATTCCCCAGATCCATTATATCAGGTATCTAGAATGTGTTCGTAAACAGGACTACGAAGGTGCGTTTAACTGGCTCCATAGGTATTTTGATTACAGGATCAGTACTAGAGAGGGCTCGTTTTACCATTATGCCTTGTTATGCCTTGCGTCTCTCCACGCTCATTTTCATAACGATGGTGAAGCAATAAGGGCCATTGAGGAGGCCATAGCAGTCGCACGTGAAAAGAAAGATTTGGATTGCTTGTCATTTCTGTTAACCTGGCTGTTTAACTTTATGAAGGATAGGCCTTATCTGGAACATGACTTTTACGTGTCCAATGCTCAGTTGATCGAATTTCTCAAGAGTCATGCCGATGTTGGTACTAAATCATTACATTCAATGGCATATCAATCGGATGCTGCGTTGTTGATGATGGAAGGTGGCCCAGTAAGCATGACATTAGAGTCTTTGACCAAATCTTTGTACATAACGCTCAACGGATCTGATGATTCATCTACTTTTGGTACATACTGTGCACTCTATTCGTCCTTCTGGTTCCGACAAGGAAATTATCACTTAGCAGACGTGTACGATGAAGTTATATCAAAGCTGACTACCCATAAATCAGAGCAAGTGAAGGTTGGGATCCGTAAGGCACATCTTCTTTTCCACCATGGGGAAATGAACAAAGCATTTGAACAGTTGGTAAATCTGAAGAAGAATCTTCCGTCAGATGCTAACCTGATGAAGGACTTATTGACACATGAGGGTATTTTAACTGTGAGATTGTTGTTGAACACCAATGAACTGGACGAAGCTCAGATTTGTCTAAACAGACTACAATCCCAAACCCATATAGGAGTTGATATTGAAGGGACTCTATCAGAATTAGAATGTGATCTTGAAGTTAAATTGGGGAATCTTGTCCAAGCATATGAGATGGTGAACGAACGGTTAAGAACATTTGCAAAAAGAGGATCCACCACGTTTTGGTTTCTAAGATTCAACATCCTAAAGTGTCAAATACTTTCAATGTCCTCGTCACCCGCGCGCGCCTTAAGTGCGTCGATACAGTGCCTTAACTCTACGCTCTCATGTGGTTATTCAGTGTTGATATTACAGGCCACAGTCCAAGTTTGTTCTGTGTTGTTTAAACTTTCTCAATTCAAAGATTGTGAAGAATTGCTCTCGGCATCACTGCAAATGTTTGAAGGCAACCTCAACGTACAGTTAATGGGTGAACTTTACAAGCTACTTGGGTGCTCACTAATGGAGTTGCACTTCACCGATGATAATCTTGATAGGGAGAAAAACATTACAAAGGTTATCAAATGCTTCGAATTGGCTACCGACAGATTCAGATCTATGGGTATGCTAAAAGACTCTTGTGACTGTCTCGAGCTCCAATTAAACTTTGGTCGTCGTATCGGTAACCATGATATTGTTAACCATGTTGAACAGGCACTTCACAAAGTCAAAATGATGGACAAAGGCGCTGATCACCTTCATATGTTTGGCGCACAACATAGCTAATTTTACCTATACGGAATTTCTACATTTCTGATCAAGTATTATATTCGTGAAAAGCCATTTAAACCAAATAAGTAAAACCACTCTGAACGGTACAAGATCTTCAAACACAACAGATTGTACATTGATATTATACGTTTAAATGAAGGTCTCGTATGGAACTGGAGCCAAAGTTTGTGGGATGTTACCCTCGGTGGAGATAACTCTAGCCTCTCTTGGCTTAGCTGGTTGTCTCTTCAATTGGACAGCCTCACCCTTAGCCTTGGCCTCAACTCTCTTAGCAGCGTTAGATTTAACACGGTCCAAGAACTCTTGACGACACTTGGAGTGCTTAACGTGCTCAACTCTCAAGTTAACACGCTTCTCGATGTAACGGTTACCAACAATCTTGTTGATGATAACACCAACAGAAGACTTGGTGATGTTGTAAACAATACCAGTCTTACCGTGGTAGTACTTGTGTGGCATACCCTTTTGGATAGAACCGTTGGCCTTGATGTCCACAATGTCACCAACCTTGTAGGTCTTCAAGTAGGTGGAGAGAGGAATAGTACCTCTCTTCTTGAAGTCTCTTTGGAAGGCGTATCTAGTACCGGATCTGTAACCACGACTGTATTAGGTGTGTTAGTAAGTCTGTGAATAGTTGATGGGAAGAGAAAGTAGAGATCGTAAGGCCCCTGTATCTATGACTGTTGCTTTATTTCCAAGGTGTAACTGAGAGGAACGTGTATGTGGGATATTTTCGTTATTGGTGCAACTCTTCGCATCTCCAATCATTGTTACTTGATGATTATCCACTCCCTATAGAACTTTTCACCATGGTTTGATTATCACATTGTATCACCCTCTCTGGTACCTCCATTGAAACGCATTTTATAACTTCAAACATGACAACTCATACATGGTCTCTCTCGTCTCATTCTTCTTGCTCATATCTCATGATCTAAACATACGATTTACCCATCTTTGATGTACTTTAGTGTTGGTGTTACTTCAGCTCTTAAGTGATGTTTGGCTTCAACCAAATTAAATTTCAACTTTTTCGCACTTTGCAGCGAAGGGAAAACGCTTGGTGTTTGGCTGTGACTGTGGTTCTAGCACAGTGTCGCGGAACTTTCCATACAACTTGCGGTGTAAATGTGTCACCAACCAGGACAATGAGTATAGTGGTGTTTGGGTTTTCTCTAAATATATTGTGTGGAATTTTTCAGCGCCCTAAAGCCCTGGTAGTGCTCACGTGATATAAGGAAAAGGGCTTCATCCTACTTGGATAATCTTAGAGTGCTCTCATTACACATTGTTTATTTCTTTGGTGAATTGTTGACGTTTCTTCTTTAATTAGTTGTCTTCGTAATTATAGGTTCGTGTAGTTGCATAAGGGAATAACAGAAGGTCTCCCATGAGCACATTGGAAGGGCTGTTTACACTGTGCTAACTTCTGTACTAGCAATTGGCATTCAAATTTGGACAGTGTTTGTCCAAACATTATTGCACTCCGACATGCTTTACTGTTAAGCAACAATGTTAATATTGTTGGCATGGCCTGCATGTTCAAAAACCAATCCTGGTGTCTGTTCAGTGATGTGAGCTTGACTTTATCCTGCAAATCGTGTGCGTATTGCATGATGGAACGAACTACGAACGAGTTATCATCATCAACTTTACAATGCATCAACTCGGGCAAATGTGTAAAAGTCACATTCCCAGATTCGTTGTTTGATCTAGCTGTTGTAAATTTTATTCCCCAATTCTCTAACTCTTTGGAATATGTGTTGAGAAGTTCTAACGCCCCTAGTGGTGCATCAGCACTGACGTTAGTTTTCAAAGGTACTGCTAAGGACTGCGTTGATTGGGATGCCATCTCAATAAGCTGCTTGTAGAGCTCCTCTACTCTTATTCGTTCATCGCACGCATGCTGGTCAACGATGTATAGTTTCGGTTCAACTTTTGATTTAATTAAGATGAACTTATCATCAACTTGAGCTATAACCGAGCAGTTCGTTAGTAAATCCCTCGGTGTCTGCTCTTCCTGTTTGATGGTCACAGCATCATCAGTATTGATATCAAGGTCGTCATTATGTGTTATCAGCTTACGTCTCTTGATCATATCTTCAAGTCTTTGAGGAAGTTCATTAGAATCATGACAGTCATATGAGCTCGCATATCCAACAGTACTCGCGAGCTCTTTTCCTTTTGAAGATTGAGCCTTTCTGTTGCTAACTGTAGCGTCTTCAATCACGGTACTCTCAATTTCTGATCTGTGTGTTGTGTGATCTTCATTCATCTGCCCCCTATGTAAAGTCATATCTCTGAAATCACAAAATATCTTATGAATACCACTGATTGCACATTTGAGTTCCTCATCAAGCAACATTGGTTGACCATTTTCAAAGTTTCTGATAGCATTGTCACTCCAAACGTCAACAATTGAAAGAGGGTGTTTACTATAAGTAGACCCAACTATGCTAGCTCCTTTTTTACCTTTTCTTGGTGACACATTATTCGTGGTCAAAGCATGTTCAATGTGCCCCTCCGTATACTCAAACTTGCCACAGGATAGCTCTTTCCGTACTTGTTCACTTAATTGAGAAGTGACTCTCCGGCCATTTATAAAAACGAACTGAAAAGACTTTGTTTGTAGAGGTAGTGTACTTATCAGCACAGACTCCTTTGAAGAAGTAGAAGTATGCGTCGCATATTCAAACCTGCCAGCAAGTTCCATACCGTACACTTGATTCAAAGTATCACACCAATACTTCGCAAGATCGCTTCGACACCTTGGAGTCACTTGACATATGGAGCTCATTTGGCCCGATTCGCTCTCCCTCGCAACGGTTATCGCTAATTTGGGGTTCCCCATAGCATACTCAAACACGAGATCCCTGATCTTCTGCAGTGTCTTTGACTCCTGTAGCTGCTGGAGGTGCTTGAATCTCACAGGTGTATTGTGGAACATCTGCTCCACCCGAACCTCTGTTCCCGATTCTCCTTCAATCCTTCCCTCGTCAACTTTCACACACTTAATGACCCTCTCTCCGTTATGGATCCTTGTCATGTAACTACCGTTGAACCCACAACTTCTTGTCTTTATCGTCATAACGCTGATGCTACCAATAGAACATAGTCCTTCTCCCCTGAACCCTCGGCTAGCAACCTTGGACACGCAGTCCACACTCTGTACCTTTGTAGTCATGTGCCGCTCACCAACACGACCAACATCATCCGGATGAATGCCACATCCATTATCTCTGACGACCAGGCCCAGTCGTCCAATATTGACCACCACCATCATTTCCGTCGCCCCACTGTCCACACTGTTCGCCATCACCGCATCCAACGCTCCAGGCAAGTCCAGAATCACCGCCAGAGACCTCACACGCGAGGCAACCTCGCCGCTCAGCAGCCGAAGCCTGCCGCCGTGTGGAGAACTTGCCTTTGTTGTCATTTGTTGTTGTTTGTTTTCCTGTTGATGAGAATTTGTATCAAAATCAAAACAAAAAAGTACTGCGAAATACCACGCCCAACTTCCACACTTTCCACTCGTTTACAACTACGGTTCCAGCTCAGAGAGAAACGATGTCGCTACCAGGACTTTCAAGCAGTGCTGTTAATGTGAGTACTCGTCTCATTTTGGCGATGAATTGATTCAGTTTTGGCCTACTAACACCTTACTCCAAAGACATCACAGGCGAATGAGACTGTTGACATTGGCGCTAGAGCAGAATGGCGTATTGAAGTTGACCTGAAGGACACCGTCACCGTGAAAGTGACCAAGGGTATTGTTGAGGTTTTCGGCACTGAGCTTGCCATCGACGTTGAGTACAAGTTCACGGGCCAGAAGATCGCCTTCTACTCTCATGAAGGTGGCCAGTTGGAGTACTCTGGGCCATTGGTTTCAGAGTATGTCTCTGAAGAGACACAGATGTCGGCTTACTTGAACTTCCATTTTGCACTGTGTAAGATGAGAGAACAGGACGTCCGTGGACCGAGGGTTTTAATCTTGGGCCCAAAGGACTGTGGAAAGACGTCGTTGGCAAAGATCCTTGCATCCTACGCGTCTCGTATGGACTATGAACCCATGATTGTGAACCTGAATCCATCTGATCCGGTATTTTCCATTCCAGGTACTCTTACTGGTACGCCAGTGAGTGATATCCTCGACGTGGAGGACGGCTGGGGTCAAACATATACAACAGGTGTGGCACCGTTGCACCCTAAACAACCTACTGTGAGGTACTACGGTTCACCAGATATCCACGAGAATTTGAAATTTTACAAACATAACGTCTCAAGATTGGGTGTCACTGTATGCAGCAGGGTTTCAGAGGATTCCACTATGAAGAAGAGTGGTGTCATTGTTGATACCCCACCTTTAACGATAAAAGATGTCGAGATCATTGAAGATGTCATCTCAGATTTTGAAATCAATGTGATGGTTGTCATTGGGAATGAAAGGCTATTCATCGATCTCAAAAAGAAGTTCCAGGCGAAGTTAAACGTGGTCAAATTACCCAAATCTGGCGGATGCGTCGAGAGGGACGATTCATTCACAAGACAAGTGCAACAGAGATCCATTAGGGAGTATTTCTATGGAACGCCAAAGACGGTATTATCGCCGTACACAGTGTATGTCGACTTTGATGTTGTGAAGGTCTACAAACCCTTTGTTGATGCCGGTGGGTTGATTTCCTCTGTATTACCCATTGGTGAAGATGGGTTGGATAACGAAGAGAAGAAGCCTGATCCACTGCTGCAATCTCTTGAACCTTCATCTTCAAGTCTACAGCATTGTGTTCTTGCTATACTACAAGCTGATAAGAAGAGTGACGAGGACATTATTCTGAGAAGTAGTGTACTTGGTTTTGGAGTGGTTACTGATGTTGATGATACAAAATCTAAATTGCGCATATTGATCCCAGTTCCAGGAAGGCTGCCAGACAGAGCCATGTTGCTCGGATCATTCCGCTATACTGAATAAGAAGTCATGGTTGTTGATAAAATACATAACGAAGTAACCGATAATACGTATAGTGTGTGGTTTATGCTCTTTTTGTCTACCTCCACAGGAGAGCTTAGTCTCCCTTAACGATGAGCTCCTCCGGTGCTCTCTGTGCGTACTCAGTCCAACTTCCGTCGTAGACCTGAACACCACCTTTGTTGTAGCCAGCAGAGTCCAATGCTGCTTTCAAGATGCAAGCTGTGACACCAGTGCCACACATCACAATGACGGGTTTATCCTCAGGAATCTCCAACTCCTTAAAGATCGAAACAAGCTGATCCTTAGGCAAGAAGAGGTTATCACTGTCCAACACTCTAGAAAATGGTAAAGACTTCGCACCCGGAGCGTGGCCACTAGGTAAGCCTGGCCGTGGTTCAGGATCCTCTCCTGTGAATCTCCCCCTAGATCTCGCATCCAATATTGTATACCCGCTTCTCTTGGATTCATCAGAGACGATATCAAGAACTTGCTCGAAGGACAAGACACCGTCGGAATCAAACTGTGTTGATTCATAAGTGGTTGGCTCAACGGAGCCCACGTGAGACGTCTCCAGTGGGTACGAATACTTTTGGTACAGAGGGAAGTTGTTCAGGAGGTAGACGTTATCATGTCCAAACATCTGGAGCGTCCAGGCAACCCTCGGTGCACTAAAGTTGCCCACTCTGTCGTACACCACCAATCTATCACTCTTTTCAATACCGAGCTCGCCCATGGACTTGTTGAACTGCTCGACAGGTGGCAACATATGTGGGAACGAGCTCTCGTTGTCCTTCACGCCGTCAAGGTCAAAGAAGCGAGCGTTGGGAAGCCTCTCCTTCTTGAACTCAGACACAGGGTCTCTTGGGTTGTTAGGCATGTACCATGACCCATCAATTGGCACAACACGGGCGCCCAGACGGGAGCTCGAAAGCATTCCTCTAAACGCAAGAGGCGTGATGAGCTGGATGGTTCTCTTGTTAGACATTTTTGTCCTTGTTGGCCTATGGAATGGTACTGTTCATACACTTTGGTCGTCAGTCTTGAGAGGCCTCCTAAGGAGGGGCCCGCGCGCAATTCTCGATAGCGCAGCGTGTACTGGGGGCTGGGCTGGGCTGGGTGTGCGGGCCCGGACAGCCCACACCGAGGGGCTCACCCCAACACCCCCTCCCCCGCGAAAGGAACTCACCATGTGCCCTCCCTCACCGTCCAGCCCTCGCCCTCCAGGCCTTCTAAAGTTGATCTTATCGAGTTTGTCAGCAGTGCTCCTTCGCCCAGCTGGTGTCAATTGACACTGTGGCACCTCTGACAAGACTAAACCCCCAAGCTTGCCCTGTAAAACGCCAGTGCTTAGTCATGGCCCTGTCCTAATATTCATTCCGTATACTGCAACCAATGGCGGGCCACAAAAGTCATAGATTTGTGTTACTGTCCACGTAAACTGTTATATATTGCACTTGCTTGCTCCTAACACCCGTGGTGAGTGTTGATCTGTAGTCTTCTTCTATCAAGGCCGTATACGCTGATCAAAAGAGCTTTACGATTTGCTTCCAGGAACATTTGCTATCAAACGGGAAGGTCGTGTCGATGCAAGAAACGACAGCACAGGAGTCGGTCCAGTCAACAAAGGGCTATAGATTAGGAACGGTGTCCAGCATTTTGGGTAACGATAAGAATCTGAATAGCTTGGTGCCGAGTGATAGAATGTCCAGGGGGAGTGGCCGGTCTGGGATGAAGAAGTTTGCGAAATCAATGTGGTTTGACTGGAATGCAAAGCGAACAAGCACCTCCTCCGTTTCCTCAAACAATACAGTCTCGCAAGTTGTTGATATGGAGCCTTTGTCGTTCTCGCAGAGGTACAGACTTCACCACCATCGTCATTTCACTCAGCACCAAGATATCCAGCCTCTGTTTAACAACTCTGAAGCCATGGAGTTCAACCCGTGGGAATTGCATTTCAATGCGTTAGACCTGTCAGGGAGGAAGGCTCCCTTGAGTGAGCTGACGCTGTCAAATGGGTTGGTTCAATTGTCTTCAAAACAAGGTACAGACGTGTCGAAGATCCTGTTAGGATCTCCATCTAACAATTATAACGAAGATGGCACAGTAGTTGGTGCTGACAGTGTACCTCAAGTGGAGAACAAATATGTGGAGAACCCCGTACAGTTACGAGGGAGAAGGGTACTCCTCTTGAAGAACATTCCACCATTTGTTGGTATCAAATCAGTTATATCCCAAGTATGTGGAGGTCCCTTACAGAAGATAGTCGTTCAAAGTCAAGGGCAAGAGTATACCAAGCTTGAAGCATCACAAAGGTATTCACCGTATTCGAGACAGCACCTGTCCATTGAACTATGGTTTCTCAGACCTGACGATGCACTGGCCTTTTACCATTATACCAGGAGCGGGCTCTTCCTTATTAATGGGTTTCACCATTACCTCGACTGGTCGCCGCAGCATATTCCCCTGACTTCATCAACTGCAACAGGCGAAACGGTTTATCATGACCCAGTCCCAAGCGATATAGAAGAGCTCATGTCCAAACATGAGGCTACTAGATGTTTAGTTATTAAGAAGTACATCAGAAAGTCCAGAACACAAGCAAGGCATTATCCGTCGCCACTTGATCACTTCTCCGCCTTGGATATTGCATCCATAAAGAAGCACTTTGGTGAATTTGGCGATATCGTTGAAATTACACCTATGGTTTCAAAGAAGTTGTGCTTATCGATCCATTATTTCGATGTGGAGGCTGCAATCATGGCAAAGGAACTGTTCGAGACCTCGGGAGATGAACTCAACTGCCAATATAAGGACTGGAATATCTTCTATGGGAAGGATCCCACGGATAAACCAACAATAGAGGTGTAACAAATGGTGAATTGTTATTTGAGGCTGCGGATGAGTGATTGACGCACTAATATGCACTGTTTAAAGCAAGATCGGAGAGTTGGTGTGTGGATGTTTCGGTGTCCGGGTGTTTCGGTATATGTCCGGATGTTGCTTACCAGTACTATTACGAGTTATCATAAGAACCGTTCAATATATGACACATTTCTTCCTAAGCACTCCCAAATAACATAAGTTTTCACCACTACAAGTCATGAAACAGGTTGTATATCTAAAGATCCCTGTCAATCGTAATGGATTTGTGGATCCAGTAAACGTTCGTATTGACCCAATTGATAGCTGTGAAGTTCTCAATACTAACAAGTAATAACGTGTAGGTCAACTGGACAAGGGATAAGGAAGATCGCCTATGGAAAGTTTTATCGAAATCTAAGAGGACAGAGGTCAATTGGGACGCACTGTAAGTTTTGTTCGTTGTGGAACCATAGTGTCTTTGTCGTCATGCTAACAGTATAGCTCAGGAGTAAAGAGTTTGATGTTGGCGTTCGATTCCTTCAACAGCAGGCATATTGGCTATATGAACGAGAGTTAGAAGGATTAAGATTCAAACTACAACAGGAGACTGCACTGTCTTCAGATACAATCAAGCAGAATCAACGAGCCGAAAGTGGGATGAAGAAGGAGGATATATTCCATTCTGGGAAACTGTCCAATGCTAGCATTCCAAATAAGGATAGAGTTCAAGATGATTCCTATGAAGATGAGAAAACAGGTACGAGTTCTGGTGAAGACGAAGACGAGGACTCCATAAGTGAACTCCAACAAGGATCAGTACTGCTTCACAAGTCACGGATCCTCTCAAGGGCGCCGCCCCGTTTCCAAGACATCAATGATGATAGTGAAGACGAGGAATTGACACATATCCAAAAATCATCAGACAATAACCACCTGACTACAGAGAGTTCTACTTCAAACTTGTCATGTATGTATTTGACTATTTTGATCTTTACTCATCTATATGTTGTTATTCACAAGTTTTGGTTATGGCTCTCTTACTGACACAATTATCTAGCTGTTAGTATAACAAAATCCGCATTGGAAGAGGCACTGCTCGATAATGCTCACTTCTAAGCAGAGTCCATAGCTCTTTCTTCACAACACCTATCACATGCACATTGGAAGAACCAATTCTCGTTCAATGTCTTTTGGCGATACTCAAATGGCTCTTCCGATATCTGGAAATAGTCTATGCATAACTGTTCACCTTTCTCAACGTCCTTTATCGTTGTAAAAGTCATCATATTTCCATCTCTTGTCTTTTTCAGGTTTGGTCTACAGGAATGGTTGAAGTAAGATGCCTCAGGTGAAAGCATATAACCCAAGAACTCTTTCTCCTCTGACGAAGATTCATCAGTTATTTGACGTATTCCAAAGGCATTTCCATATTCACGTCCGAAAATCAGTCTCAGAGATCCAATAGTGAGTAAAGGTTGTAAATACTCTGGTAAGGATAATCTCAAGAATTTGTACACTAAGGTTTGTGATTTGAGCAGTACAGGGAACCTGGTGATCTTTTCCAATTCGTTTGATTGTAAATGTTCAAACAATTCGGAGGACTTATGGTGTGTATGAAGATTATAAAGCACAAGAGCAACGAATCTTGCACTAGCATATTCTTCTTCATTAAGCACTGGTAATTGATTCAGTCTCTTGGTCTTCTTCATCTTTGATATCTTGTCATCCCACTCTGATATTGAGACCCATTCTTTTCCAATGATCTCTTTGCTGATCTCGACGTTGTTGTCCTCTTTCTCATGGGACTCCTTCAGCTTCATCTGGAAGTTCTGCAGCATCGACTCATATGTCAGCGTTAGCTCGTTATTTGGATCGAATTGTGTCCAACGGTCGAGGCATCCTTGAGAACAGAACCATAACCCAGCACCCTGGAATTTCCTCGTCAATTTGACACCATTCTCCGGTGTGGGTACCTTAAATTTGCAATATTTACCATACTCATAGTGGAAGCAATAGGCACAGACTTCTTTTCTAAACTCATACAGTACTGTAGCCCCAAATGCGCTCTCTGTCTGAAGAACTGTAGTGTTCTCTGGGATGTCCTTAGATGCAAAACACGCTCTACCTCCCCACTGGGTCTGTCTAACATCAAAGAGGTCAGACACTACAATGGTGGTTGTTTCAGTGGTTGCCATGATCGTCAATGGAGCCACAGTACGAATCAGCTGGTACACTGGCACGGAAATGAAGAGGGTATTAATGACAAAAAGGTCGAATAAAGCACTGGTATGAATTGAAAAAGTTTCGGTCGAGATGAGCCAAAATGAATGGTTAAATGACCTAATTCGGTACATTTCCTAAAAGGGTTTGAAGTGATGTATCAGAACCGGTTTGTTGATTTCAGAGGAGTTAAAAGCAGATAACTGAGCTCTTTGATGGGGATTTGAATGTTTTGCAATATGACTATTACTATGTCATTGAGTTTCTGAGCCAATTGATTATTGTGATCTCTTCAATAGAGCATGATGTACCAAAACCTGTAGTCTTATACAGATATCCATTTACTCTCCTTTAATGCGGAACATATTCTGGCTGCTATAGAAACTATCCCACTATCTCCAGAGAATATAAACTGTGTTTGCCAACGGCTAACTTAACTGCTGATCTTGTCCTTAGGAAGCCAAGGCCTTCTTTCATCTTCAGCGATGACACCGACCGGGCGGATTTTAAAACTTCTCGGAAAAAATGTGTTGCAGCGTCGGATAAATCAGCTGTCAAACTTCGAAATGTTCCAACCACAGCAACCTCCCCGCCCATACATTCTCATCAAACAAAGCCCCGCCTAGTAGAATAAAGCTTCATAAAACAGCGAGAGCAAGAACAGAATGAGTGAATTGACCATTGAAAGCATCAAGAAAACTGAGTCCGAATTGCTCCTAGACAGCGTTGACAGTGACGCTATCTACAGCCTTGGAGCAAACGCTAGGAAATTTGCAAACAAGGAGTTCCCAGGCCGTGATATCGTTATAGATATCACAAGTGCTACTGGCAATACCCTTTTCAGATCTTACATTGGCTCAATCCTCCCAGACAATGAGCAATGGATTAAGAAGAAGAGAAATACTGTTTTCAGGTTTGGCATCTCTTCAAAGAGATTTGGATTGGAACTCGCAGCGAAAGGTAGAACACTTGCAGACAAATCGCTGAGTGATTTGGAGTATACAAACTATGGTGGTGGGTTCCCATTGAAGTTGAAATCTGCTCCAGATTTTGTCTTTGCTGTCTTAACAGTTAGTGGATTGAAAGAGCACGAAGATCACCAGCTCTGTGTTGATGCCTTGAACTATCACCTGACTGGTGGTGTTTGATGACGTTAAGGAATATCTTATTTTTGGCCTCTTATAGCCTTACCAATCAATGATTTTTGTCAGTTCTTTATTTTTATCTTCAGACTCTAGAAGCTGGCTTTCAACCTTGATCCTTTGGAAGTGATTAGGACAATCATGAGACTCACAATTGACGGAGATCTCACCGCTGCAGCTTCGACAAACAACCAACAGATCTTGCATCATCCTCTGTGATTTCTTCAACATCTGTACTGAATTCAGCAGTGTTCCTAGCTCATCCTCCTTACACTGAGCGCAGAGTCGGCTACTGGATGACCGACCGCAAGAGACACACCGTTTTGAGAAGAACTTGATGTTGCTCTGTGCTTTCTTGGGCATCTCGGTATACCATGATTTCACATCAACACCAATAAGGTTGAATATCCTCTCTAGTGGTGGTATCAACGTTTTCACAATGTAATACTCCGCGTCCAATTTCAAACCTTTCTTCAAAAACTCCTCAGGCGATCTAGCACGTTGCCGTAATATAGATCCAGGCTCCTCTATTATTACATATGGAACACGTTCTTTATACTCAGGCTTGGCTCTTTCATCTTCCTCCATCTTCTTCTCACTCACAATAGCTCCAGGTGGTGGGTTCTTGTATCGACCAACTTTCACTGCACGAGCAAAGCAGAAATCCTGGATACAAAGGTCGTTATTAATGATTTTCTTGAACTGATCAACCACGTACTCTTTAATCTTGGTGATGTCTTGTGTCTCAAATAGCGTTCTGAGACATTGTTCGACAATGTATTGCTGCGCTGGGTATCCATCTCTCCGGACCGTTTCAATTCCTTTGGCATCGAACTTTGGTGGGATTCCAAGAGTTTCGTAAGAGTATCCAACGTATCTCTTCTTCGCCATCAGCAAGCAAGGATGGTACACCTTTTCGAATTTTAAAGTAACTGGGTCTGGGTTTGACTTGGTAACTGCGCTGGCCATCTCATTCCCAATTCTGAACGCATCTTCCATACTTCTCCCGGGCAAGTATACAAATAAACTATCAGTATCGCCATAAACAACTTTAGCTCCCCATGATGGTTCGGTTTCAATCATCTCAACAGCCCTCTCAAGAGTTTCTCTGCCTGTCTGCACAATGGCATCAGCAATATCAGAGCAAGGCATACGTCCAGAGAATGATGCCGAAGTGTATCCATACGTCACATTTGCTGTGAGCTTCAACGCGAGCTGGCGATTGTCATACAGCTGCTTCATGTTGGCATCCAAATGCTTCATGGTAGCTTTCACCATAAACCTAGTGTCTAAGATATCCGTCAACATCTTTGCAATCAAAGACTTTCTCACTGATGCGTTGACGAACATCAGTCCGTTGGGACTAAGTGTGATGTCGTTCTCCAAAAGCTTTAGCAATCCAGGAGGATGCTTCACCTTCCCCGTACCAATAGGGTTGGTTCCCTTTGAATAGTTCTTGAGCCTTCCAAGTAGTGTGGAATAGCAGTAGTTATACGCTATAATGATAGACGGGTAAAGCGATTGGAAATCAAGGACCACCAGCGGGCTTTTGTAATACGCAGATATTGGCTCCATCACAAGCGGAATACACTCAAGAGGTTTCTGATTGCGAACTTGCTTCTTGCTGGGACTCAACATCATGAAATTCTCCGCTTTGGCTATACGGATCATCAACGATTCCACTTTATACTGTGACCCTCTATAGAACACATCAGTGAAATCAATACCAATCATACGAGCTTCTTCTGTCGCTTTGGAGATGATGTCTGCAGCTTTCATAAGCTTGAAATCGATCTCAACTCGCTGTTTGAAGAACTTTATGATATCGATGAAGTTTGACTGCCACATATCAGTTAACAGTCTGTGTGTATAGCTTGGGATTCTCTGGTGCAGTAAATGGAATGCGACATGTTCAACAGAATTTTTGGATAAGTTCAGTGACTTCAATGACCTCCATATATTGATAACGTGTCTTCCGCAAATCTGGATGCTGGATGTGTGGGTATAGCCCCAGTGGTAGCCCATTTTGCTTAATCCCTTCTTTGAACACCGTGATAAGTCACGGATGAACTCGTAGTCAAACTTGGACCGAGATCTATCGATGAGGTACCCCCAAGATGAGTTGTGCACTTCATATCCGGACAGAATGTCAGGGTCGTATTTCTTGACAAGTTGTGCAAATGATTCTATCATCTCAAACTCATCCGTGAATGAATCAACTCTTGTTTCTGGTATGGGTCGCTGGTCTGTAGTTAGAACACCTTCATGGATAACTTCCCCGTTACTCAATTTCCAAAATATGGCCACGACAGGGTCTTCTGTTGGATTTGGCTTCAAATCATCCCTTGTTCGTACAAATACCTCCACATAAAGCACAGATAACTCGTTAAACCCATTTGGAAGTCGTTCCATATCTTCTTGAGAACCAAATTTGAATCCTCTTTTGGCCCTAACTTGAGAATGGTCGTTATAAGATGTGACTTCCGTAAGATCTTTTGCGGCAGGTGGCATCTTTGTATATTTCCAAGATTGAATTCTTGATGGATCTTTTGATAAAACCGTACCGTGTTGTTCAATAACCAATGAACCATCACCAAGAGGAATTTGCTTCAAATGGCTCAATAATTTAGACTCCGGGTTGAACTTCTTCCCTGCCTTAATGAATGGCTTAGCTGGAAGATCGCTGTAAAAGGGGTCTTGATATTGAATCTCTGGCAACCCAATCTCTTTGAAGTCTAGGTCAGTTGGTGGTGGCTTTGAGTATATGTATCGATGGTTTCCGAACTTCACTGAGGGTAAGCTTTGTAGAGAATGCTTCAATGATTGAGATCTGAGTGATTCTGATAACCGTCTCTTCTTGAACCTTCTACTGAAAAACTGCGTCAGTTGTAAGTCACTAATCTCTCCAAATGTTATCTCTTCTTCCTCTTTACCATCTTCCATGGACAGCGAGGGCCCATGTTTTGGTCCTTCTTCTTCTTCTTCTGCTGGCTCATCCACTTCTAAATCTTTTTCAAACATGTCATGGAGTATATTTGTCTGGTCATCTTGTTGCTGGTAGTAAACATCGTCATACTCGTTATATTCAGCCTCATTGGTGACATCCTGCTGTTGTGACATTATGTCCAGTTCAGGCTCATAAAACAACTCACCAACGGCTTCAAATGACGTTGGCAACGATTTCAGAGATGGATTCTGTTTCACAAAGTTATTGAAATTGAGCTGCTCACTACCAGGATTCAAGCCCTTGATGTAATCAAATAGCAACTTGTTCTGGTCATCCTCAACCCATTTGACGTCTGGGGATCTCATTGTTGGCTTGGGTGTCAAATAAGCGGGTTCACCAACTATTTTCCTTTGAAATTCACCATCTTTCCACAGATCTTTAGTACTTTGGATGTATATGAACTCGGGATCGATCTGCGTGAACTTCTCCACGAAATCGTGATGCAAATGGCGTTCTTTCAAGTCCAACCTGTTCAAGATATACTGAGCACAAGTATCAATCTCGAGTGCTGACCTTCCGATTCTCGGTACTTCAACAGTATGGTACCCCATCATGTACTCCACGAGTTCATCAGTTTTCAGGCTCTCGTCTGCTAGTACAGGCAGTCTAATGAATAGCTCCTGAAGCTTTAGCCACCCACATCCAAATAGGTTGAAGTCGCTGAGAAACTGTAGCCCATAGGGGATATGTGCACCGAAAACCTCATACTTTTTACCCAGTGCACCATCTCTCAAGAGGTCTGCCACTCTGTTGAGATAAGACGGATTCAGCAAGTAGATCTTGAAGAAGGATGTATACCCAACATGATAGCCATAAAACCTTGTACCTTTGCATATGGAGACGTGTGCGATGTACTTTAGAGATACATCTGACCTATCCCTTGGCTCTTCATCCACATCACCACATTCACCCTCCACATGCTTCTTTCTCCTTAGAGACTCTGCTACAACGGCCTCCAACCTCATCTGTAACGATAAGCAGTCCTCCTCTTCATAGGGGATATAAAGGTATGGAAACACACCATGGATGTGCGCCAGTATCCTATGACCTGTGGGTAAGCTCCCATAGACCCTCACAACAGGCACATGGTGGTAAGCGTTCCCACCAGCGGCCTCGCTTTGCGATGATGGCGATGACGTCCTGTCAAAAACTGTTGGAGTTGACTGGTAGAAGTCGTAGTTGTTGATCTGGACCTTGAACCCCACCTCCTGAGTATCACCAGACGTGGCTAGCAGCTCCTTCCTTTTCTCCATAACATCACTGTTGTGCTTCAACGCCTATTCCAACTGTGGACTCTCACCGTTTGTTGTTGTTTGTTGCTTGTACGCTGTTGCTGGCGCGACGGATGTTTTCCCTCATCTCTTGCACTTTTGCATCATCACCAGCGAGTAGTAAAGGGAAGGCTCTGGACGCACAATGAAACGGTTTTACAGCGTCTCTCAAAGACGATTCACGTCCTCTGTGCTCAGTGCGATCTCACAAGGCTCCAAGTCCGAGTTTGAGAGCTCCATAAGCTCAAATGGTGTTCTTGAAAGGCTATGGCGTACAAGAGCAACCCTACCATCTTCGCAGGCTAAGACCGATGATATTGTGAATGCAAGTTCAACGCTGCCGATAGTCCTTCGTACTAAAGAAGCTGTGTTCCATGACGTTGCGAAGGAGAATGCGAGCCTCGAAGGAGTGGCTCTCAAGGTGAAACAGTTCACTACTTACTTCAAGTCTGTGATTTACTTCTATAGAGTTGGTATTCAGAACGTATGGCGTAATCGGAAGGAGTCAAAACTCATCAAGGAACGCTATAACGTTGAAGTTGTGACTACTGGTGGTAAAGTCATCAAGAGACAGATACGTAACGGGAAAGATATGGTCAATGCGCTCGTTTCCCTGGAAAACTTTGAAAGAGTGGAACAGGAAGCGTTGAAGGTTGTTGATCCGAGAATTGTACTGAACATTACAAGAAAGGAGTTTCAAACTGTCTTGAGAACTGAAAAGGACTTCTTCAAGATACCTTTGTTTGCATTGATCCTGGTTATCTTTGCAGAGATGACTCCATTGTTGTGCTTTCTGGTTCCTGAGATCACCCCGTCCACCTGTGTATTCCCAGGGCTGATTAAAAAGATGAATAAGCATGCTACTATGGCACAAGAAACATTGTCCAAGTTACGCAAAGAGCGTTACTACGATGAGTACTACTCCAAAGGTGAAACTATCTTCCAAAGTGTGGAAAAGTTGCCAGATGATGAGCTCAGGTTACTAGCGCAATCTCTCAGGTTGACTTCGAGATACGTTCCAATAGGACTATACCCAGCATCAATCTTACAGAATAGACTCATGGATAAGTACAACGAGATCAAAGTCGATAACTATTTCCTTGTATCATCAGAGGGACAGAATATGTGGAGTTTGAACAAGAATGAACTTACGAGAGCTTGTCTCGACCGTGGCTTGATCGATTTTACTAAGGATGATTTAACCCACATTGGTTCGCATGAGTTGAGATTGAGATTGTTCTTCTTCTTGGGAATGTTTGAGAATGAGAAGAGTATAGGCAACGTTGGTCTATTTGCGTTGAACTTCTTAAACTTGTCGGAGTCAGTTCACTTCAACACCATTAAGCAAAAGGATGCACATGAGTTAAACCATTGGTGGGTAGAGGAACATAAGGAAGAGATCAAACACAGCTCAGAGAAGTCAAAGTGAAATATGGTATCTATTATCGGCAACCATTCTATTTATAAAACGTTATTCTACAACGATTAGGTCCTTTATTCTAGAATAGTAAAAACAAACGTGTATCAAAATATGTAAGTGTAGTGTATGGAATAATAAAAGGGGATTATGTGATGCAACATTGCATAAGTATCGTTAAAACAGAGTTGTGTATAGCATAGAATGTACCAAAATGTATGTGTGTATGTATAATATATGTATCAAAAGAATTTTGCAGCCAGATGAAGGAGGCGTAGAATGACATCCAGAAGCGGAGTAAAAGATCCTCACTTATTTCGCCTTTTCCTTATAGCTCTCAAGATGGGCTTCTTCCTCTTTAACCTCGGTATGGATATGGCCAGGAGCATGTACCACCTTGCCCTTACTGTCTTGTGTACAAGGAACAATTTCACTGAACCATGAATCGTTGAATATATCTTCAAAAGTAGCACGAGCCTTTGGATCAACAGCTAACATACGCGATATGACAGGTCTTGCAGCGTGGGGCAAAAGACGCATCAATCTGTATGGACCATGTATTTGATGATGATGAGCCCTTTGAGTTGAATCTTGCTTTGTAGCCTTTGCTGGTGCATCATTCACACTTACTGAACTGACAGCACCAGCACAGTTAGTCTCGACTTGTTTCTTCTCAACCTTCTGTTCCACCTCAGGTTTAACCACTTCGGTGTGCTTTTCAGCTTGTTCCTCTTTTGGCTTTTCAGATTCAGCTTGTTCCTCTTTTGGCTTTTCAGATTCAGCTCGTCCCTCTTTTGGCTTTTCAGATTCAGCTTGTTCCTCTTTTGGCTTTTCAGATTCAGCTTCACCCTTGTGTTCATCAAGATGGGTCTTATCCAACGCATCTGTTATAGCATCCTCGTCTTTGCTGGCTTTGTCATGTGCCTCTTCGTTCTTCTTCTTTTCTTCCCTTTTTCTTCTCAGAAGCTCCTTATGTGCAGATGCGGCCTTTTCATAATCGTGTGGTTCATCATCTGGCAAGTTGTAAAGTTTGAAAGAAGGATCAGTATGCTTTGGAGCCTTCCATGGGAATCTCTTCAAAGTCATGCAACAGTATATGATACCAATTGACCATATATCCACAGGTTGAGCATCGTAACGTTGATGAGTGAGCACCTCTGGCGCCAGATAAGGATCAGATCCACAGATACCATGTGCTTTAACCAGTTCTTCTTCGAATGGATATCTGAACACAACAGCAGAACCGAAATCGATAACTTTTAAGATACCATCAGCCGTCATGACACAGTTATCCAGCTTGAGATCTCTATGAGCAATGCCCATGGAGTGCAGGTATTTCACACCTTCACAGATCTGTCTGAAGCAACAGTTAATTTCACCACGAAGCATCTTACCGCTCATCACGACGGCAAAGAAGTCAACAGGGCAGTACTCCATAACTTCGAAGTAATGGCCCTTTTCGTGTGTGATGTCCAACGTTTGGATGATGTTTGGATGGTGAAGCGTAGAACCAATACAGAACTCGGCTGTACACTTCTTAGCGTAGTCCTTCTCAGCTTCGTTTGGTCTTCTTGGTCTGAACTCCTTGACTGCGAATGTGACACCATCAGAAGGACGAACCAGCAAACGAACGGATCCACCGACACCAGATCCCAGGATCTTACCCATGTTACCGTACTTCTTCGCAAGGATACCGCCTTCGTCCAGCTGCTCATCATGAACCGCCAGGTTCAACACCGAAGCGGACGCATCGTTCAGATTACGCTTACTTGGTGTTGCCGAGGGAGAAGCCGGCCGTGAAGGCTTCTTCGAAGGTCTGAAGAATCTCTTCAACTCAAGCATCGAAGAAGACTGGTGTCCATTATTACCTCCATTGTTGTTCTGCTCCGTGGTATTTGAGCGTGTGGTGCTCTGTGAATCGTGTGCGCTGGTTGCCTGAGCAACTGACTGACGATGATCTTGCTCATGGCCCCCACTGGCGCTCTTCTTGGAATCGATGGACTCGTTCGTACTTGTCCTCGTCGAATCACGAGAGGTGTCCTTGAGGTGAATACCAAAGAACGATTTCTTCTTAACCCCAAAGTGCATAGTGTAAAGCTTAGCAACTGTCGAATGAAACGCTTGGATCGATGGAAAGTGGTAGTCGGAAATAGCCTGGCCTGACTGGGTTCCTAATGTTCCGCGGATATGCCTTCACAGGGTGTTCGTAAAAGCACTGGAAATTCGTGAAACCTGGTGATGGAGCTGAGACGTAATGAGTTCAGTTATCTCTTCTCACAACAACAATCACACGTGAGGATGTATGGATATGACCTCCTTTGCGAAAAGTAGATCCCTCTGCCGATGAGCTTAAGAAATGGATCCAAACTAAAGGGAAAAAAGGGAAAAAAGGAACCACGATGTTTCTTTATGTTTTGCAAGTGACTCTTTTTTTTGCTCCTTGCTTTTTGCTTTTTGGGTCTCAAATATGCATGAGACTATTCAACAATCTCCGTCACGGGATTGTCGACATGAGTTGCGTGTCTGATCTCTGGTTCTGTCTGCCTGCGGTGTGTCAAAAGGAAAGCTTCTACGGGGGAGGGCGCGTGAAATCACAAGCAGCACGATGCTCCATTCGGGCCTAAAAAAAGATAGCAAAATTACTGAGCAGGATGTATTATGTGCACGCTGTGGGTTTTAGAAAGCTGCTTGTCTCAGCCCTGTCAAAGTTTAAGCAAGGAAGCTAGGCAGGGAAAACCCTAAGGGAGGCGGGATGGGCAGAGAGAAGGAACAACGGTGTAATGCGTTGTCATTGGGACTTCAGGTCTGTAGCCTGCGGTCGGGACAGTGAGCCAGAACGTGAGAGTTGGAGGGTATAGCCAGAGTGTGTGAGCCGGGCACAGAGGATGGTGGCCATAGAGAGCGCTGAGACTACGAGGCAGAATGGAATTGGTGACTTGTGAGACGTGTGGTTTCCTCCATTCGGGAATGGAGATGCCGGCCGGTAGAGGGAAAATTACTCACGCACACCTCCACTTTGGCAGGGGACTTCCGGTTGAGCCCGAAGGACTTTTTCTCCTGGTGGAGTCTCCAAATTGCACATGTGGACTTTTTTCGAACCACACTAGGAAATTGTGTCAAATGCATTCCCTTGAAGGTGGAAATAGAGATCGGTTGGCTAAATAAGGTGCGATATGTGTACACAGCATTGAATTCAATCGATGGTGTTCGTGTCCCCTCAATCTCAACAGATCTCTTGGTGCTCTTAAATCCGTCGTAACGCGTAGTATCAACCCCGATTGTATACTTTAATTACCTGGTGACATTCTAATGGCTTCAATCTTACTGAAGGGCTCCAATACAGTGTGTATTCAATTCGCTTGGTTCAATGTCAATATTTACTGGGTTACCCAATGCTCGATTGTCCAAATATGTACACTTACTCGGTTAGTTGGGTATTTTCCTTAAGGCTTTTCCAGAAAGATAGATGGGTTCAATTTGTCCTGAAAAAATAAAAGACTAGTACAATCTTCTCAGCCACCATCATTATTATAAATATGATCAATATCATTTGTATACACCCAGCCTTTATGCAATATTCATCCAACTGCTAACACCGGGTATTTCCAGTCATATAAATTGGAATAACCCGCACAAGCACCCGACATCTTTCAGATACAGTTGCCTCGATGATAATTATATTGGGTCATAACATAATATAATCTATAATAATATAAAAATCATGTCAAAGACACCCAGACACCAACTTCGTTTGTTTTGATTTCGAGTTCCCTCATCCACTAAAACTGCGAATACTACCACAACAACCACTACAAACGCGGTGTTCAGTGCAACACACTTCATACTTGTAGTTATCACCGAGGTTGATGTCACACCTTACAGATAAGCAGAAGGCAGACCTTCACAACTCAATTTTGAACTATTTGCAGCCGTTGGTATCACAAGAGGCAGTATTGGACTCTCTACAGAGAGACTTGAACGTTACGAAAGTTGTGGACGATAATCAGTTGCTACAAAAGAAATGGACTGCAATTCTCAGGTTACAGAAGAAGATCACACAGTTACAAGGCCAAGTGGATCAGCTCTCGAAGATGAACGATCAGTCAGCTGAGAATGGTTTCCTATCCTCAACAACCGATTCAAACTTGACAAAGTTTAACTGGATACCTTCCAAGGTGAAGAAGTCATTGACACATACCTCTAACGTAACCTCGGTTAAGATCCATCCCAGACTGCCACAATTGGTCACTGCAACGTCACAGGGAACATTCAACTGCTGGGATTTGCTTGATTTGACTCAGCCTACGATTTCTATCCAGGCCCATACAAGAGGCATAAATGCGATTGCGATCTCTCCAGAGAAGTTGGAGTTTAACAACAATAACCACGTATTGGTTACCTGTGGTTCTGATCTATACGTTAAGGTCTGGGATATTCTCACAGGGAAGCTCATAAGAACTTTATCAGGTCACGAACACGTTGTATCTGACGTGGTTTTCAAGAATGAACATGTGATATTCACCTGTTCAAGAGATACCACGATAAAAATTTGGGATATCCAAACAGGTTGGTGTTTGAAATCCTTTGTTGGACATTCAGATTGGGTAAGGACGTTGGATATCATCGCAGGTGAGTACTTACTATCGGGTTCGAATGACCAAAGTGTAAGGCTTTCACACGGTGATTCCGGTACTGGACTTGGACTCATGATTGGCCATAACCAAGTTGTCGAATGCGTTAAATTTGTTCCCATGATTTCAAACAAATGGATTGATTCTTTGAACAAATTAGAGTACCAAGGTGATGATGCCATGTATAGACAGCTTGGATTCAAATATGCAGTTTCAGGTGGTAGAGATGATAGGATAAACATTTGGCTATTGCCTCAACCTATAATAAGACCACATAACAATCCAGCCCCTTCTTCAAATCCACATGGACAAGTGGTAAAGACCCTTATAGGGCACAAATCATGGGTAAGAGACATTGCATTCCATCCAAATGGTAAACTGTTGATAAGCTGCTCAGATGACAAAACGATAAGATTCTGGGATCTTGAAACTGGTGATTGCATTAGAACCTTGATGGGACACGAGGGCTTTATCAATACCATAGAGTGGGCCCCGTCGATATGCGAGACGTTAGAGGACAGGCTGACAGACGATGAAACGGTCATCAACGATAATATGAGATGCATCTTAGCTTCAGGAAGTACTGATCAAATGGTAAAGATTTGGGATTGAACGCTTTTACAGATAACTTTCTACCACGCTTGAGACGGAACAAAACAGAATCGAAAGTGGCATTTATCTAATTATATATTTGCATGTTTTCCCCTTTTTCGACTGAAAAGAGAAAACAAATTAAAACTCATCGTTCAAAATCACTGTCTTAAAACTGTATGGCTCGTAGAGCTTACCACCACCAACAAAGAACTTGGACATGGATTCAACCCAGTGAAGACGCAAGGAGTGTAACATGGCAGATGTACCTTCCATGACAACCAAGATAGCCACCGTCAAGACAAGCCACATGGCAAATAAAAACACGGTCGAGAAGACACCAACGAAACCGGTAGAGCCAAATGCACCTTCAATTGTCATAGACCACAAGACTGTGGATAGTTGGGCATGTGCCAATGAAAGGGCCCACAATCTGAGGTATGATGCAGTGTGGGAAACAGAGTTCAAACAAAACTCAATGGTATGGATAACTTGATGGATCATAATATCACCAAAGTTATGTCCTTCTTCTTCTTCATCGTCATCATCCACAGCTGCGGCTTCGTTGACAATGTCATCACCAGCAATTGCTTGGTATTCTGCAGCTTCACGATCAAATTTACGCTTGAAGTACATAGGTTTCAACAACAACAACCATGGCACACACACAAGTGCAATTAAAAGCAAGGCAACTTGCACCTTTTCTTGACCAGGGTACAAATACTCATCCACAGTTCCTGGCGACAAAAACATTGAAATCAACATATTAAGCAACCCAGGAGCTGGTTTACCAACGGCAGCCCAGTCAACAGACCACTTGTATACGATACAGATGGACAAGTAGCCAAAGATGGATTGCATAAAGAGTAAACCAGGAATGAAGTTACCAACAATGTCAATGACGGATTTGAAGTGGATGTGGTTCACCAGGGAGAAAATGTAAGAGTAACTCATATGGATAAAACCCATCAAGATGGAAAGCTTCATCTTATAAGAATTTGTGAACAACAAAGCGTTTTCAGTTCCATGCCAAGCTGGATCCAAACCGATGGCATAGACACCCACCTTCTTAGCATATATCGTCTCACCAATTTGGTGTTCTGGCCATTCCCAGCCTGATTTGAAAATGGTCATTGATTGAGAAAAGAGATCATTGTAGAGGAAACCTGTAAACATGGAGAAAATACCCATCAAAAGCAAGATGTATCTACCAGAGTATGCCATATCGAAAATTTCATCTCTCTGAATTCTGGCAATCTTCTTTTCGTGGATGACAAGCATCAACGACACGAGGGTAAGGATGAAACCATGACCCAAGTCACCAAACATGATGGCAAACATGAATGGAAATGTAACGATGGTTGGTAAACCAGGGTTAACTTCTTTGTATTCTGCGATACCATAAGCATCACAAATACCTTGGAATGCAGCAGTGAATTTGTTTGTTTTGTGATAAGTTGGTGGAGTTTTCGTCGTTTGCATCACATTGATGACTGATTGAAGACCCGTACTGTTGTTTTGGAGTATGTCTTGAACAGAGGCCAATTCTGATGTTGGAATCCAACCCTCCGCTATAAGTGTCTTTCTGTTTGAGTCATAGTCAAAAAAGTTCAAAATTTCATACACCGACTTTTCTTTCGCAATTGTCTGGGCCCAAACAGTCAACTCCTGTGCAATGGCGATGAGCTCAGTTTCCAAAGTTCTTGTTGTGCTATCCAACACAGTGACAAGGTCAGCCAATTGGATATTGACGTCCTTAAGTTGCTCTTCTCTCAAGTCCTCGTCTTGGTCAACGTCGTAGATGTCAGCATCCAAAGATTGAGCGATTTTCTTAATTCTGGAAATGATTTCAGATCCATGAGAAAACACAATGAAGATATCCTTATCTGTGGAGGACTTGGATTTTGGATCATAGATAGGTTCAGAAATTTCTGTTGTCTGCATGTACAAGTTACCTCTCAATGCTCTCCACAATATTTTCTCCAACACGCTTCTCTTTTCCCTTGGAATGACACCAGCGACATAACTGACATTCAAACGCTCTGAAAAACGAGAAGCCTCAGCATCTGGGGTCGTATCAACCAAATCAGGGTTTGAAGCTGCACTCTTAAAGAACTCATCTGCTCCTCTCAAAACGTATCTGAACTGTTGTAATTGCTTCTTCTTCAATTCCAACGACTCGTTGGAATCCACGAGTTGTGACAATCTCTGCTCCAAGATTTGTGCGCTCTCAACCTTATCGTCAATGTCACCTGGCTTTACAGGGGCAGCAAAGCGAGTGACGCTGTCATCGTCGTCAAAAGGCGGCGGATTCAACTCAATTCCACGGATCTCCAACTCCTGTTTAAAGTACCGGTACTGTCTCTGCACGTTGTCGAGACGTCTAATCTCCTTCACAAAGGATCTCTGGAAGGCATTCACCTTGGAGTTCAAATCTCTAAACTGTATAGAACCGGATTCACCGAGCGAGTACACAGTCTCACGACTGATCTCTGAAGGGATATATAGCTGAACAAGAGTCATATCCGCAGAGCCTATGTTTACATGTTAGTAAACACACATCCCATTGTGCTAAAAAAGGGTAAGGGGACAGCAGGCCACTGCTCCATGGCGGCAAACTTCAACCACAGGGCGCTTAGCCTAGAATTGACCCATTCATGTACATACGGAAAATGGCTTCTTCTTCACTCATTATTATAGCAAGTGCTCAAGCAATTTAACAGGGCGGTCCCTTAATCAAGTCCTTGCTGTGTTTGTTTTGGTTTGGTTTTGTGATTGAATTTGTCCTTTTTTTTCCTTTGCTTTTACCGCTCAGGGGAAGAAAACCGCGAGAACAAAAATGGCTGCCTACTAAAAAATCCCGGAAAAATCCCAAAACGCATTCGCGGAAAGGACGTGGCAGGCCATTGCAGGGTAACGGACATTTCCGAGAGCTGATGCCTTTGTTTTGTTTGGCACATAGCTTCGATATGGAGACACATTTCCTCATGTTGAGTATTTTGTTGAGGGTATTGGACAGATGAGTTACTTCGTACCTGTGAGAAGGATCCTCACTTCCGAGGATATGGAGAAATGGCAAAATGGTGAAACGTATGAGGCGATTGTTCAATTTGTCGAGGAGTTAGCCAATTCCGTTGTTGGTAAGACGAACGACGCCGAGTGTAACATTTCAGGTGTCATCCAAGGTGTATTGGATTTGCTTGATGATGTGCTCAATGTGATCAAGTCCCATCCTGTTGCTGATAAGACGAGCTCAAGGTTCGGGAAGCCCGAGTTTAGGGATGTGTATGATGAAATCACTGACAGATCACAGGACATATTGGCAAGACGTTTGCCACTAGAGCAGGCCACAGGTCAAATCGGTGCTATTGACGAATTATGTGTTTATTTTAACGAATCGTGGGGTAACAGAACAAGAATCGACTATGGGTCAGGTCATGAGTTGAACTTCTTGTGCTTTTTGCTCTGTTTGAAACGCTTGGGACTCTTGGAGAGCTCTGATTATACTGCAGTTGTTTTGAAGGTGTTCAACCAGTACATTCACGTCATGCGTGTATTACAAAAGGAGTATTGGTTAGAACCAGCTGGATCACACGGTGTTTGGGGATTGGACGACTATCATTTCCTTCCTTTCCTCTTTGGAGCAGCACAACTATCTACCCACAAACATCTCCGTCCAAAATCTATTCACGATCCTGATTTGGTTGAAATGTTCCATAAGAAGTACATGTACTTTGAATGTATCTACTTTATCAATTCTATCAAGACCGCTTCTTTGAGATGGCATTCACCGATGCTGGACGATATTAGTGGTGTTAAAACTTGGAGTAAAGTCTCTGAAGGAATGCAAAAGATGTACAAAGCTGAAGTGTTGTCGAAACTTCCCATAATTCAACATTTTTTCTTTGGAAGTATACTAAAGGCACCTGAGGGTTGCTCACCACCAAGAAAGACGTTCGACAATGCTGAGGAAGGACATACCCATCACCATGATAACGATTCGGATGAAGGGCTGCCTGAACATCAGCATACATGGGGTGATTGCTGTGGTATCAAAGTACCTTCAGCTATCGCAGCAAGTGAAATGGATCACAGTCCAAGGCCATTACCATTCGATTGAATCTTATAAGCTACAGTTTGTTAAATAAAAATTCGTAACTTCGTTAATTTACTGTGTATCTGATCACCATCCAAATCTTAACTGAGCAGCAGTAAACACAGGTGGTTTCCAGACAAGTAACTTTGGGTTGATGCTTCTCTTCTTCTTCATCATCATCTTTTCATACTGTTGAACAATATCATCTGTTATATATATAACGTGCTGTCCTTTGAAGTATCTGAGAATGGATAGGGTCTGTGCAGTGTGTAAAATGTCCAACGTTGTCATCGAGGTCTTTTGACTAATCTCATCGATGGATATGTAATCCGTTTCACTCTCAACGAGGAGCTTGATCAAAGTCTCAGACCAGTATGCTCTATAGGACAAGAGACCCAAATCTGACAACGGCTTTTCAGGAGAACCAATTTTACCTTCCTTTTTAGATAATTCGTAGGAAAATTCAATCAACAAACGACCATATCCCATTCTTTGGTACTGTGGAAGTGTCAAGATACACGCCAAGTTATAGTTCTCTGCCGATTCTTTTTCCTTCGAGAAGTAGCCAACTAGATGATGTCCTTGTTCATCTCTCCGTGTCATACAGTAGAACAGGAACGGATCAACATCGTAGTACAGTGTCTTGTGGTCCAAGAACAGCTTGGAGAAGAGACACACGTTACGACACCAGGTTCTCTGTTTACGTCCGTCAATTTCGAAAAAGGAAATGTAATCATCTCTGTAGATTTCATTCCCTGGAGGATGCCTTAGCGTACACTTCTTTCTGAACCTCTCAAACTGTTTCTTCGAGCCGAAGTACTGCAGGGTGAAATCGTCTATATAAATAGTATCCTCCTCTGTGAGTTCAACAGGGTATGGAGAAAAATACCAGGGCTCGATCTCATGGTTACCCATGATCACCTTTGACAAGTTTCTCACTTTAGCAACTTCAGAATGATTCTGAATCATCGAACCCGATGTTCTAAGCTTTTCTATCTCATCTTCTCTGGAAACGTCATCCGACTTCAAACCTTGCACATTTAAGTCGTCCAAGTCCATAACGTCCTCACCAGAGTGAGCCGTCGGCGTAGCACTCGCCTGTTTCTTTTGTTGCTTCTTTGTCTGCTTCTTAACAACAGTCTTCTTAACATCCTTCTTTGGCTGCTCAGGTTTAGGGAAAGTCACCGCTTTCTCAAGATTGAGTCTCTCCACAGGGACCCACTCATCCAGACGTTTATTGAAGTCCACATAGTGGATGAAGTATTCATTCTTCCCCTTTCTCGTTCTTGTGTGTAAGAGTTCACCTTTCCGCTCCTCACCGTCCTTTTCTACCCAACATTTACACCCTGTGATGAGCTCGTCAGCCTTGACGATCTTGCATTCTCCTTCCGCTTCTTTAGGATCTGTCGAATCACCACTCATTTCTCAAGCCGCCCTGATTTATTATGGTGGTTTGTCTTGTTCAACTTTGCCGCCAACATGGGAAGTTGTATACCTTTTCGTTTACTTTGGAAAGAGAGAAGTGGCCAAAACTTTACACCCAGACACCCAGACACCCAGACATCCAGACATCCAAACATCCAAACACCCGAACATCAATTCAAACGCCGTAAAGTTGGGTGGTGGCCTTTAACAACTTCTGGTTGGAGCAGCAGTTTTTGGTTTCAGCGAATGAAATTCCGTCAGTTTCATAGGCCAAAATTTTCTTTTTTTCTCTTTGACCGCCAATGTTCGCGAGGGAAAGAAGTGGTCTTTTTTTTCCCCTACGCACTATTTGTGTAGATTTTGGAGTGGGTTGTTAAAAAAAAACCAGACAATTTCTCTTTCCTGTCTACCAAAACATCCACATCAGTTTAACATCCTCTTTTTTGGTTTAAAAACAGGAACGTCAACACACAAAGATTTCAGATATGCTCCGTTCAATTGCTGCTAGAAACTTGGCCAGAGCCGCCCCAGTTAGATTTGCATCTACTCATCCAGTCTCCAGAGCCGCCATCTCTGAGCTCGAGTCCAGATGGGAGGAACTTCCAGCTGCTGACCAACAAGAGATTGTGTCTCAACTTGCCGAGAGACAAAAGCTTCCATGGGCTGAGCTCACTGAGGCTGAGAAGAAGGCTGCTTGGTACATCTCCTACGGTGCTTGGGGTCCACGTCGTCCAGTCCACCCAAAGGGTGAATCTGGTAAGATTGCCGGTGGTGTCTTCCTCGGTTTGTTCATCTCCCTCAGTATCTTCTTCGCCCTCAGAGCTAACGCTCCAGCTCCACCAAAGACCATGAACCGTGAGTGGCAAGAGGCTTCTGACGAGTACTTGAAGTCCAAGAACGCTAACCCATGGTCTAACTACTCCCAAGTTCAAAGTAACTAAACTCACAATTGTTGAATCGATTGTTTGCCTAGGAGAGGGGAGTAAGTTAATATTCATGTAGCGGGGGGAGGAATGAAGAAGATGTAAAGTGTACCGTTTATTGAAGATGAGCAGAGGAACGTGTACCAGATGGAGAGCGGGGCCATTTCAGTTATAAACACAAAATTTTTTAGTGAGATTATAAGAAGGGATCGAAGCCTTGATTCCCTTCTTAAATCTTTTTAAATCAAATTCAGATACAAGTTCCATTACTATTTATTGAGGATTTTTTTACCATGTTGTTAAAGGGAGCCAGTTGAAGATTTATCCTATTTGTCTTTGAGTGTTTGAAGTATTGGAATTCAGCTCCAATTTCTTCGAAACTATTGTTTTTTTTCTCATATTGCATCACTAGAGGATTTTTACTCTTAAGGTTCTCTTTATATACTGTGTTTAAGACACTCGAGTCGAATTTGATACTCATCTATTGGTTGCATTATCGTAGCATCGTTTCACGTGATCCTTTTGTGAACTTCGTAGTGGCCTATGATGACACGGCTATTTGCACGATTTGTGGTTCGATCAATTTAATTTTTGGTAGGAGACACTCCGAAGCGCGAGGCTACAGACCAGTGTACACTACACAACTTGAATATTGACTAAGAGTTTATTGATCCCGACACAGCTACCTGTTCAGTTATTTGTGACGAGTACTATTGATCTCTTTAGTCCTGCATTGACCTTGTTAACTACGAATTGGATAGGCATTCCCTGTAGTTGTCTCTTTGTGAGGTAGTTTTCAAATTCAACCAGACTACCACCAACTCCAAAGTAGATATCCTTAGCTGCCACAATTCCCAGGGCCTTTGCATTTGACACGAACTCAATGACAAGTTCTGAGATCACTGGTAAGGTCTCTGGTGAGTATATCGTTTCAGAGGTGATAACCAATCCAGTTTGATGGTTGTCTGAATTGACAAGTTCAAGGAATGAGCGACTCCATGCACCGCTGATGAGTCGTATACTGATCGATTTTTCTTGTAAAGTACTGTAGAACTGATCCAACAGTTTCTGCGTCAATTGAAGTTCATCCGGTACTATTGGAATTGTCTCATCTTCACTTCTTTGTAGTTTGATGAGCTGTTCAGGTTCCAAAGTTGATGCCCAGGTCACAATAAGATTTGGCAAGGTGACTAACCTCAAGACGGATTCGTTGTAATCTGCAAGGACGAAACCCAAGTTGTTGTGATTTGATCTCAGTGCTCTGTTGAAAAGATAAGTACTTGGTAATGCAGTACCACAACCCAACTCGACAATTCTATCCTTGAACAGGGTCTCATCCTGCATTGAACACAGGTAATCCACTGTGTCTACTGAGCACTCCCATGATTTCAAACCACCTTCATAAACGTTCTTCACCAAGTCTGTGGCATTTGTTCCAATGAGGATCTTGTGCTCATCGGTTACTTCAGCATCAGTCGAGTTGTCATCTTCCATCATGACTTGGTGCTTCACATCAAACAGCTCACGTCTGAAAACAGCATTTCCCTCAGGTGTGACATATGTCTCGAAGGTGACTCTTGTGGATTTCAAAGAGTTCAACGCTTGTTTCAAATCAACTTCTTTCGCTGGATACACATTAGACGGTACACAATCAAGTGGATTTATAAAGTTATCCTCTTGCTTTGGAGCTGGATCTGCAACACTTGTGTATTCATCGTCACTATCACCAGTGAAACCAAAAGAAAATGACATGGTATCTAGAGAACAATGTCTGGATAAGTGTGTCCTTCAAGTGTACACTCCTACGATCTCTCCAGTCGATGATGGCCTTCAAATGGTCATCGCATCATGGACAAAAAAAATGTTTGCGCAAATGTTCTAATTAGGCAATAGGCAAATTTTCGGTTTCACAAAGAAAAAAAGATTTGCGAAAACTCATTTGCGTTACAAAGTTACCATAAACTTAAAGATTGGCTTTTTACCTGTAGAACTTGTCTTGTCAGGCCATTTCAGCACAGAGTCACAGACCCGCGCGATACACAAACAACACGGGCAGAGACAAAAAAGAGGCAAAAAACAAGCACCCTCTCCCCGAATGATGTTCATGCACTTTAGGGAAGGGAAAAAAAACGGGAAGAAGTTAAGCGGAGCCTTCGGGATCCTACGCGGGTTCCATAGTCCTAAACACGAAACAACTGTCTTGAACCTTGATTAGGAATTTCAAACTTGGGTCAATTATAACATAACATACAGTATACTGAAAGATATACACTCAGTTTTTTTGCTTTCCTGGCTGGAACTCATGTACGTAGCCCTGGTTAAAGCGCAAAGTACAAGAATAATAAATACAGGCACGAAAATTTTTTGATGCGTTCATTGGGCAGTGGGCTGTGCAGCCTGTATGAGTGGGCCTTGTCTGCATTGTTCCGTTGAGTTTGGTGCCATTTTTAACATGTTTTCGCGCACTTTCAGGATGAGGTAAGTCACCAAAAAAAAACACACGCAATGCCACACACACAAACGCACATTTTCGTATGTGTTTGAGCCTCTCTTCAGTTGCAGGGGAAATGGAAAAGAATCTGGAGAGAGTCGCATACACAGTAAAATCTTATGACCCAGGTGGGAGCGTGGACCTATTGAACCGTTTAAAATTGATTTCTGAAGAGAACTTACAAGCTCAATTCCGGCTTGAGATGTGAACTATGAGCTAGGTGTATATAACAAAATTGTCAGACTCCCAGAAAGTAGCGAATTGTGCAGTACATACTCGATACGTATGGCAGTTGGTTTGAGCTTCCGCTTGCAGTTTCCGCCGCCGCGTCTTGTGACACAATTTCGCTGAGTATCACGCCAAAAAAAAGACCACCAAGTCGACATGGGTGGCAACTAACCGGAGTAATCGAAACATTTATGTTTTCTTGTCCCGTTTGCAAACTCTACATGCCAAATAACAAGGTATTTCTATGTGTTGCGCTTGGATGTTATACTGAGACAAGAGCTTCTAAAGTTATAGACCATTTCCTAAAGCCACTTCTAGCGCTGTGAAACTTACGCCGTTTCACTTTAAACGCACGTACATACCGCACACTTCATCGCACAGATGTTGCTGGTGCTGAGGTCCGCTATGTAGATTCTAGTTGTACAAGTTGTCATACAGCCTCTAGAAGAACAAAGGTTATATTATTAGTTATTATTAAAGATATATGGCAGCTGTGGATGTGGCAAAGCAGTTCAAAATATAATAAAGAGCCAATTCTAACCACTTGAGCTCTGAGTTCGCAGGAACCCAGAACCCGTCACGTATAAAAAATAGAGGGCCATCAACAAGGGAAAAAATACTAAAAAACAGATTGGTTTGACAAAGTGACATCATTTGAATATTGTTATGATACGGATTTGCAATACCAATGATAGCAAGGAGCATTCATTCATTTCAACACCCCGAAGAGACGCCATCACAAGTCGCGTTTGAAGTCTAGTTGATTGAAGAAACAATAGATTTCAACTTGGCAGTGAACTTCTTGAAGATGCTCTTCTTCTCCTCAGTAGAGGCACCAGAGGCCTCCTTCTTAGCATCCTCAGCGGCCTTGACAACCTCATCCTTAGCCTCAGTAGCGTTGTTGACGGCCTCGTCACCAGCGGTCTTAGCCTGGTCAACAACCTCGTCAACCTTCTTCTCAACGGCGTCAACAGTTGGTTGGACGGTCTCCTCGACCTTGTTCTCGATGTTCTCAGCAGTAGACATTGTTATTGTATGTGATTAGTGTTTTTGTATGTAGTTACAATGGAGGGGGAAAAGGAAAGGAAAAAGGAAAAAGGAAAAAGGAAGGGGAAGAGGCCATGCCAGGATTTATAAAATGAGCGGATCCAATCCAATTTATAGCTGACTCTATTCCCTCCTGCCAAATTTAGCGCGGTCAGGTTCCTCGATGAGCTGCAAAGTATCAAAAGAGGAAAGTGCAGTTGTGTTGCCTTGGTTTCCGAACAACACCACCTTGCAGCATGAAAAAAAGTTTCGCATTTTCAGGTCAAATTAGTTAAATTTGCGAAAGGCTTGTGCGAAAAACGATCACACACAAAAGACCCACTAGGGCGCAATGATTATAGCCACACCAGGGTCGCGAGACTTGGGCCAACTCTGAGGGTTTGAACGTGATTTGGAGGGAAGCCGGCATTGTGCATACAAGCCACCCTTCGAAGCCTGAGTTGTGGAGACAGGGTTTCTATTGCTGTGAAGGTGTACTCCTCGCCAAAGCTCTAGTTGGTAGATTGTACTCCTTTCGCGAGGTCAGGCTTGATATATACGTATTGCGGACTTAAGAAGGCACTGTACGGTGTGACTGATGGGAATTTTGCACCCAAAGCGATGATTTTCACCCGTTAGTGCACTTGGCTTAAGAACGCCAGTAGGTAATATTCGGTATGCTTTACCTACTGACTTCCACAATATTTCTCTGAGCGGAGGGTTATTTTCACCCTTCCAAAGGGGCGCAAGGACGATTCCAGCGACAAACTCGTAGTGTTTAGGTGAGCATTCCAGACATTTGGAAGGCTTCTTGTTCCTTTAGTTGTTCATCATCATTGCGTTGGACCTGTTATTGTAATACCAACAGTATTTGTAGAGTTATATACGCGTTCCAATGGTTATCCGAACAGTGTTAACCATTCGGTGCCTCTGACAATGATCAGGTTGCACATCAAACGTTGGTGGTTTGCAACGTTACACCTCAACCTTCAGTTAACAATTGAGACTCCATGGCTTCTTCTTTCTTAGCCGGAGCGTCCTTTGTTTGTCATTGCAGTGTATAACCTTTGATAACCGAGGGTGCGAGAATAAAACAGTTCCGGGAGTCGATACCGTTTCACCAACTAGCGCGAAATCCACAAAGTTTTGATCAACGATGAATGGAGGTTGGACAAACAGCGGGAACAGATTATACGGACCTCAAGCATAGAAACGGTGTATCCCCTATACATCAGACGAGGGTTAATCAGATACAATCATAACTAGAACTTTAGAGAGACTGTGCGTTGTCTGAATAAGTTTAACTCCACCATGTATCAACAACAACGTCCAGTGTTCATGGAGAACTCTAATTCTCAACAGAGAGCCAGCCAACAACAGATGAACAACACGCAATTGGGAATGAATGGATATCAGCTACAGCAGCAGGGCCAGCAGGGTCAACAGGCCCAGCAGTTGAACCAACAGCACTTTCCTTCATTTGGTCAGATTCCTCCTCAAGGAGCACAGACTCAGCTATTAAGTGGCGTTCTCCCACAACAGCAATCCCAACAGCCTCAACAGCAAGGGCCACCTGGCATCCAAAACCCACCAAATATACAACCACATCCATCTGCGATTCAAGGACCAAGAGCGCTGGACGATGAAAAAGTTTACAAGTGGATTGTGGAACTTTCGTACGGGCCTAACCGTGAGGAGGCCTTGTTGGAGTTGGGCAAACAGAGAGAACAGTATGAAGATTTACCTCTAGTGTTATGGAACTCATTTGGTGTTATGACCTCCTTACTCGATGAAATTATTAGTGTTTATCCCTTGTTGTCTCCACCAAACCTATCTTCAAGTGCATCCAATAGGGTATGTAACGCGTTGGCTCTTTTACAATGCGTTGCTGCTCACCCGGAGACAAGAACGTTCTTTTTGAATGCCAACATTCCACTTTTCTTGTATCCATTCCTCAACACAAACTCCAAGCAGAGAACGTTTGAATATTTGAGGTTGACGAGCTTGGGTGTTATTGGTGCCTTGGTTAAGAACGACACTCCTGAGGTCATCTCGTTTCTCTTGACTACTGAAATAATACCATTATGCTTAAGAATCATGGAGTCTTCTGCAGAACTGAGCAAGACAGTTGCAATTTTCATAGTTCAAAAGATACTCACAGACGATAACGGTCTTTCATACGTGTGCCAAACGTACGAGAGATTTGCAGCGGTTGCATCTGTTTTGAAGACTATGGTTGAACATTTGGTTACAAACCAGGCTTCGAGGCTCTTAAAACACGTTGTCAGATGCTACTTGAGATTGAGTGACAACGTTGATGCAAGAAAGGCGTTGGTGGCTTGCCTCCCGGAATCTCTAAAGGATGGAACCTTTGTTGCAGTCTTGAAAGAGGACCAAGCTACAAAGAAGTGTCTGACACAGCTATTGTTCAACCTCGGAGACTACGAGACTCAACAGCAACAGATTTCTCAACTACAACAAAAGCAACAGCAGCAACAACCTAATGCTAATCAATTAAATCCACTCCTTGCACAGCAATTCTCAATGAAGCAGAGTCTATAATGGGCTGTAATATAAATGTACTTGTCAAGCAACTTTTATCGTATATGAAGAGTCTCGTAACTATGGTTACGGGGTGCACTCTCCAAATTTCAACTGCTTCGAATTCCGGGTAGGAAAAATACAACTTCAACCTCGGAATTTCCGTTCCCCTTTTTGTGTTTTTTTTTCTGGCCAACGCGATCGAAACAGCGAACGAATTCGTTGTTAAAAAGTGGTGAAATTCAAAACTCTTTAAAGCAAAATCAAACAAAACAAACCAAACTTCGAGGCTTCACCCCAAAACACCGGAAAGAACCCGCTGAATTGACCAATCATCTACGTCTGATCTGAATCAGCTTGGAATATTCAGACGAAAACGCTGGTGGGAAAATACGTAGATAGAACCTCTTCCTGAGAATTGTGTCCGTTTGTCTGTTTGTATTTGATCCCCTTAATTGAAGTTGAGAGTGAAGTTGAAAGTGAGCTTTAGAACCAATGTCTACCCATTCCTACAAGAAGTTCGAGGACACGGACGCTGGCCTATTGCCAGATAAGATGACAGTGTTCCAAGACTGTATCCGTGCCTTCAACAGCTCTCCTGTTGATGCTAAGAAGTGCCGTACCCTTATTGCACGCTTGTTGAGATTGTTGTATTCAGGTGACACTTTCCCGAGACAAGAGGCCACGACTCTTTTCTTCTCGATCTCCAAGCTGTTCCAACACAAGAATTCATCCTTGAGACAGATTGTCTACTTGGCTATCAAGGAATTGAGCTCGATCTCCGACGATGTTCTGATGGTTACTTCCTCCATTATGAAGGACGTCCAGAATGGTGATATTGTTTACAAGCCAAACGCCATTCGCACATTGACTAGGGTTCTTGATGGCTCCACTGTTAATGCTGCCGAAAGACTGATCAAGAACGCTATTGTTGATAGACATCCTTCAGTTGCTTCCGCTGCCTTGGTTAGTTCCTATCACCTTTTGCCTGTCGCTAAGGATGTTGTCAAGAGATGGACCAACGAGACCCAAGAAGCTGTCCTTGCTGTTAAGCCATACCCACAGACAGGTGAAGGCTATATCAACGACTCTTTGATTTCTCAATACCATGCTCTGGGGTTGTTATATTCCTTGAGAAACCATGATAAGATGGCCTTGAGAAAGTTGATCCAACAATACTCAAAGGGGTTGAGAAACCCATTGGCCATTTGCCAATTGATTCGTTATGTCAATGAAGTTTTACAAGATGATTCTTCTTTGATTCCAGCCCTTTTCCCGTTGTTACAAGATTGGCTAAACGACAGAAATCATGCTGTTAACTTGGAAGCAATCAAAGTTGTTGTTTCTCTTCCAGTTACAAATGAACAATTTGCTGCTGCTGTTCTTAGATTGCAATTCTTACTCACAACACCAAAGGCTGTGACAAGATTTGCTGCTGTCAGAATTTTGAACAGAATCTCCTTGAAGAACCCGGAGAAGATTGTCTCCTGTAACACTGAGTTGGAATCGTTGATCAGTGATCCAAATAGATCTATTGCCACTTATACAATCACCACTCTGCTTAAGACAGGATCTTCTGATAACATTGAGAGACTTATTAAGGTAATTTCCAAGTTCATCAATGATATCTCTGATGAGTTCAAGATCATCATCATCGATGCTGTCAAAACCTTGTCTTTGAAATTCCCACAGAATTATCAATCAATGCTCACCTTTTTGATTGATATGCTGAACGATGAAGGTGGATTTGAATTCAAGAACACCATCGTGGAAGCACTCTTTGATCTGATCCACTTTGTTCCAGAGTCTCGTGATTTGGCTTTGGAGAACTTGTGTGAATTCATTGAAGATTGTGAATTTACAGAGCTCACTGTGAGAATCTTGAACATGTTGGGTAACGAAGGCCCAAAGACAGCTAATCCATCTCTATACGTTAGACATATCTACAACAGAGTTGTCCTTGAGAACTCCATCATCAGATCTGCAGCCGTGGTTGCATTGTCTAAATTTGCTCTGATTGATGCACCATTGAACAATTCTATCAAGATTTTGTTGAAGAGAATTGTCAATGACGTGGATGATGAAGTTAGAGACCGTGCTATCATCTCATTGAAGTTCCTTGAGAGTTTGGAATCTGCTGAGATCTCCAAGAATGTTGCTGTTGAATTGACCAAACCAACACATGTTTACGACCTGGGTCTCTTGGAATCTAAGTTGCAAACATATATCTCTGGTGATGCCTCCAGCTTTGCAACTCCATTCGACATCACATCTGTTCCGAAGTTCACTGAGGATGAATACAGGGCTATTGAACTGAAGAACAAGACTGCCAAGTTGGAAGTCGAAACAAAGGAGGACATTGATACTAGTGGACAATCTGGTTCTGCCAATGAGAGTCTACAAACCGCAGAGCTCGCTAAACAACAAATCTTACAGGAGCTCTCCCAAGTTTCTGAATTTTCCGGTTACGGAGCTGTTCTACATACATCATCTGTCATTCCTCTTACCGAGAAAGAGGCTGAATTTGTTGTGGAGTCTGTCAAGCATGTTTTCAAGGAACACATTGTCTTGCAGTTTAACGTTGAGAACACCTTGGATGACGCATTGTTAGAGATGGTATCCGTTACAGCACAGCCTGATATCGAGGAAGTAGAGGAGGAGTTCGTCTTGTCAGTAGAGAAGCTGGAACCACATGGTAAGGGAACTGTTTACGTCTCCTTCACTAGACCAGAAGAACCAAGTGTATTCACCACTACATTCTCAAATACCTTATCGTTCACTTCCAAGGAGTGCGATCCATCCACCTTTGCTCCATTCGATGATCAAGGATTTGAAGATGAATACCAGATTGAAGATTTGGATATCACTCCAGGTGATTTCATTATCCCATCTTATATCGGTAACTTTGATCTTGCCTTTGATGAGCTCACGTCTGAAACTGTGGGAACATACCAGATGGATTCTGAATCTCTTCAAAGCACAGTTGATCATCTGATTGAGACTCTGTCCTTGCACCCAGTTGAAGGCAAGGATGTCTTCAATGAGACAAGTCATACTTTGAAATTGTTTGGTAAGAGTATCAACGGTGACAGAGTTGCCGTGCTTGTAAAGATGGTGAAGAGTGCTAAGACTGGTATCACATTGAAGGCTACTGTGAAGTCTGATTCCGAGGAGATTGCCGAATCTGTATTGAACGGCATAGCGTGATGCTTCTCGCCGTTTTTTTGTCTTTGTAAGAGTTTAAAGTGATAGTATACAAGAGCATGTTCAATCATTACTGTAGAGCTTATAAATTGGTAGAACAGGAACAGAATTTTCATTCAAATCATTATATCATCACTTCAAACATTGTATATATATACTCAAAAAAAAATAGTCCAGGTCAACAGACTGGCTTTACAAATTCATAACAGAGAATCAAGAATGTATACTATCAACTTGTTTAATTTCAAGTTGATCAACCTCCAGAAAGCGGGAAGAATAGGTTATTGTCACATGAGGTTCATCACAGAGTACTAAAACAAAAACAAACAAGGAAAAACACAATCGTTAAGAGGGGGGTTAGTTCATTAGATGTTTTGATGAAACATTGATAGCAGGAACTGGTCATTTGCATCAACGCCCATGGCCTTGTCCAGGTTTTCTAACTCCTCCAAGGTATAGTTGGAGTTTGAAGCACTAAGCAAGTACATCAAAGAATCTGCATCCTCCTCTATTTGAATATCAGTATTGATGTTCAAAGTATTGTCCTTCATCAACTTCGATGAAGAAGGTGATGGCGTTGGTTGATCAATGAATTCTTCTGTGGTACTCTGAATTGTGGATTCCAGTGCCTCAGGTGGGATATCGTCATAAACGGTCTTGAAGAGGTCTTCACTGGTAATCATATTTGAAACCTTAGACTCGATGTCCATTTCAAAGAGTCTCTCAGCTTCAAATTGGTTGATGGTAGGATTGTTCGAGAAGCCAAAGTCAAACTCACTGTCGTCTATTTCGAGTGAATTCTTGCGTGGAAGAGTTATAGCACCTGGTGCAATCAGTGGCAACGCATTATCCATATCAAATGCAAGATGATGAATCTGTTGTTGCTGCTCGATATACTTCAAATCACTGAGATCTTCAGGTAGTTGAAGCGGGTCGAGCGGATCCACTATATGGGATAGAGGGGATTCGTACGTTTGTCTTTGCTTCTTTGTGAATCTATCGAACTCCATGGAATCCATTTCCGAGGCCGGTGTCAATGTGGAGGCAGGGCTTCCATATATTGACATCATTGGTGAAGTCGTGGATGCTGGAGTGTAAGCAGAAGTCCAGCTTCTTTTAGTTGTTGAGCGGTTGGTCGGCGATGAATTCGCAGACACCGGACTCCCACCAAAGTTGGAACAGATATCTGGGTTGTGCTCAGGCTTGATAATAGTTACAGACCAAATCTTTTGTTTAACTGAGTAGCTCACTCTGAGTCTAAATGGACATGACTCTTCAGGGTGGGTTCTTACTCTTTTCACTCTTCCGTTCACCAACTTGGCGGCAGATCTTGGGACCGACGACTTTCTATGGATGCTCTTACACTTGAAGACGACTTTGGAAGCGTCTGATCTCTCAATCACTAGACATACACCTCTAGAGTCCAGTTTCTCGTGGAGCCATGGCTTGATGTCATCTCTATTCTGGAAGTTAGGCACCGGGTGTAGAGCAGCCAACAGATCGTCATTGTTTTGGATAAGGCCGATTGGTTTGGAATCCAAGTGATCGTCGGTATCGGACTCGACTTTAACCGAGAAGCTCATTGTGCTTGTTGTTCGTGTTTAGTGTGTGCTTGTGGGTGTGACAGAAAAGAGTGAAAAGCGACAGCACACAGTGTACCAGTGGTTCAATTAGTTAACTTTGGCAACACTTGAACAAAAGACCAAGAAATAGAACTCAAAGCTGGGAATCAAGAGCAGTTCAAGTCGACAAGTTGGGGAGCTAAGCAGAGGTTATTTGTCCCCCCAGTAAAGAATGAAATTTTGAGCAAAATGGTCTTTTTTATAAAATTGGGAAACCTGTTCAACCAAGAAGGAGAACCGGGACTACTGCGGTTTTTACATTTGGTGCTGTTTGGGACATATGCACCTCACCTGCAGGAAGGAGAGAAAAATTTTTATCTTTCCCATCAGCTCTGGGACAAATGTTGTTGTCCGGTTATGGTTTAGAGGTCGTAAGGGAGTCAACAATGATGACAAACAGGAGAGAACCGTGTAAGGGAAGACACTAGGATGCTGTAGATAGTATTTTTTCACGCTTGTTAGATGCTGTGATTGTTGGATGCTACGCTTTCGTGCTATTCACCTTGTGATTCTTGGTGGGGGCGGGCTCTTCTACATTTGTCCGGTGTGTGTGGTGCGTACCTCTCCACTGATCGAATTGATTAGATCCCCTAGATAAATTTCCGGACAAAGGAAACACCAGCGCAAAACAGAAAAGCTTTGGGGAGCTTTTCTGTGCTTTGCTTTGGTTAAGGAGGAATGGATACCAAATATCAATCGCCGCGTGTCTCTCGGACAACATAATTCGAAGTCTACATGGAAATCTTTTGTTCCAATACCCCGAACTATGGACGGTTGGTGCGCAGGGGTTTCCAATATTTATCTCTACAATCTTCAGTTAGGCAGTAGATGATACAACAGCTCCTTGTTCGTCAACCTGGGAAATGAATTGTCACGATTCATACGGATCAAGAGAAGGGAATCCCGAGGCTCTTGAAATGGAGGTTAAGCTTCTGCTGCCACATGTCTGAGCGTTCCCTTGTAGCGCGTAGAGTTCGACTCCAGGTTTCCATGACCAGAAAAAAAACATCCAATCAAACGACGTCTCCTCTAGGAGTTGCAAGCCGTTTGTCCCGGACAGAACACGAGCAGCATCCAAAAACCTGAATTTATGAGACAAAACTTTAAAATACGCAGACTGATGAATTTGATAAATTCTGGGCATAATGGACAAAAAGTGTCAAGGGAGAAAATTTCTTCTTCTCTGTTGTCGGTGATCATCCGTTTCGGGTACATCCTCAGCTGAGAGAAAGAGTCGGAAGCTAACATGTTGAAGCATCATGACTCAGGACGTATCTGTGGTGCGTGTTGCAGTGGTACAATTGCAGAATGAACTCACCAATAGCAGAAATAAGCTCTTGATGTACCCAACTGCAACTGTAATTCAGTGGCAGTTCACGTTGTCTTGTTTGTTAATGTAATAGTGTTTTCTAAACGGTTCAAAGCGGTTGTTGTGGTCACAACAGAAGAGAGTCATAAGGACCTTGAGAATATGCATTACTCGAAGCCATACATCTTGTACATAACCAACGTTGTTTGTTCAACTTTAGTTCAGGTGAGGCTATCAACGTGTTGACTCAAAAGTCGAAAGTCGGGAGTACAGAGAAATGTGGGATTTGTCCCCAAATTCCCAAAACGATGATATGGAAGGTGGGCAGCCGAGCATAAGTTGTAATTTGATACTCAGATGTGGTTTGACACAGGGTGGAGGCGTCTTAGACTTGGATATCCTTTCGAAGTACCAATTAACAGGAAAAGAAAACAAGCTTTTGAATCAATGATACGGTACATTGGTAGGATACCAAGGAGTTTAACTAATGATACCTCTCCAGGCAAAAGATTTTAACCGCGAGAAACGTCTATACTTGGAACCTTAACACTCCGAGACCCGTAACTGTATTTCCATGAGTGACTAACCGCTTGCGCACAGCAAATGATGCCAATTATGCACGATTGGAATGTCTACCTGTCCTGTCGGTTAAATTCCGCTCAGAACTGTACTGACTCCTTGTCTCCTTTTTCTCCCTCTTTCTTTCTTCGATTTAAGTTACTGATCGTTTAGATAAAACGTTAAAGTTGGCCTCCGAGACCGGCGCGCGGCCCCCACGGCTGGTGAAAGAAGCAGGGTAACACCTTAATGGCGGTTGATTCACCAAAAGAGGTAAAACCGTCCAGTCCATCTGGAGCGTCCGTACATTTCATTGGTTGGACAACACAAGAGTGAATGAAGCTGAATTCCTTTTGAGGACCAAAACTCTCGAGCATCGTCATCACTCATAACTGGGCAGTGATGGCTCAGAACACATCCCTGATAGGGTAGAGCTTGATGTGTCATTCTTGCTGTACTTGCCAACTATCACTACAATTACGCCAAACATCTGTGTTTTATTGCCCCCATGCAACAGGATAAGTGCTTAGAGGCAGCTAATGACACCAGCGGTGAAATTGTGATGATTAGGTAGAAGCCTTGTGTCAGGTAGTGTTCGGTGAGAGGAGCATAGTCCATCACATCCCAATATCATGAGCTTTTGATACAGATCATAAGGTTACTAACTGGGCCCAGGCTGGTAATGCCTTAACAAATGGCATAAACAGGTGGGTATAAGGTGGAGTCCAATTCCGTGTGCAACTGGTTGCCTGAGTGGTCTCGGGGCTTGTTAGATGGTGTGCACGGTGAGCGACATCTCGTGGGACAGACACAGTCCATTTAAAGCCGTTTGGGTATGTTTTTGGAACTTGCCTGCGTCCAGAGTTCGCAGCTTATCGACCAAGCCATATACTTTTCTCACTCTGGAAGTCAACCCTACGTCGCGTGGAGTATCTCCAAACTTCAGACGGTGATCGGCTCTGGTACCGAGGTCACCTATCATGATCACACAGATGGTGTTGTCGACGACGTGATCAAAGAGTGCGACTGAAGGCCTCTCTCATATGAGCTCCAAGAAATGCCTCTTCAGGGAACAAAGCAATGCTTTAACGGTTTAATCACATCGCCGTGTATATAAATGGTGACATGCTTTTAATACATAGTACAGAGACACCGCGCTCTCCATCCGCCGCTTGTGTCTTACAACCCCTCCTCCCCACCATCCTTCTGTCCCTCATAGTCCATCCACATCAGTGTAATCAACCATTCTGACCCGCCTCCCCCATATTGACGAGAAAGGACTTAAGATCAACAAGCCAATAGGAAGGGTTTACCCACACTTGCCGCTGGTGTTTACCAACTCCTCCAAACGACACCACAACGAGAGACTGCCGCCGGCGGCAAAGAGAAAGAACGCGGTTTGGCGTGTTTTTGCGCTTTGTATGCACATGTAACGCCAACGGCGTGTCGCGGTCAAACTTTTCGTCCCCGGTTTGCTCTTTTGGGCGCTTCTTCATTAAAAACTCGATGCACATATCGCGAGGGAAACCACAACAACGACGCTGAAAATCAAAACAAAGCAAAACGCGTTCAGAATTTGGCCAAACAAGCAGGGAAAAAACACAACCGTGGAAGATGAAACTGGGACCAACCAGGAAAAAAAAGACACAGATACCCAAAACCAATTGAAGGAAACACACATCGCAGCGGTTAACCAGGGCGGGTAGAAACATCTCTTCCATCACCACTCATCCACTTGACCCAACAACCTATGAACCATGCGTGCAAGTCATATGCCCTCGTTGCCAGAGATGCCCATGGAGCACCACAATAGCGGCCCAGATAGTAAGCAAATGAAGCGTACGTTGTTTACTTTCCTTCGTCTCTCTCGACCCATGCCATGTACTAACACTGTGATATATAGTCAAGGTGCTGTATGCGCTGGAGGATCATACGAACTTCCTTGCGAGGTCCAACAACCTCGTCGACGTGAAAACCGCTAGAATCCCAATACCTGGCCAGTCAAGTATCATGACCCTGGGAGTGGTTGCTATGAGACACGTCATGGCGCCTGTGATGCAGTCGAGTCCTGAGTTGTTCTCGGACCCCATGGTGGACTACTCGGTCTACGTGAAGGACATTACGGAGGAGGATGAGCCATTTGTTGGACAAGGTTTGGTGTCGTCCATTCTCAGCAACAACGGCAATGCCAGCAACACGTTCCAGGAGGAGATCTTAGTGCCAGGCAGGGTTTGTTCCAATTTCGCTTCTCTGCTGAACAAAGGGTCTGTGGAGACTTTGGAAATAAGGCTCAGATTAGCAAAAGTGACCAGACACGAGCCTCAACAGCAATCACATCCACAATCACAAGCACAACAACAACTGCAACCTCCATCACAAGGCTCACGACAACAGCAAAGGACTGCAAACTACAGCCGTCACTCTTCGATATCGCAACCGAAGACCACTGGAAAGAGGACTATTGAGGAGATGAATGAAACTAATGACGATTTCCAATTTGCAGAACCTAAACCAATCCAACAGAAGAATCAAGTCCAAGCAAGATATGTCAATACAGCACCGGCGCCAAAGGCCGCCAGAACACAATCTTTACCGACTTTTGACGCGGTCTTAAACCCACCTCCTTTAATGTCAAGGTTCCCACCTCAGTCCATTGCTCGTCGGATCTATTTGGCTGATAAGAATAACGTTAGGCAGCAGCAACAGTATGCGCTGTCATCGTCAACTTTCAATCCTTATGAACAGGGCACTAATAATAATTATCAACAAGACGCTGTCACAGATGTGTCGAAAAGATTTGCTCCTGACTTCATTGCCAAGATCCCCGATGGGAAGAAAGGCCATGGCTCGAAAAGAACCGGTGCAAAGAGAAAGCAACAACAGGCTTCAAATGCCCAGAGCAACACGAGGTCCTCAACGGTGGCCTCTTCTTCACCGATGACTGTGGAGGAGACCGTTCATAAACCTCCTATCTGTTTCCACTGTAAGAATGTCGATTCTAAGAACTGGAGATGGAACGAAGCTGACGATGAATCTCAAAGGGGTTTACTGTGCAATCAGTGCTATCAATATTTGAAATCCAATGGGGTCATGAGACCACAACGGTTAATTACGAAGCAGAACCAGATGAAACAGAAGAAAAAGGATAAACAGCAGACAAGTTCCTCTCCAAATTCTTCTGGTAACGATACGATCACTTCAACCACACCACTTGACCCAGCATCAAAACCCAAGGAGCATCCTTCACAGTACTATTCTTCGGATCCTATCACCTCAGTTGACGATATGGTTAGCGACTTGGATTTCCATTTTGGGCCAATGACCGATATCGACCCACTACCTGTACCGGATAGCGTTGGGGACGAAGGTGATAAGGAGAACGTTCCTCCAAGAAGAGCGGTTCAGAGATCTTGTGAAGCTATCCCTGTTGGTAAGGCTTCGAGACAAAGTTCATTTGAGAAGATGCTTGCGAAATCGTTCAGTGGTGTTCCGCCCCCAATGTCACACTCTCCAAGTGAATGGATAACGGACCTATTCAACCAAGAAGGCACAGGACCAACCCCAAAGGATTTCGACAACAACCTGACACCTGCGGATTTCGACCACACTCCAAGAGATATGACTACGTGTAACACGCTTCCTTGTAACGAGGAATCTCCAGAGGCTGATATCAAGCAATCTGCTTCGCAACCACAACGAAGACAGAGCCTATCTCAGAAGGGCAAGGTCACTGTAATGCCATCTTCCCCCTTGCTTCTTGTCGAGGAGGACGATCTGCCGGACAACGGCTCCTCATCCACGCACTTGACAGCGTCCAATTCCAATCTGATGACCAGTGATTGGCCCGAGACCGATGACACAAGGCTCGGGGACGTTGTCGATGCGCTGCCTCCAAAGGCCCAATTCACCCATAACCCCCAACTGGGCAACGAGTTCAGGCAAAGCTAAGCGCATGTGTATATCTTCCTCGTGTACCACTACTGTTTTATACAATCAGAACCCGCCATATTTGCATTCAATGACCTTTCCGTATAGTATACCTCACACTACAACACAACCAGCGTCTTACGTAAGCACCCGTACCTATCGGCGTTTTCGCTCACGCTGGTGTTTTCGCCCGCTGCTTCTGTGCACCTTTTTCCCAACAGCCACTGTCTTTCCCTCCGCCCCTGGCCTTCCCTGGCCTTCCGTTCTCTTCCCTCAGCAAAAGTGAATGCTTAGGAAGTTCCATCTCTCACCAGGCAACCACAGTTCCACTACTATACACAGCACTATGGAGCAAGACAGACTTTTCAGATTCCAGGCGTTCAAGTTGCCCAACTCGCTCGCATTGAGGTCCTGTGGTGTGTATCTCTCTGGTGCGCTGTATGCGCTAGGGGTATGGGCCTTCCTCGATGCTGTGATCTATTCCAAGACGGTCAACGCCAGCGACGTCCACGTGACGTTTGTGGACTGGATACCAATCATCTGCTCGACTCTTGGGATGCTGATTGTGAACTCGATAGAGAAGAATAGGCTGTTGAACGATGCGCTTGGGAATGGTGGGTTTGGCGGCAGCTCCACAACGACATGGGCGGCAAGGGTCATCCTGTTCCTGGGCTTCTCGCTGTTGGCTGGCGGCGTTGCAGGGTCTATCGTGGTTCTGATCTTGAAGTTCTTGATGAAGCACTATTCGTTCCCAACGTTGGGAATGGGCGTGTCGAACGTTGTTGCCAATGGCGCAATCATGCTCAGCTGCATCGTTTTGTGGGTTGCCCAGAACATTGAGGATGAGTACTCGTACTCCCTGGCCCTATAGTTAGTTTCTATTCTACAACTTGACGATCTAATGAAGTGAAAACAGGCACCCTGTTTCGGTGTTGCGAAGCGAGGTTTATCCGTAGCGCCGACTCGGCGTTCTGCTGTGAGTGTACGTTCTTTCTACGTTGATGTTGTCGGTGTCGATGGTGTTTCATTAGGATTTAATTAAAGTGTATTGCCTAAAACAGATGCCGTTAAAATTATTAGGGAATAATTAGAGCGTTGGGGTCTCTTGAAGCGTCATACCTGTTGAGCTTCAACCCCAGGTTGAGCATTTGTTACTGCTGGACCTCCAACTTGTGGTAATAACGAACCTATGACGTCCAACTCGAAATGGCTAAAGTTGAACAATTTTGGCAATGGCACCGGTCCTGTAGCACCTCTTGGAACAAATTGGTTATCAATTCTCAGATCGTCAAAGAACGGGTGTGCCATAATACGTCTTGGACTCAATCTCTTTTGAGGCTCGTACACCAATACATTCATCAGTAGATTCACACCATCCTCACCAGCGTGTCCTAGAAGCTTGTGGAATCTTGCCGAAGGTCTCCCGTTAAACAACTGCTTGGAAAAGAGAGGCCCATCGTACTTAGGATTGGAGTTGAAGATGAACTTCTTATCAGGAGGACCCAACAGCTTAGATATCTCTCTTAGCTGCAATTGAGAATCCTCGCCTTGGAATAGAGCAATACCTATCAACATCTCTGCAAGACAGCATCCCAACCCCCAGATATCAATCTGAGTGGAGTAGTATTGGCACCCAACTATGAGCTCTGGGGCTCTGTAGTAACGTGAGCAGATGTAGGCAACAGAAGGTTTTCTAGGTTCTAATCTCTTTGCTGAGCCAAAGTCACAAATCTTCAAGATACCCTTAGAAGGATCCACTAGAACATTCGAAGGCTTCACATCTCTATGGCATATCCCCAAGGCATGGAGATATAGCATACCTCTGGCCAACTGGTACGTGTAGAGCTTGATGTGTTTCAAGGGCAATTCCAACTTGCTCGAATAGTAGTAACGGATTTCAGTCTGTAGGGTTTCAGGGAGACACTCCATCGCCAAATGTAGATACACCTGATTGTCTTCTGGGCCCTTATGCGTAAAGAAGTACTCCAGGGCAATAATGTTGGGATGGTTTGTCAATCTCAATATCTCCAACTCTCGGCTCTTGTACTCTGTTTGCGCAGGCACCTTTTTAATGGCAAATGGGCCTAACCAGCCATCGTTGTCCAACAACTTGGCCTGGGTGACAACACCAAAGGCACCCTTGCCGATCTTCTTGTAGTGCTTCACGAGCATCGGTTTGCTCACTTGCGTCTTGATCGACGTGACATCATTGGCCATGAACTCAGTAGCATTCGACGACGACATCACGGCACGACACTCTCCCCTTATGATCTTAGTCTGTGTTGATCTCTGTTTCTCTGTGCGCGTGGTTTGCTCGCCTTTGTGCGCTGTATACGGTGTATAAAAGTGGCGTTTATAATAAGACGTTCGTGTGTGGAATGTGTGTTTAATTATAGACGGGCTATCAGCACACAATCAGCTCCCAAACGGATTTTTACACAGCTTCCAATAGAAAACCAGTTCGTAATAACGGACCCAAGAACAAAACCAATTGGAGTCGAAGAAAAGAGGCAAATATCTCCGTGTGTTCACCTCCCAGCTGAGCAGTAATGGGTTCCCAATTGGATTGAAAGAACAAGTTGTTTGTGCCTTTGAAGTTGAGTTCACAACGCTGGATGTTGCGAGCCCCCTTCAAAAATTTCGTTGTCCTTTGTGGGTTTTTCCGGCAAAAATCCCTGCCCCTTTGGGACATTTCCTCGTTTTGCTCGCTTTTGGGACTTTTGGGACTTTTGAGACTTTGGACAAAACAATTTGCGGAATTAACGCAACTGTTGGGGATCGAACAGGCAACGGTGTGTGAGGGTTACCCTACTGGGTCCAAGTATGTGCGTCGATCTTGGAAACTTTGCAACGAGTCGAGAAGGTGAAGAGGAGCTTTAAGAGAGATCTATGGAGACATTGGAAAGAGCATAATAGGCATCTATAAAGGCAAAGCAACGCAATGTTCCCTAGAGTATTCCCAAGAAGGGTGTTTACCACAAAGCTGACAGGATCTTTAACAAGATGTGAGTGTGTCTGCTGCGAGCTTGAGTGGTTGTGGAGTTACTAACATTTGGTGCAATAGCTTCTTCACCATTCTCAACCTATAGACCTCTGTTCCAGGAGAAGACCTTGACATTCGACGATGTGTCGTCTCAAAAGACTCTGACCAATGTCCATGCACCACAGTCTAGCTCCAGTGCGCCATCCTACAGGTCCTCAGAGTTCATACACAAGTACATTTTGTACTGCAATTTCACAAAGAACAACACTCATTTCACACTCAGTGCCGTTGTGGAGGATTTGGACTTTGAGAAGAAGAACCCTCAACTCTCATTCAACGAGAAAGTCCTATACTACCATCGTTTACCACAAAAGGTGAAAGTTGCCATCTCAACGGGTCAATTGGGTTTCAGAAAGTCCGCCAGAGGTGAATACGAAGCAGGTTTCCAGACCGCTGCAAAGATGTTCAGTATCATGGAGGAGAGAAATTTCCTCGACAAGGACTTGGAAATCGTAATGAAGAACTTTGGTAAAGGTCGTGGTGCATTCGAAGACGCTCTAAAGGGTAAAGAAGGTAACAGAGTTAGAGGTAAAGTTGTCAGACTGAGTGATAACACCAAGCTCAAATTTGGTGGTACTAAATCTCCAAGAGTTCGTCGTTTGTAGTTGAATTTGACATTCCTGTATATATATCTACATCTATATCTATCTCTCCATATGATATGATAACATAAAAGCAGTGCTATACTGTATATACATGTACACCATTACTGTTCATTGTGTAGGAATATGACCTCTTAACAAGTGGTTTTGAAATTCAGCAGCCCTATATCCACATATGTCACGTGATTTAACGAAGCCCTAATTTTCCCTGACATTAAGAGATGTCCAGGTGTTCGTATCCAAAAACTGCTCTTGAACATCTCCAGTGCGTGTGAGTACCAGCTCTTGCTTAAAGTCCAGCGCGGTTGTCGGTTTCTCTCTGTGCTTTCGGGATTGCAGCGTGCGCGCCTAGGCAGAGATTTCAAAAGTTCCCGCTGCGGAGGAACAAACGCAGACGACGCAGAAGGAAAAAAACGACACAAGTGACTGCGAAAATTTTGCCTGAATCTCCCCAGCAGTGGAAAATCAAAGCTGAAAATTAACAAAAACACATCTCTTCAACGTACAGAATAAAGACCTTCAGCTTACATCAACATAGAAAACAAAATGGCTCCATCCAGTGAGTAATAACGTGAACGGAACGAGATGTGGATATGTGCCAGTGAGGGAGATGGGGAGATACGATATCTCTGTAGATGAGTGGGAATCACACTGAATGTAAAGACCCATTTCAAGAGACCAGAGGAACCACAGAGAAGTTTTAAATTAAAGATGGCTCGAACAAGAGCTCAGTGATGGAAGATGTTTGTAATGCAAAGAGACCACGTATGGCCATATTGTTTCCCATAGAGTAATAGTCACTTTCAGTATGAGCAAGATGGCAACCAAAATGAAGTCTTCCGTTGAAACTATACATTGCACCAACAACAAATCTTCACTCTATGTACACCTACACATACTCTATCCAAACAAGCACCCCAAGATGATATGTACTAACAATATTATAGCTAAAGCTGCTTCTGCTAAGAAGGCTGTTGTCAAGGGTTCTAACGGTTCCAAGGCCTTGAAGGTGCGTACCTCCACCACCTTCCGTCTTCCAAAGACTTTGAAGCTTACCCGTGCTCCAAAGTACGCTCGTAAGGCTGTTCCACACTACCAAAGATTGGACAACTACAAGGTCATTGTTGCCCCAATTGCCTCTGAAACCGCTATGAAGAAGGTTGAGGATGGTAACACCCTTGTTTTCCAAGTTGACATCAAGGCCAACAAGCACCAAATCAAGCAAGCCGTCAAGGATCTTTACGAGGTTGACGTTTTGGCTGTTAACACTTTGATCAGACCAAACGGTACCAAGAAGGCTTACGTCAGATTGACCGCTGACCACGATGCTTTGGATATCGCTAACAAGATTGGTTACATTTGAATAATGGGATTTGTATAAGCTTTAAAAAAAATCATGAATGTTTTTAATCGGTTAACGAAATTGGAGAGAAAAGGAAACACTATACTACGTAGATCTTCTGTAAAGCATAACATCACTACAAATGGTTTGATATAAAGATTGTATTAGTCTATAACCAGAGAAGAATAAATATCAAAATCAGCAAACCGGTGGCTGGTATTGTGTATAATGTACAAGATACTGGCATGAAGTTGTCATTAAGTGGAAGTTCATAAATAATTGGGTGTAAAATGGGGTTTGTTTTCGTCGTCTGTTTTATGCTGCAGTGCCCTTGATGAATGAGACACCCTTTGCAATGTTTGTCTTCAATTGGTCAATGGCAACCTCCAACAACTCCTCCTCGTGCTCGTCAATCTTATCCAAGATTGAAGAATCAATGCTTTCAATTCCTTCGGCACCAATAACAGTTGGAAGGGAGACGTAATCAACACCAAGTTTTTCCTTTGCATAGCTTGCACCAGGGATTCTATCATCTAAATAGATAAAGCTGGAAGCGTATTTGGCGCTTTCGTTGTCGCCGTGTGCGCTCTTCATCAGCCTCTCAGCCAATTGGAACCCAGCGTATGCCATTGATAAAGTAGCAGAGCCAGCACCCTTCTTGGCCTGGACAACTTCATCACCACCGTACTGAACTCTGTGAACCAATGCATCTCTCTGTTCATCGTTCAACGATTGATAAAATTCAGGGGATCCGATGCTAAAGAGCGGTACAATGGTTTCACCAGAGTGGCCTCCAATTACCGGCACGTTTAGCTGTTTGGAACTCAGCTTACCCTGTGACAACTGTGAGATGAAGGTGTTTGCCCTCACGAGGTCCAACGTCGTGACACCGAGCAGGCGACGAGGGTTGAACACCTGTGCCTTTTTCAGAACCTCTGCAACAATTGGCACAGTAGAGTTAACCGGGTTTGAGATCACCAACACCATGGCGTTTGGAGCATGGGTGGCAACGGCCAGCGCCAAATCCCTAACGATACCAGCGTTGATGGCAAACAAATCATCACGGGTCATTCCCGGCTTTCTTGGGACTCCCGCAGGGATCAGGACAAGGTCGGCATTGGTCAGCGCCATCTGCAGACCGTCATCCTGAGGCAAGTGCGAGCTCACAACGACATCCGTGTCGATGTGGTTGATGTCTGCGCCTACACCTGGCGCGTTCACAACGTCGTATAGCGCCAGATGGGTCACATAGGGGGATAGCTTGAGCAACAGCGACAAAGGCTGGCCGATACCACCAGCAGCGCCACATACAGTTACCTTCATAGTGTGTTATTGGTTTAAGATCGTGATGTTTCTGAGTTGCACAAGCAAGAATAATCAACAAGACAAGGAGATTCTTGTATTGTTTGCCTCTTGTGTGCTTGCAGCGACAGAATTGGTGGAATCGGTGATGTAGGCTTCCTTATATATAACGGCCTTGTCGCCTAGACGTGATGCGCGCGCCTGCTGCGTAATTAATTTTCCTCCACGCAACGAAAACCAGTCTTGGGCGCATGACCCAGATGGCTCACTGCTGAATGACACCAAAAGAGAAGGCAACAAGTGGTGAAAATTTTTTTTTACTTGTTCTCATGTTGTCGGCTACTGGTTATAGTTACTGTTGTTACGTTGCGCTGGTTTGTGCTTTGTTTACAGTAAAGCACCGTGGCCTGTTTTCTGTTGTGGAGGCCCGTAGTTGTCCCGTTTTGTAGATAATTGCAGTTTCAATGGGAGCTGGAAGATAACATGAGGGAACGTCAGTTTTCGCTTCTAAATCTTCCGTGTGCAATTTTGGCAGAAAGTTTTCGCAGTGTGTTGCTGTTGTTGGCGAAAAAAGAAACGAAAAAGGCGTGTTGTAGTGGATTTTCGCGCTGTTGTTGTTTCTGTTTTGTCCCGTTGAGGGGCGCAGTAGGAGGGCTTTTTGGTGGGGGACTTAGGCAGAAAACTAGGGCTGAAAAGTGCCCATCGGCCGCGTGATGCCGCTTCAGAAGCAACAACAACAACAACAACAACCACGACGACGACAACAACAAAACAACCAACGTGTGTGAAAGAAGGAAAAGGGGAACCCGATTTTCTTGCTAGGGCAAACAATGGAGAGAACGTGTAAGACTCAAATGAGGAGCGCATTGATTGCAATTGCTTGGTAAAAACATTCATATTGTTATTGCTTGGACCCCTAGTTTGTTTGAGCCACGATGAAACTGGCATCATTTAGCTAGTGGTCCTCTCATGACGAATCCTAAGGCCGCAAACTACAAATCCTGATCCTGATTCTGATCGTGTTCGAGGACGAAAATGGCACTTGACACCATACCATACGACCCAGTGAGGTCTATTACCATGTGCGAGTGTGTACTGCGAAACATCAAACTTGCTAGCTAAATAACTCAATGTCGGTGGGTTTACACGCTTTTTAGGATGACGTATGCGTTGGCCGATCTTGGTGGTTTCCTGGGTCCGGTACCTCTGCCACCTGCCTGTCTATTTCACAGCTCACAGTTCGTGTAGAAAGCAACACGGTGCCGGAATCCGTCAACGTGGCGAACAGCCCTTCCACGTCTCTGTTGGTGTCTGGGTTTAGTTTCACCTCTTATCTGTCGGCATGCGCGTTTCCCTGAAAGATTGCGGAATCTGAGTCTCTTTGCAGCACAAATGTTAGATAAGGTGAACTAGGGGGATGTTTCTAGAACAGCAGGTTGCAACAGTTGCTCAAAGTGCTAATCACGGTAGGGATACAGGTTTAAGTATTCAATGGTGACTGCATCATCGCCCTCTGTCTTAGCCTTAATTGTTTGATGTGTATGCTGTAGATAATAATCCCAATAGTTGTGCGTCGAGTGATACCCATAGCCAACTGGGTCAATGGAAGCATGAATCACTGATTAGATGTAACGGAAGAACTGAGTGTATGTATATACCGGTGTCGATGATTGGGCAGCAACCGTGATAAGATTGATAAGACTGACAATCCGCCGTAAGATGCGTAGTGTTCGCACAGAATTTACACCATGTGCAAATTGGCTGGCAATCGCCGACCCAAAGAAGCAAAGAAAGGCCTAATCTCATAGAGCTGGGCTCCGGTAATACACTGGGATCGAGAGAACTGCCACTTCGCCATACTAATTTTTTCTTCGCCCCATATTCGCTGAAACAAGAGCTGCGAAAATCCGCCAGCCCCCATAGTTAACGATGGAAAAATGAACATCTTGCAATTATGGGAGGGGGGGATTTTGTCGTCAAGTTGTTGAAAAAGGCAGAATCGCCGCCAAATTGGCGTGAATTGGCAGACTCAAGGTCAGAAAGGTCAAAGTCCACGGATTCGCAGCCGGTACAGGGACTTCCCGAGCTTTTTGATAGAGCTTCTTCAGGGCTCACAACCATGAGGGGCCTGATGTTCGTTTTAAACGCAGGCAGTGGTTACCTTAACGTCGACATTAGTTACCATTAAAAGCAAGTCACCAGTGTAAATACATCGGAAACACTTGAAGAACAGCTTAGAGATTTGTAACAATGTTTAGAAAACACCCCTGGGGGATACCTACATGGCATTGTGATGTTTGTCGAGTGATAAGGGCATTATACTTGTACACTATATAAACTGCAAGATGCGACATCTTAGCTAGTCATAATTCATTGTGGGCCATGAATTCAAATTGATTGAAGTTAGACATCTGAATTTGAATGAAACCACTCTTTGGATCCGTTGGTTCACACTCGCCATGAAACAGTAATCCAGCCTTCCCCACAATAACATTGCTCAAACTGATTAGTGCTGAACTTTTCGAAGGACCAAATGCATGATCATCCGAGTCAGCAGAAGCAGAGAACCATGATGATCTCGGGTCCTTTTCATCAATATAATCCAGCAGCAAAGGACACAGATCCATCACAGCTTTAGCCCTGATCCTCAGTCCGATCGCTGAACGGCTTTCTCTACCGGTCCCTTCTTCTGTACCGTTATCGGATGCAGAAAGACTCAAAGGCATAACATGAATTGGTTCAATATCCAAGTCGGATACAAACGCAAGGGCGCTAGTAATGTGTCTTCTACTCATTGATTTGATGACTGTAGATCTTGACAGTGGTTTCTTGTACCATTTCATGTCGAATAACTCCAGAATAATGGCCAGTTTATAGCGAGGTTTTTCCCCGTCTCCTTGGAAGGACCGGATGACACAAGCAGACTTGTCGAAAACACTGACATAGCTTGATTTGTGACATAGAAGATCACTGATATGTTTAAGGTCTGACCAGGATCTGGTGAATTAAGACTCCAAGCACGATACACTTTCTCAATATTTTGGTCTCTCATGATCCTCTCAAGCACAGAAAGCGTTGCTGGTACTAGTGATTCATTAGGTGAAGAACAGGACTTCACAAACTGGCGTGGGAATCTCTTTCTCAAATAAGCAATGACATCCTTGCTGATATGAGCAAATACAAGCTTCTCTGTATCTATGATTTCTTCATTGGCCCCTGGACCAATTAGAAATGGCATCTCAAGGGTAAAGACATTCGTTTCACACTTTGAAGATTCCGTAATACAACGATGCGAGTGATGGAAGCGCATATCAGAATCATTCGTGGCCTGTTGAACAAGATACTTGAGCTTTTTTAAGAGTCTTACTGATAATTGATTTACCAGTAATAGCTTCCCATTTCTTGTAGATCTCATGCATGGTGGTTGGATTCCTGCAAGGTGACATCTTGTAATCCCTCATCATATGAAGAGAGAGACCCCCAGCTTCGTCAGTTGATACAAGCCGAATATGTTTTTCCGTTCCATCTAGTAGTTGATCGTAGAGCTTTGTGGAGTACATCACTGTATTGGTCATTTCTAATGACCTCGAAGTGTCCTGAAGAGTGATCCATTCAAAGAAGCCCGCTGTCATTTTGCTCAAATATTCTTGTCCAAGCTTATTCACTTCATGTTCTAGCTGCTCTGGATCTGATACAAGACCGCCAACGGAGTTCATTACCGTAAGGTGGTCTTCTGATATCTTAGGAGTGATCAAATTCAGCATCTGCCCATTTATCTTTGAATTGTCCGCCACCTCTATGTTGAATGATGGCCGTCCAAAAGCTTCACGTGTAACATCAAACTGTGCAATTTATTCAGCTAATGCAAGTATATTGCGACCGCCTATATTTCTTTTGACATCTGTGGAAGGTCTTGATAATAAAGAAGTCTTTGGATACTTCATTTCTACAACAGCCCACGACGGGCAGTCACTGAGTAACCTAGATATCATACTTCCTCCAGTGTTTGTTATTATCTTATGGGTCGACTTGTTTGCGGATTTGATAGTCCCCATGGAACATTCTAGGCCATAACATGAGAAAAGGTTCGCATGTCCATATTCCTTTACCAAGGTTATCACATGGATGAGAATATGAAAGGAGATAGAGCCCATACGGACCATCAATTTAACCTCTGGGATTTCGTTAAGATAAGACTTATTTTCTGAGATACCTGGAACACTTTCCGTTCTATCGTTCTAAGCTTGCAACAGCCATGTCTGGGTCTTGCTCTAGATTTCAGGTCTCTCGTAGAATAAGTGCCTGTGAAGTGAGCAGAATTCTTTGATTGTCGAATCCAATATTGGAGTCTCTGCCTTCGTGATGTTGTGTCCCAGCAGGAACTTTGACATCTTTGTAAAGAGTTGGAAAAGCTTTAAAAAGTCAGGATCCAGATGACATGAATAATAATCAGATGACAATAATGCAGGAACCATACATATCAATTGCTGTGCCTTCTCGGCTTTGAGATAGGCTTCAAAAGTGTCAGCTAAGGTTGGTGGCTCCCCCAAACTCTGATGGCCATATATCTGATGCACCTAACAAACTCTTTAATGCAGCCATCAGATTTGTCAGAATAAGAGGAGGTAAAGCATACTTCCGGCTTAGTAGAGACGTGTCTTTGGCATCTGAAAGAAGTCTAAGCATCTTTGGAAATAGCTTTTCACATAGACAATACATGACGTCAACCCCGTTAATTCTGTTTTGTCCCATAGATAAGTCAAAATCATAAACTGGCGTACAGCTTCCTATATGAAGACGTATTACCCCTAAGAGTTCCTCAATCTTTGTTTCCAAAAGTCTCATAGGAGTAGATTCATTACAGGAATTGGTGCTTTCATGTTTATCTGAATCGCAGTACCCCCCCCCCCCCGCTGGAATTTTGACCCATGGACACAAGCTCTTTAGCATCTCCCGAAATTCCGGGCCTCTCTGACGAAACTTATCACCCTCTGCTGTCTGAGATGAGGTCATACAGAAAGGAATAGCCACTTTCCTCTTTATCGTATCCTCCTCAATGAATCTCTCGACGTACCCTTTTAAATGTTCAAATTCAATACCCACTTTCTCAGCCCAAGAAACAGACGAACCATTTTCCTCGGAGGACAGCCATCTATTGTACTCAATCGTCACAGGATGCCCATCTGAGTACAGCTTACTAGGGTCTTCAACTTCTTCTTTGACCTCGTTACACGATAAGCATGGTGTATTTGCACCAGTTCCACGAAGAGCAACAAATCTCGACAATGCGGGAAGATCACCAAAGAAATTAACGACAGTGGCGCACACGGTCAATACAGGACTGTCCCCAGAGCTAGACGTGGGATTCTTCACAAGCATCCCTTTCTCTGAATTCTAACAAATTCATCTCTCGCTCAACTTAATAAGAATTTGGTGTTTGTCATTTCAGTGTTAAGCATGGAGGGTGTGACATTGTCATCATCATCATCCTCACCTGTTTCGTCTCCCACAGAATCGACACTGGTTTTCTTATGAGAAATAGACCGGAAGTTTATAAGCTGGAAATCAGTGTTACTGTTGAGATCAACAAGTCTCATAACCAATGACCAAAGTTCTCGGGGCACTTTGAGTTGAGCCACCGACTTGGAGAACATCGCAACATCATCCCAGCCTAAAGTCACAGCCAACTGTATTTCACTCTCGTCAAAGTATTTGGTGTTTGAAATAAGAGGTTCTTGCTCATTTGAAATCTTAGTCCGTTTGTTGAACTGTTTCATCCTCTTGACATACTCTCCGTTGTAGAATGTGTGTGAGCTATCTTCATCAGTGCTCTGGCAATGATACTTGGAGGAATTCAGTAATATGACATTGGAAGTTGATGGATCTTCAAAGAGACAGGCAATATAAAGTCGTGGTGATATCACGAAAACCGGTGGCTGACTTGTACTTGAAAACCCACCTAGCTAGAGTTTATCGTTTAGCGTTTGGCAAAAAGGGCAGATCCATTTAGTTGGTTCGTCCTCCTTAGTAAAGTCCACCACATCAGAATCAACTGTGCAGAGATTGGTGCAGAATGGAAAGACTTGTACCAGTCCCAGTTTAATTAGGACTCTGATCATGTTATTTGAAAACTTTCAAAAAAACGACTCTTTTCCATAATCAGTTTCAATGCTGCTTCACCATATCTTGCACCCCATGTTTCTTCAAAGCTGTATTCTGATGCAACAATAGTCTCATTCATCTCATCATCGTCATCTCCGTCATCTGACAAATCTGTAGCTGAAGAGAGTGAGTTCCCTGCTTCCCTGGCTGTTTTCATGAATCTTGCAGTTGTAAATTCTCTGAATACATCTACCGCATTCGAAGGGTTCTTTCCCATAACTGTATTTGCGTGGTCATCAGCACTTGCTTGAGTCAATGAACTTATTCCGTATTTGATGAAGAGATGGAGCAATTCCAATGTGAGATACTCAAAGTTATCCATTCTCTTCTTCAATTCTCTTTCAGTGCTTCCAAGAACACAAAAGCGGCGTTTTCGAATGTGACCATATCAGCTTCAATCTCCAAATCTTCATCTTCAACATCACCCTGGGGCTCACCTTCCTCTGTAACGTCTGCACGATCCGCTTCACCCTCTGCTTCAAGCTCTGCGTACAGGGCCTCATCTATAGCACTTATATCCAAAACTCAACACTCATCGTCCTCATGATCTTCGTGCTGCACTAGTGGTGGATCAGGTTGTGCATTTATAGCTCTTTTATTCAGAAATGCTGTCAAAGCATCTGCATTTTCTCTCCGAAATTGTGTCTCAGGAGGCACGACCAGGTTACTAGCACGGCTTCTTTTGCGAGACTTGATTGACTCCCCCACATATGTGTAGGGAATCACTGGTCGATAAGCGGGCCTGTCCTCTATGGACAGCTCTGGTTGTTTAAAGGACATGAATATTTTCTTGGTAATATCATCATAATTGCAGTTATTTCCATATTCATAGCTAAGGGTTTGTTCCAATTCTGAAAACCCCTCTCCTGAATATAAAACGGATCGGAAATCACCTCGCTCCTTTCTATAGATCACAAGGTATTCGCAACGATATTTCTTGTGGTCGAAGGTGATACCGAATGCTTTTCTGTCACTCAAGAAACTATAGTATCGATTCAGAAAACCATCTTTATTCTTCAGCACATTTGACATCGCTATCCAAGAAGAAATACTAGCAGGGTCCACAAGTCCATTGTTACAGATTGTCCTCATGTTGAGCAGGATCATCATGTAGTCAACATTTTCAGCTGAATCAATCAAGTTATTCTCGATATAGAAAACATTTTTAAATTTTTTCAAATACAATCGTCATGAAGGTTTTCAATTCCTCTAGTGAGAGTATGTCCTCAATCGTTCCTGATGTCATAGGTGGTCCCCTCAATTTGATAAGTATCGTTAACAATGCCTTAATAACATTCTGATGTTATGATTAGTAACAGTCTTCTCGAAAAAGAATATAGCGAACTTACTATAACATGAATGATGATATAAGCCACAATTTCTCCTTCCCTGTCATCAACAGGTAGAGACAAAAGAGCAGCGAAGTATTTCCTGTTCGTGCCTGCTGTACTCAAAGACGCATTACGCGTATGCCTTTGAATAGCATAAGTTGAGAGGCCATCTTGGAGAAAGGGCATCGCAGCCTCCGCTTTGGCGCGTAGATTATCCAAGTTTTGGTCGTCTAATCTCAAGCCATGATCTTGATTTTCCTCGAGAATTGCCGCCATCTGTGATTGTTGAGGTTTGTTTACTTGTAAGTTGCAAATGAAGTAACTTTTTGGAAGATTTCATTGAGAAATTGCTGGAAGTTTTGGTTGGCGATCTGAGTCGCGAGATCTCAATTTAGAGGTTTACAATTTCCAGTTTGCGGTCAAGACGAATAAACAAGTCACAGCTAGACGGTGAGATACAATCGTACTGATGAAGTACGTAGATTGAGACTTCTTCTGTTATAGTATACCTATAGTGATGTCTGTCTTCACTAAGAAATCGTGTTCTTGTTTCGAGATTGGCGCTCAACCCCAAAAAAGCGCGTCTTGCGGCAGCCTGGAGGTCTCTGTTGTCGTGGTGATATGTGTATACAGTACCGGATGCAACTGTTCAGTGCAATTTTGCGGGAACTAAATGGTTGGGGCAGCCGTGGAAACTCTCACTCACCAACAATGGCCCATTTGTTCTTTCTTAAACAAGACATTGTAACAATAAACTTACACAGTTATGACACTAGACAGTGAAATAATGGTCTATAATACAAGTTGATCTGTAGTGCTTCGGTACGGTGAACGCGATTTGGACCTTCGCTAACGCTCCGGTAAATCTCGAATCACCGCTACCTTCGCGATCAACTTGCGCTGCGCGGCCCGTCGGGTATTGACGTTAATGCCTGGTCCCTTCGTTGATAGGATGATTTTGAAACTAACGAAATCTACGCTTTAAAGAATTTTCTAAAACTGTAGCGTAAGATTTCGTATATGTAATCGCAAGCATGTGTGTAGG